AGGGGGGAACATGTACATAGCAGAGTGAGCTCTTACAATCAGGTGTTAAAGTCAGGTTTCAAGATACCTTCAAAAGAGGACAGTTTTCACCTGGTCCCAAAATGATGTGCTAGGCAGACCTCTTTAGGAAGCCCATCCCAAAGGTGGGGGGCAGTCACTGAGAAGGCCCTCCTTCTCATTTCCTTCCCTTTTACTTCCTTTAGGGATTGCGCTTTCAGAAGGACCTCATGTCCAGATCTCAATGGGCAGGCAGGAGTATACTGGAAAAAGAAGTCCTTCAAGTAACCGGGTCCTAAACTGTTTAGGGCTTTGTATGTCAAACCAAGCACTTTAATTTGGGCCTGAACTTCAACTGGCAACCGGTGTAATTTATACAGAATAGGTGTTATGTAGGCATGCAAACTGATATATGGCACCAGATGCTCAGCCCTGTTTTGGACCAGTTGAAGTCTCCAGACCATCTCCAAAGGCAGCCCTACACAGAGCACATTATAGTAATCCAGTCAGGATGTTACCAGCATGTGAGTAACTATGGTCGGGCTCTGTCTATCCAGATTTGCGGCATAAAAGTGCCTGCTTTAGTCTTGGCCTTTGATGGTTTGTAGATGCTACTAAGTGTATCCCTCCTGAGTATCTGGGAGTTGATGGAAAAATCAATTAGCACAGTTCTGTGTGTGTCTACCCTGAAGTTAGCTGCATTGATTTTAATGAGGACGATGCCCAGATAAATGAGTATAGGAATCCTGGCTAAGACTGCAGTGCTGTAATTTATCTGGGAAAAAGTCCTATGGAGGTCAGTAGGACTCACTTCTGAGTAGACACGTGAAGGATCGCACTATATAGAGCCAAATGCGCATGTTGTGCTCAGTTTTGGGCCCCTCATTACAGAAAGGATATAGCCAGGTTGGAGTCAGTGCAGCGCAGGGCCACAAGGTTGGTGGCCGGTTTGCAGGGGGTGCGGTATGAGGCGAGACTGAGGGAACTGGGTCTCTTCAGCCTGGAGAAGAGGAGACTCAGAGGGGATATGTTGGCGACATACAGGTATGTGAGGGGATGTCACATGGAGGCGGGTAGAGACCTGTTCTCCCCTGCAGAGGAAGGCAGGACGCGCTCCAACGGAGCAAAGCTCAGGGAACCAAGGTTCCATTGGGATGCCAGGAAGCATTTCCTGACAGTCAGGACCCCGAGGGTGTGGAATGGGCTTACGTGAGAGGTCATTGAGGCCCCATCGGTGCGAGTGTTCAAGGACAGGCTGGACGTCCACATGGTGGGCATGTCATGAGCGGAGCCGGCTGGAGCTGGGGGTCAGACTAGATGGCCTGGGAGACCCCTTCTGACTTGTTCTGTTTCTATGTTTCTATGTTTGTGGCCAGTGGGCAATAAGAGAAGGAATGACATTTTCTAGTACTTGCTCCAAATCTTCTACATAATTTATTTTCTTGCATGAAGGAAAAGGCACAATGATCTCTCTCCAGCAGAAGTTTTTGTAGAAGTTCACTGAAGACAAAGCGACTAGGGAAGACAATGGAAAAAAATGACCTCTCCTTACCAGCAAGGAGACATGAGAAAAGTAATTCCCAGAACTCGGTGTTCCTGCATCTGCCGCAGAACGCCCAAGGACACCCAAGGATGTCAGACTAACCTGTTTTCTGTCATGGACGTTCACAAAATGTTTCTGCAGACATGTGACGTGCCTTAGCTTCCCAGCTGGACTGTGCCTGCACATTTGCTCAAAGTGTTCTTGATCAGCTGCTGTCCCACAACCTCCACTGCCCCCTTGAAATAAATCGGATGAAAACGTCCATCATTCCCAGCCAACAGGGACATTTCATATTGGCAATGCAGGCCAGGGATGAATGGAACTGTGGCCAGAAAGGTCCCTTGTGATTGTGACATTTCACCTTTACTCAGAAGGGTTTCAGTCATGATACTGACAGGCAATTTGATATTCCCTCATGTTGAAATCAGTCCTTTGTCCATCAGCTTCTTGTAAGACACTCAAGATATTAAGTCTGTAATACTGTGCACAAACTTACTTGGTAATAAACACCATTAAATCCCGTGGGACTTACTTCAGAAAAAATGGGCAGAAGATGGGGCTGTGTTGCGTTGTCTTTTGCGTTGCAGCTCCCAGGATTCCTGTCTTTGGTTATACTAGTTGGGGCTGATGGTAGTTAAAGTCTAAGCTGAGGGTATCCAGCTGGGGAAGGCAAGGGTGGGCAGAAAGTTGATCTCCAGATGTTCTGGACTTCATAGAATCATAGAATGGTAGAGTTGGAAAGGGCCATGAAGCCATTGGGTCCAACCCCTGCTGTTGCGGGACACCAAGTCACACTATCCCACTCAGATTACTGTCCAGTTTCTTTTTGAATGTCTCTAGTGTGGGAGATGTGAGCTTAAGTGGACTTAGGGGAAGGTGGAGGACAGGAAGGCCTGGAGGAATGTTGTCCATGGGGTCGCAAAGGGTCAGACACGATTTCGCAACTAGCAACAACAACAACAAAGTGTGGGAGAGCCCACCACCTCTCCAGGCAGCTGGTTCCACTGTCATATTGCTCTGACAATGAGGAAGCTTTTCCTGATGTCCAGACCGAACCTGGGTTATCACAACTTGAAATTATTATTCTGTGTCCTACACTCTGGCATCATCAAGAAGAGATCTTGATCTTCCTCTTTGTGACAGCCTTTGAGGTACTTATAGAATGATATCATGTCCCCTCTCAGTTTTCTCTTCTTAAGGCTGAATATGCCCAGTTCTCTCAGTCTCTCCACATAGGGCAGTGTTTCCAAATTCTGGATCATTTTTGTTGCCCTCCTCTGGATCCTTTCTAATTTCTCTACATCTTTCCTAAATCTTGGTGCCCAGAACTGGACACAGTATTCCAGATGAAGTCTGACTGGTGAAGAGTATAGAGGAACTACTACTTCTCATGATTTGGAAGTAAAACTTCTGTTAATGCATCCTAAAACAGCATTTTCCCTTTTGGCAGTTGCATCACAATGTTGGCTCATGTTTAGCCTATTGTTCACAATTACTCCGAGATCTTTTTCTTTTTCAGTTCTGTTGAGCCACGTATTCCCCATCTTGTATCAATGCATTTGGTTTCTTTTTCCTAGGTCAGGGACTTGGCACTTGTCCTTACTGAGTCTCATTCTGCTGCCTTCAGCCCAGCATTCAAGTTTATCGAGATTGCCCTTGAGCTTCATCTTGTCTTCTGGATGTTTGCTATTCCATCCAGTTTTGTATCATCTGCAAATTGATTATTTTCCTTGTACTTCCTCATCTAAATCATTAATAAAGATGTTGGAGAGCACTGGGCCCAGGACTGAATCCTGTGGCACCCCACTGGTTACCTTCATCCAATCTGAGAAGGTGCCATTGATTAGCATTCTTTGTGTCCGATTAGCAGCCAGTTTTGGATCCACCTAATGCAGGTGGTGCAGTGGTTTAAACTGCTGTGCTGCTGGGCTGGGTGATCAAAAGGTCACCGGTTCGAATTTGCAAAATGGGGTGAATTCCCCTGCCAACCTTGCAGTTCTAAAGCACGCAAATGCAAGTAGATAAAAAGGTACCACTTCGGTGGGAAGTTAACAGTGTTCCTTGCATTCCACTGCACCATCCCATCTATGCTCCCCAGCAACTGGGGTACATAGGCATACTTTGATCAGCGAATAACCATTAGGACTAGTAGCCACGGATAGCCAGATCCTCCACGAATTTTATTTATTTTTCGATTTATATCCTGCCTTTTTCCTACAAAGGGCTCAAGGCAGCTTACATCATTCTCCTCCTCCATCTTATCCCCACAACAACCCTGTGAGGTAGGTTGGGCTGAGAGTCTGTGACTGGCCCAAAGTCACCCAGTTGGCTCCATGGCTGAGCGCGGACTAGAACCCAGATCGCCTGAGTCCCAGTCCCATGCTCTTAACCACTACACCACACTGGCTCTCAGAATTCATCTAACCCCCCTTTAAAGCTATCCATGTTGCAACCTTCCGTCCATCCTGCGGTAGCTAACTCCACACTTGAACGGTGCACAGTGTTGAGGAGTTGTTCCTTTGATCGGTCCTGAATTTCCCACCAATCAGCTTCATGGGCCCCAGTGTGGGGCGAGAGGGGGGGAAGAAAAACGCCTCCCTGTCCCCTTTATCCACTCCATGCTTCATTTGCCTCGTTCACGTCCCCCATCACTCCTCATCTCTAAGCAAGCACCCCTGGATGCCGTAACCCTTGCTCCCGCCCCTTCATCATTTTAAATGCCCTCCTCTTTTGTGTGGAGAGAGATCTAAACAAAAGGAAACGAACGAAACCCCAAACCCTTTACACACTAATCACTGCGCTCTGCCATTCCAAGCACACTTCCTTGGGAAGGATTCCCATGGGATGTGGGGCGCAATCCCATGCACATTCGGAGAGAAGAAAGCCCCGCCGCCCCCAGCTTGCCCCACCCAGGCGTTATTTTCCCTGTGTAATGCCCAGGACTAGGCGCTCAGCGGCTTCCCATTCAGAAACTCTCCGCCACGCCGAGCGCGGTGGGCTTCCCCTTTAAAAGGCCGGCCGCGCGCAGACGCCCATCTTCATGAATGGGCCGTCGCCGCCCCCCGCCCGCCCCACCTTTCTCTGTGGCCTGATCTCATTCTGCGCGGAGGCGCGCGCGCGCGCGCGCGGCGTGTTTGTGTGTGTGTGTGGGGGGGGGGTCGCCTTTCCCAGGCGTTTACACGGGGAGCTGAATGGTTTCTTCGGGGCGGGCTGCTAGTTGCCCCCCTTGATCGCCGGGGGCCGGCGACGGGGAGGAGCGAGTGGCGCATCCGAGCTCGGCTTCTGCAGCTCCCGCGAAGCCACCTCCTCGTGGAGGGGCTGCCTTCGGCTTTCCTCCCCCCGCCCTCCCCAGCTTTGCAGTTTGCCGCTTGCAGCAGCGGCGATGGTAAAGGGACAGGAGCGGGAAGGAGGCAGCTCGGGCCAGAATCGGGCTCCTTCGGCGTCTCCGCCTCCCGAGGAGATCGTCGCTCGCCGCTAGCCGAGGAAGAGGAGGAGGAGATCGGACGCCGTCAGTATTGGGACCAGCAAACATTCCCCCACCCCTACGGCCACCCTTTCGAGGCCCGGCGTCATGTCGACTAAAGCGGAGCAGTGTGAGTAGCAAAGCCGCGCCGAGCCCGGCCCGGCTGGGGTGGGATGGGGGACGGCTTAGGGGACCTCAAAGAGCCGAAGCTAGAGCGAAGCGGGAGAAGCAACGTGGGCGCGCTCCGGGGCGGGGATGCACGGATGGCGGGCGGGCGGGCGGGCGGGCGGGCGAGCTCCAGGCACTGTCCGTGGTGCTGGATGCGGCAAGAGGCTTTCACCCCTCCTACCCGCTCGGCTTACCCGATACAGCAGGACAGAAGAGGGCCCGATGAGATCCGAGGGCATCGAAGAGCCCGACTGGTTGTAAACCGCGCAGAGGTTCTTGCAAGCCTCTCTGAAAGCTTCGACTTGCATCGAAGCAAAATATCATCAGTAACAACCAAGCACTTTGGTTACGAGGAATCTGAATCTCCGCCCTCTGTCTGTCTGTCCGTCTGTCTCGGGTATTCTGCGACCATTGGCCCTGCAACCCTTAGAAATAAAGCTGCACATCACTGCACAACACAATGTCCCCTCTCTTGGCAGTAGGGTTGGGAAATCCTGTTCTCCAGATGTTGTTGGACTCCAGTTCCCATCAGGCAGGCACATGGCTGGGGGAGGGGAATGAGGGGAGTTGTAGCCCTATAGCCTCTTCAGGGCCACTGGTTCCCTACTGCTGATTTACAGGAAGTGGCGGGGAGCTTTTCCACCTCCACATCACAGCCAGAGGAGAGGCAGGCAGGGAGGGGGGTTAAGGGCCTAGCTTTGTGTATTTTGTTATAGTCCATTGCCAGGTTACAGGCAATTTTCAGGCTGGGTTATTTTTGTTATCTTATCACAATGTATTGGAGGACTTTAAAAAATAAATTTTGTGAACCTTCAAGACCAGTTCTTGTCTTCCTCTTGCATTCATTCTCTCCCTACTATATTAGGCTGGATAAAATCGACTTCCTCTATGGCTTTGCAGATTACCAATGAAATAATATTTACATGCTAAGATAGCTGAAGACGTGGCTTAAAGAGGAAGGGGAGGATTGGCCAGATGCATACATAAAGGAATGTTGTTTCTAAGACACCCTATCAAGTCACTGTGATATACAGTCAGCTGACAACTGTTCTAGCTTGATTGAGCAACACTGAATGAAGAGATATTGCACAACCACCTAATTGCAGGGTATCCTGGGATACACTATAGACCAATACCTACCCCTGATAGGCACTGATATTTTATAACCCAAGCATGCACAACTCATTCTTGCTGTTTTCAAAATTTCCAAGAAAAAGATCCCTTGCAAGCTAAACCAATTCCAGAATTGTTCCATAATTTTTAGACTGAGCATTAAGAAGATCAATCTTGCTGAAGTTTAAGGCCAGGTCCTCTTGCCCAACCCTTGATGGGGTGGATGCTCTCTCCCCACTTGATTAATGCAGAAAGTTATCCACTAATAGTCATGCTTGCACTTTATAAGAAGAAAAACTCATTAATCATAGAACTGTAGAACCATAGAGATGGGAGGGAGCTAATTTTTAGTCCAGTCTGCAACCCAAACCAAAAATAGGAAGGTCATATCTAAGGTTTCTCAGCAGGTACCTCTACACTACTTTCTTGGAAGTTTTCCGTGAGTGAAATCTATTGAATCCTGGTTACTCCAAGGAAGGTATATCGCAGCTCACTCCAACTTGAAGTATAGTCTAAAACATGTTGCTGCAGTAGGGCTTGGGTAATCAAAACTATCCACTGATTAGAGCAGACACCACTGAATGCTAGTGGCTCCCAAGTCAGTGGGATAGCTGGGTTTTGATCTGAATTTAAAGGAGTTATCCATGGTTCCAGACCTGGCTTGGGGATACAGTTCAGCACCATGAGCAGCTTCTTTATCAGATTAAAACCCACCTGTCCACCACCATTGCAGCCACCAGCTTCCACCAGCAGATGTGCTGGGAAAATATGCATTATTGAACTAACTACAGCAGTGAGGGTTATGTTTACAGATTGTCTACAAAAGATCAGACAAACTGTAGCTGTTCCTTCCTGCTTTTCATTTTCTGAAAGCACAAGATTTTACTTCCTTTTTTTACTCAATATAATTCTTCAGAAACTTTTCTTCCACTAGTGTTATGCCACTGGAATGCAACAAAAAGGACATCAGGGCCACTGGTAATAGTTTTACCAAGTCTTTTAAGTGGAGATATTTTATCCATTATCAGTTCCTCATGAGACCAAATGATTGCAAGCTAACTTGTACCTGCAGCAAGAAGAACTCAACAGAAGTATTTATCCCAGCAAAGGGCCAGAAAGATTGATTAGAAAATACATTATTTTGAAAAAGTGAATAGCAGGAATACAGGACTTGACCCAGATTAGGGCACTGGTGCGGGTGATTCTTTAATCCTTCATCCTCATCAGGATGCTCCCACCCTGTACCTGCTGCTTGTGTTCGGGAAGGAAAACTCATCATGCAAGTCTTCTTCCAATGCGAATAGCAGAGCTAGAAGCCTTGATCCAGACTGGATTTGCAATGAGGGTTAACATGTTAAGACTGCACTTGATCATGACTGGGCCTCTCATGTTAGTCTTGAAATAGCAATATGCTGCATGGAAGTTGCTTCCATCTAGTTTGGCCCTCATATGGGGTTTTTGTAAGGTAGGGGCAGAGAAAGATGGAGGCAGACAAGAATCCACTGAGGAGTCTTTCTACCAGGCTATGATGGAACAGGAGGATTTGCACTGGAGGTGGCTGGGGAAGAGCAATGGATCAGGACTGAGCAATAAGATAGACAGGAGCCTAATGGATGCCAGCCCGGTGCAAACAAAATACATATTCCCTCGATTAACTCAGAAGTGCCACTTAAGGGGAATCCAGCAAAGCTGGAGGCTATACAGGCTCAGATAGGATCCTTGGATGTATTTTTGTCCCTGAAATGGAAATGAGCCAGTTCCCAAACGACCTGGCATCTGGTGACTCCCACTGATGGGAGTGTCAGGTCTTGTGCAAATTGGGTCATGACTCATCACACAGCAGCTCACATGGTTTGCTTTCTGCCTTGTAGTGGTGGGTGTGTGGCACCCAGCTCTTGAGCAGCGCGTTCAGGCATAAGGTGACTGTTCAGTAGCACCAGGCTAAAGAGGCATGTGGGTCCTGCACTGCATATGAAACTCACCATGGAACCTGAGCTTAAGGCCCCCCATCCTTATATGATGCTTATTTATCCTCCTGCTCCCCAAAGCTCAGGCAAACAAACAATTTTTATAATACATTAAATGCACAAATACATTAACATAGGTCTGCATCAAAAATATTCCTTCATTTATAAGCACCAGCTACATGACCATTCCAGAAGAAATGTTGTGAATCTCCTCTGGAAGTTGTTCAAGCCTTGGCTTTGGGCCTCCTTTGAAGGAGGGGTGTTTCAGTATCTTCTTGCAAAGATGTCTCAGTGTCTCCTTGCAAAGATAATCAGAGTTGGCAGCTCTTGTGAAAAACCTGAATTCACCTGCTCATGAATTACCATTCTACATTCCCCAAGGTGATTCCCCCGCATCATGAAGTGAGGAGGAAATAGAGTGAAGGCTGCGATTTGGGGGTGGGGGTGGCCTGTGTCATCCTGAAAACGGACACACCTGGCTTTTGTAGAGAAGCACTCCACGCTGTAACAGTGTGTTGCCGGACTCACTTTGGCTGGATCAAAAGCAGGCAGCATAGGCTGACAGAAGAGGCAGCTTAGGTTGAATAGACAACTGACCTGACAGCAGCCATGATTGTGAGAGTAAGTTTGCATGCGATCCCCACACTAATGCCTTCCTTTGAGTTGACATTTCTCTGTTCTGCAGCCAGGCAAAAATCCACCCCTTTGCACCCCTCGGGGGGAGACCTGGATTACATGGAGTAAGTGCAAGTAGCAAGCCCTGAGAACATCCCAAATCCCCTTTTCATCCCAACAGCCAGCCCTAAGAGGTAGCAGGTGACCAAGCCCTGCCAAGAGTGTGTTTCGGCTTAATTACTGCTTCCCCTTCCGTCTCTCTATGGCACAAAGTGAAACTTCTCTTTCTCACACAACAACTGTTGCACATGAATAAAAAAAGAGACCTGCTGCCAAGGCTTGCTCCTACCGGTAGCCACTGTGACCAGGATCCAGGAGGAATTTCAGTAGCATTGAGAGGCAACTGGTTCATGCTTGCATAGAAATGTTTAATAATAATAATAATAATAACAATAATAATAAATAGCTTGAAGTGTGGACCTTTCTGCCTATTTCTGCCCTAGTGTCCTTGGCCTCCCAATCAGCTGGTGGCTGCCCAATGGTGCCCATTTAAGGCATTCAGGCAGTTTTGGGACGTCCACCCTCACCACCTGGTATGCTGTACCTGGAGAGGAGGAAGACAAGGAGCAAAGCTGCTCCTTGCTTCCTGCTCTGGCTTTATCAATGGTTCATTTTACCTTCCTTTCAGTGCCATTTTAATGGAGAAATATTTTACCTTCAGCCAAGTAATAGTTCATTGCCATATTCTGTTTAAAATCCATTCCATTCTGACCACACGGAGCCCTCTCAGTGATAAACAAATTACTGAGCTATATGGAAGAAAATACAGAAGATGAACTGTACGAGTCACTGTTTTTGTCATGCCTGTGCATGCCAGCCAGAAAAATCTGGGAAAGGACTTGATTTCTTTAGACATTTTCCTCATTGAGGAAAGCACCATTCCCTTTACAATTCTTGTTCATTGTATAATGGCTATACAGTTTCTTTGATACCCTTTTTGACTTGCAGAAGCCATGGATAAGGTTAAAATATTGGTTTTCATATATTGAGAAGTAAGTTTCATATTAAAATAGCTTTGCTTTGGTTGTATGCCTTCTTATGGTTTATGATATTTTAAAATCCACTGTGATGGGTATCTTTGTAATGGCTGATAGTTGAAATACTTGTTGTAATCAGATTTAGTTAGGGTGGCAGACTCATAGAAATCAATAAGATATAAATTAGTATGAGTAGCATACATCTAGTTGATTTCAGTGGTTTTATTCATGTATGACTAAGTCTGAATTCATGCCAATAAATTGTTTAACCACTGGCCTTTAGGAATTTGCTTATTTTTAAAAAATTCTGCTCTTCCTTTCAATACCAAATTCTCAAGCTTGTCCAACTTAGGGTTTAATTTTATGTCTGTGGAGACAAAATCAAACTTGCCAGCATTCCTTCAGCCAGGGATGCTGGCTGGAGCATTCTGGAAAGAGTTTTCCTGTCTAAATAGGCATAGGAATGCACCCTGAAGAATCAACATTAAATGCAATAAAAATAAACAACAGCTAAAGGCAGCAGTAAAGTCAGCAAATGCCCATCTAGTGTGTCCATTCAGTGTTACCTGCAAGATATGGTCACCTGTCAGGTATGCACACCTGTATTAGTAATCAGTGCACCAAGTGCTAAATGTGGGAAAGCCTTATCACTGATTAAGTGTGCAATCCTATAATTGCACCTTTGGTTCCCAGAATCCCTGAACTCAAAGGCTTCTGATGATCCAGTGTGAGACAGGAAGAATGGCAAGAGCAATCTTTGCTTCCCTGACCTTCTGTCCTACATATTTTGCTAGATGCACTTTTTTCCATCTTGTGATGGCACTTTGGAGAGAGATGAAAGGAGACTGGAAGCAGCTCAGGGTAGCTCATATCTTGGCCTCTCTGGGCTTCTCCTCTTCCCCCAGAGCTCTTCTTCCATTTCTGAGATGAGTTTTTGAACTTTGGAAGGCAGCCAGCATAGCTCTTTGTGTATCAGCTGTGAGGAGGTGGGGGAGAAAGGCTTAGATTTTCAACACCTCCTTCTGAGGTTCCAGCACTATCTTTAACTCCAGTGCCGGGAATGTCTGGATCGTTCCTGTAGGCCCTCAGTCTTTACCATGTGTTAGAACGCACCCAAACACCAAGGTCTCCTAAACACAGAGGACTGAGCAAAACCATCAACAGCTTCACAAATTGGTCTTCTGCACTGGGGCCCTTAAATCTGTTATGTGTGGTAACCATACCAGAGGGTCGGACAGTCACATGTTCTCAGATGGGGCCAAAATATGTCAGTGTGAGATGTATGAGCAGATACCTATTATGGCAAGGGTGGGCAACTTGTAGGCCAAAGCTTCTGCCCTTCCCTAGCTGCAACCAGCATGGCCACTGGTGAGGGACGATGAGAGTCATTGACTGAAATATCGGGGGGCCACAACTTGCCCGTCCCTGCTCTTTGGCTCCCACAGCCCTCATCTGCTTGTTCGCACCTCAGTTATTTGTCAGTGAGCACTGTGAGGATGTAGCTGAGCTCACACTGCTATTTAAAGCTTTTCTGTACCATCCCAAGCAAGATTCCTCCAGAGCAGAAGCTATGTATCCTAATGACCCATGTCATCCCAGGGTGCAATCTGATGCAAGTTTCGGTTGAAAAACGGCCTACAGCTTCCAGCCAGCCCAACTGTAACAGTAGAATCTATGCAAGTTTAGCTAGAAAAAGGGGGCTGCGACGCTCAGCGTGGCGTCATCAGTCATGGAATTCACCACTGACCATACATAAGTCACTGGCTGAGTTTGCCTGATTACTGGCTACAGTTTAATTACTGGCCTCAGTGGTTTCTCTTCCCTGCCCCCATGTGAGCTGGCTGCACACTGCCTGATTTACCTAATTTGCATGACATCCAAGGCATATGATGGGGGACCCTCCATGTTTTGAAGCCACCACCCAGTGTGTCCCTTGCTGAGTCCAGATGACATGGCAGGCCATATGCCTTGAGGGTAATTAGGCAAATCACAGAGGGAGCAATTGGCTCGTGTGGGGTGGGGCAAAGAAGCCAGTATAGCCTCCCCCACCCCCCAGTAATTGTGCTGATTCTTCTCTGAATCCAGCCTATCCGCCCAAGGTTGGTTCCTCAGATCTGGTAAGCAAGGATGCTGCCGCACAGAGGCAATAGGCCTGGTCCATATCAGGTACAAGAGCTAGAACAGAAGCTCTGTAGGGCTCCGAGGTGAGAGAGACAGGCTACCCAAGAGAGACCCATGGGGAGTTGTGGTAAAGGTCAGCCAGAGACAGAGAGGTTTTATGCCAGCACAGGCAGAGCTCTCTTCTCCAATCTTCACTGGTCTACAAGAAAGAATTGGTGCCTTCTCCTGCAGAATAGACTGTAAAGTAGGCCTCTGATCCTGTGCTCTCCTTGCACCCAAGTGAATACATCTCCTCTGATTCTGTATTCCTCAGCCAGCTTGCCTGATGGGACATGCTGGGAGTTACTGGCCCTTTTTTCTGCCTAAATTTGCATAGGATTCACCTGAAATATGCTAGATTTTGGCCTTAGTGCCAGTATCAAGAAGCATGCATAAATCTGTTGAATTCAGTGGGGTTAGGCATGTTTGAGGGTCCAGCTCATATTCCCTTCACCTTCTCATCAATGTGCAAGTGTTATTAAGCAAAACAGAAAGCAAAAACCTGTGGGAGAGCCATGATCACAGAGCAGACCTAGTTTGGACATAACTCTGCTGGACTGTAGGAAAACTGCAATTTTCTAGTCACCAGAACTGATCTAAAATATTCTTTTCTTCCTCCTGCTTTCTTGTCTTCGATGTGGCGAAATCCAGTTGCTTCCAAGATCCGGTACTTGCAAGAATACCATAACCGTGTCCTTCACAACATTTACCCCGTCCCCTCTGGAACTGACATTGCAAACACTCTGAAATACTTTTCTCAGACGTTACTAAGGTAAGCTTTAAATTATGCTGTCAAAGAAAAACAGAAAGAAATAGGTTAAGTAATGTGTATGGATAGCTTATTGACAAAAGGAACGGTGTTCTGCAGAAGGGTCAGAGCTCAGTGAAATGTAAGATCTAGAACTCCTAATTAATTCCAGCAGTGGCTGCCCAGGCTGGATCTACATGGGTTGCAGAAGGAGGTGGGTATGGGTCCCAGGCCGTAAAGACAGCAGCTCCCCGCTAAATATCTCCCTGCAAATGGAAACCTTAGGGAGAAAGGGTGTAACCCAACCATTTGCCTCCTATGCTGCTTTTCTACCTGCAGGAAATTATCACTGCACCAGAACATGCAGAACTGTGATCACTCACATGTGGTCCATTCAACCTGCTCTAGCTTTGGACTGTCTTATTCTGCTCCATTGCGTAGACTGGGCCTTGGTCTGCCAGCTGAACTGCTTGCTGACTACTGACTGGTTCCAAAGAAGAGCTTGGTGGGCTGTGCTCAGCTCTAGGAAATGTTAAAGGTTTGCCCAAAACAATCTGGCTGACCCAGCTCAGGATTAGAGGGCCCACAGCAGGTCTTTCCCTGACAGAATGACTCTGAGTTTCTAAATAAAAATCAGGTGTCCCAAACATGTGGCTGGTCTTCTGATCAAAATGTCTATTTGTGCCATTAAGCCAATAGGACTTAGTCCCTGAAAGGCAACAATCTTGATCCCTTTATTTTGTGAGTGGTCTCATAAAATCTGAGAGTTTCTAGAAATGAAGTTCACATTTGGATCCTGTCTGAGGTTTGCTCTGGACTAAGGATTTGGTTCAGTTCCACACAGTAAACAGGAAGCTCAATTGCCACATAGATGTTAATTTCCAGATTCCTAGATACCAGAACCCAAATAATCCCAGCCATCAAATTGCCTTGTATCCCTTTTCACAGTAAGGGTGATATTGTTCCCAGGATTTCCAGGTTTTTATTACATGCTGCTCCAGTGCTGTTAAGAGCAGCTTGACCTGTCAAGATTAGCAGATGATCAAGTTTCCTCCATGTTGTGAGAAGCCTCACCAACCAATTGCTGCAAATCACACTGGTGTAAAAGGCACAAAAGCAAATTAGATTTTTCTTCTTGTCAATTGGAAGCCTTTGTGGGGCAACCTGTCAGCCTTTCTTGTGAGGAAATGTAGAATGTTATATACAAGAGGAAGGGCAAAAGAACTGGGGGAATCTTTACCCTTTTGCTCACCCTGGAAGTCTCCTGTGACTATAGGTGCACAATCCAGGGAGCTATTCTGCCCCTCTACATTGAATATACAGTGGAGATTTGACATGTGAAAAGTCACACAAAACTCATTAATTATTTTCACAAGCACATTTTCTACAATGTTGGGAGATACCTATTTGTGAGGCACAGGTAGGCATGGCATCTCTTGATTCATTCTTGTGTAAAAATGTGCTTGGGAAAATAGAGATACCATAGAATAACAAAAATGTAAGGCTGATTGGTTGATAAACTTGTCCAATTTGCCACCCTAAAAAATGAACTCCTCCTACCACTAAAGTAGCTGCAGAAGGCCCATCTTGCAACATTTTCCTAAAACCTCAAAGGAAGGAGAATTTATCACCTTCTTGATGAGAATCCACATGGGCCCTTCACACTCTTTCAAATTACCAAAGGTGTACAGTTTCCCCTGATGTGCCATTGGAACTTATAATTTAAAATGTTTGTACTTCTTTTTCTGATCTCAGGAGATTGTTTGGATAATTGTTTCCCAACATTTCCCCAAGGGATGAAGAGTTAGAGAAGCAAATTAGTTTTGCTAGGGCTGTGGGGAGGGATACGCATCCTTCCAGATGTTGGCAGGCTGCAACGGCCTGCAGCCCTCGCCACTGGCTTTGTTGGGTAGGATTGCTGGAAGTTGCCATCCCCCAGCATCTCGAGGGCGACACTTTCCCCATGTCTGTGCTAAGTGCTGAACAATAGAAAAACACACGATGCTGGTATCTTGGGAGCCTTGGAAGTTCAGTTCCTTTGTATCCTGCTGAAAGTCATGTAAGAAATCCAGGGATATGCGGAGGTTTGGCTCCGTCCTGGTGTAGCCACAGGCTTCTTTTCTTATCCTAGCTGTGTGGGAAGGAGCTGTAGCTATAATGGCTCCCATGCCATCAGCTTAATGTGGGAAGGGAGTTACTGATTGATGTGCACTTTGGTCTATTGTCCTTAAGTGCTATTTCCTCCCATGTGCTAGAATTGGGCATACGCCAAAGCCCTGTTGCTCAACAGCATTTAGATTTTGTGGTGATACTTGAAGACTGCACTTAGATCTAGCTGAAAATGCACTGTTTATCTAAAACATACACACAAATTCTAGATGTGATCAGTCTAGTAGTGGCTAAGGGGACATCAGAACCTTCAAGGCTATATCCAGGCTTAGAGAGTATGAAAGCAGCCCCATTAATGTAGATGATTTCATTTAAGTCCCGATGAGATGAATCCTCTCTGCCCCATGGCCTCATCTGTCTTTATAGGAGTAGCTACGTATCAGGGCATTGTCCCTCCCACTGAGGTAAGCCTTGTGGTGGGGAGGGTGGGGGAATCCCAGCGAATTGCATCTGCTCTTTAAACCTGGATCTAGATTGGAATTTTATGAATGGACTTTACTCCTTATTACACTTTTGGCCTCTTACTCTGGCCAGCCTTCCCCAAGCTGGTCTTCCAGATCTGTTGGACTGCAACTTCCACAATTCCCAGCTAGCATGGCCATTGGAAGTTGCAGTCTGGCACATCTGGAAGCTGCTAGGTTGGGCAAGCCTGCCCTAGACCTTTGCATAAGCCTATTTCTATACCATGGCAGGTAACACTAAGAGAACTTCCAGTGAAATGCTTACTGTGAATTGGAATGGGCATAAAGTAAGCTCACATCCAGAGCACCTTGGCCCATTCCTGGTCTTCTCCCTGCTTCTCCCATTTGGCCTGCATTCTGTTGCCAGCGCCTGAACAACCCTACACTACTAGTGGGATTTTCCAAATACTTTGAATGTTTTCTCAGAAATAAGTCCCACTAAGTTTCATGTGACTTACCTTCAAGTAATCACACATGGAATTGCAGGCCATAGAATTATTGAGATTATTTTAAAAAGGCCCAGATCTGGGGTGGAGAATTTGCAGGTGTAGCCTTACAGATGTTGTTGGACTCTACACCTGGCCCCTGGCTGTGCTGGCTGGGGCTGATGGGAATTGGAACCCTGCTACATCATAGGATCATAGATTCTCTTTGTAGCTAAGGGTGGAATCCTATGAAAATTTCAAAAGAAAAGCAGGTTTACAACTCCTGGCAAGTCCTGGGCAGCTATGCTGTGGTATGCTGGCTGGGCCATGCTGAGAGTTGTAGGCCTTTTTTCCTGTCTAAACTTGCATAGGATTGTACCTTGAAGCAAAGGCAGAAAGATAAATTCACACATAAAGTGGCACTTTGAAAGAAAGGATTGTCCCAACAGCCAACCCATAAGGCAAAACTCAATGAAAATTTGAAGTATATTAACCCCTCTGGAGACAATATATTTTTTCTGGTTTTATGACAAGTTGATTTGGTTTGTGTTTAGATTTACACCTTAGTTGGTACCCTTTTAGTCACACCAGGGAGGAAACTTGACCCTTTGATTTGCAGAGATCTTGAGGGTATGACAAATTTGGCAAGAAACTGCTCTGATTCTGTGCTGGTTTCAAGTTGGGAGGTTGGGAAAACGTAAAGAAATTGCATTGATTTTTTTGACCAACAAAACATCACATAAATATATATATATATATATATATCTCACTATATATATATCACCATACACAGTACATAACACATTGATTCATTGAGCTCTTAAGTTTTATCTTTGGGCCAAAACATTTCTCTGCATTAAGCATGAATTTAATTTTCATGCATTGCTCATTTCCAGCTTGTTTCCCCCCCCTAATCTGAACAAAGAGTGCAAATATTACAAATGTCCCACAAAGACTAAAATATTTTTATCAATATATTTCTGATGTATCAATTAGGTGCTAATCAGGTATAGGGTCCAGAGAGCCCCAAAGGAGCTTCTGCATAGAGAATTGAGCTGCTCCAGGATTTTGTTTTTTGTTATTTAAATAGCTTTTCTGAGCACGGCAGCAGAGGCTGTTGCTGAATGTTACATGATCTCTTGGAGTGAGCTTCCCAGCAGTGCAGTGGAGGCTGTGAAATAGACAGAGCTCTGAAGCATGGATGCTCATGTTGAGCTTTTCATGTTCAGTGCCTGCAGGGAGCCCAGGCGCAAAGAAGCAATGAGACAGGTTAGAACTGCCTTCCCCAACTTGGAGTCCTACAGATGTGTTGGGCTATACTGACATGAAGGGCTAGGGGATTCTGGGAGCTGTAGGCCATCTGGAAGGCACCAGGCTGGGGAAGGTGGAGACAGTTGAATGCATGGAAAGAGGGAATTAAGCTGCTACGGTCGCTACACATATATCTTAAATATATTAGCAGCAGCAGCTGCAGGCTTTAAGGGAAGTCACCTCTCAAGGTACAGAAGCTCTGTCCTTTTTTCACCTGGTGATGCTAGTGATAGTAGACCCCCCCCCCCCACGAACTATGTCACATAGAATCACCTCTTGTGTGCTGTTTCCAGTGGCTTTGATCCCACGTTGTGGAAGTTCCTGCTGATGGAAGGCAACATTTGCCAATTTTCCCTGAAGGTCCCAGGACCCCCTCCAATACTGTTCTGGAGGGTCCTTCACCTTTCATAAGGTTCCATATTGAGAAAAGCATTTTTCCCAAAGAAAGCAATGGATTGGATGCAGTCTTCTTTAAAGGGTTGGGTTTTGAATTGGCAGTGGGATCCTGCAGGTGGAAATGGGGGTGGAGAGGGCTTGAGCTCAGAAGGCGATTTCTTTCCGCCTCCCTCTATAACCCTCAGAGCTCCCACTGAATTCTCAAAGAGTCCCCAACCTGATGAAGCAGTTTCACAGGTTGCAAAGTTAGCAGGAGATGGCTGAGTCATCCAAAGTTGCTTCGCTTCTTGCATTGATGCTCCCACAGGTGATGGTAGAATCTGGATTCCACCTCCTCTTTCTTTTTTCCCAGATAGAAAGGATCTTACAACTGGAGGCATTCATTCTTCTAAGGACACAGTCCTTATGGCTTGGAGGTCTCCAAAGCAGCAGGAAAGTAGTGAAGCCGGCAGGGCAGGAAGAGGAGCGGGGGAGGAGCACATCTCCAAAATGTGTGTTTGATGTTTTTTGCTCGGCAGACTTTTCAATCTGTCTAGTGAAGCCACTTCAGAGGGGGAATGAAAGAGGCTCAGGACACCTCAAATCCAGGCTTCTTCAGTCTCCTCCCCTCCCTCCCAGATGGCCCTTTCCACCTCCTCTGAGGTCACTGTGCTGATCTCAGAGAGGCAGTCAGGGTGGTTCTCTTGGTGCTGCCAGCAAGATGGTGGGGTTGGATGCCCGTCCCCTTCCAAGGCTGGAGCGCTGTCTCCAGCCTCAGAGAGTTTTTCCAAGTGGCCTCTGGGGCACTCTCTAAGCGTGCTCTGTAGGATGACACCCACTGCCCATGGTTTTTGTAAGGACCATGTGTTAAAGCTAATGGGCATGCAACAAGGAGAGGCAACTCGTGGCCCTCCAGTTGTTCTTGGACTGCACCTTGATTGAGATGAGGAATGATGGGAGTTGCCTGCCCTTGTTTTCAAGGGAATCTCCAATGAGGGAGGAGAAGCACTTGGCAGCTGGGGAGCTGTTAGAGGGGTATTAGGACCTCTTTATATTGAATGAGATCAAGCAATGGGAGGCCACCTATGATCCACCCATTAAGTTCGATAAGCTAATTGCAAATGCAGGGCTATTAAGGGTTTTCCATCTCAGGATCTGGATTTTCTCAACACTCTGATTCAGTAGAAGGCAGCTTCCTTTGTTCCTGTTAATTTGAACGATCATGATTGTAATAGTGGTCTGTAGGTGATTTGTTGGTTTAATTTTGTAACTATACCATATAATGGCAAATTGGAGACTGGGTAACTGAAAGTAAAAGGAATGAGGAAACTATATAAGGCACAATAAACCAGAGAGTCTAACTATAGAAGCCTATGTGTGTCTATTCAGATGTAAGTCTCATTGCGTTTAATGGGACTCCAGGTAAATGAGTATAGAACTGCAGCCTAACAGGCAGCTGCAGTGACTGCCATATATTGACTACCAGCTGCTTGGTCCTGCTGCTACAGAGCGTTTTTTGTCTCATGGAGACTTACAGGATTGGGCACGTGGTATCCATTATCTCAGCCTTCCCCAGCCTGGTGCTGGACATCAGATCCCATCATCCCCAGACAGCATGGCCAATGGTCAGGATTCCTAGGAACTGTAGTCCAATACCAAGTACCAGGCTGGGGAAGATTGCATTGTGTGTACAGTGAAAGAAATCCTTTGCCTACTTGACCAGGGAAGAATGCTTGTGCTGTCTTGGGACAGGAGTAGAATTCCTGATGGTGGTGGCAAAAGGTGCCCATTTCCTGCAGCCCTGCTGAATGTCTTTATGCTCCAGATGTGGCCCTTCAGATATTGCTGGACTGCAGCTCCCCATCAGCCCCAGCCAGCAGAGCCAATGGTGAGGGCTGCAAGGAGCTGCAGTCCTCCAACTGCTGGAGGTCTACATGGTCCTTACCTCTACTCCAGGCACATCCCCCTAAGTTGGTTGTCCTTTGCTTATTCATTTGCAAAACGAGTCACAAAGTCAATGTAATGAGAACAGTGTTTAAAGACTACTCAGATTTGGCCCAACCTTCTGCCCAGTGAGAAGTCATCAGCATGTTGAGCTCTGCCTTCAGTAGAAGATTAAATGGGGAAAATGTAAGAACCGTCAGGTGAACTATCTCAAACCTTGCCCCATCAAAGTGTGCTCACACACGTGCGTGCGTGCACGTATACACACATAGAACAATGGGTATATAGTTTAATGCATTGTAAACATAATATACTGTTTAAGAATGGCATCATTAATCAGTTAAACAAAAAACATGACCAAGACAAAGCCAGTCACTTTTCCTATCTTCTGATTTTAGCAGGAGTCACATACAAGGCTGTAACCTATGAGCACTTACCTGGGAATTAGACCCACTAAATACAGTGAGACTTCTCTCTAAGTAAACATACATAGGATTGTGCTGCACCTCTCCCATTAAAATCAATGGGCAGGAAAGGTGCTATGCTTTGGCTGGATCATGCCCCTTAATGATGTTCCTTTAATGGCAATTTTAAATAGTCATGTTAGAAACTGGAATAATTTTCTTGCACTGATACTCAGAAGTTATAGCAATCTGCTTAATATCTTGGCCTTTTGATTCTCAATAAACCCTTTAATTGCTATAAATTATTTCTCCTTTAAACTGTAGTAAGTTTGTTCAGTAATCACTGTAAATTGCTTTAATGCTGAATAAGACCCTGTCTGATATGCAGTTACATAGTGGGTAATGCTTGCTTAGCCCTTAGCTTTTCCAAAGCGGCCATGCAACAAGAGAGCATTTTGTATATGTAAAATAAGATGTTTCCTTCCCCCAAATTAAAAGCAACACACACAACCATTCTCATTAGCTCACAAACATGCTGCAGCCCATTGACTATATATTATTTTAAAGCTTTTCCAAATGTAGTTTAGCTAACATTTTAGAAATATTATATTATTTCTAAATCCATGTGCCTGTTGAAATCTCATTATCTCAGATGATACTGACAAAATGTCATGAAACAGTATCATGTAATACATACAGACATTATTTTGATGCAATAAACATGTGATTTTTAAGGTGCCCTTAACAAATGCACATGTTTATTCTTTGCTAAAACATGTTTCTGCAAGTGCCACACCTATTTTTTGCAAGTATTTCCTCTTTGGTTTTCCCAATAACGATGTTTAAAATGTTTTCCCAATATGGTTCTTTTTTGAAAAGATCAAAATTTCAGATGATTTGATGGTCCTGCTTTGTGCTTTTCCTCCCACTTCCATGGCAAATTGCATCCAATTCTGTGGAACTGTGAAACATGGGTGTGTCACTGAAACATGCATTTTTATATTTTTGCTCCTTATGAACCAGATAACACATGAGATGCAAAGGAAATTTTCCCACAAGTAGCAATTTTGAACTGTATTTTTCCCAAGCGTGGAAAGGAATGGTTGCTAGTTTTTGCAAGCCACATTAGTATTGGTAGAGATTGCATCTCATGTGGAGTGTATCTGGAGTTTTATTATTTGTTTTATAGTGTCATTTCAATGTAATGTGCTGTTCTTTGTGTCTTTGTTGTCTCTTTTTTTTCTTTGTCCCCCCAACAGCATTTTGTCCCGCACAGGGAAGAAGGAGAATCAAGATGCCTCCAATTTGACAGTGCCCATGACCATGTGTCTTTTTCCTGTGCCATTCCCACTCACCCCATCTCTAAGACCACAGGTCAGTTCCATCAACCCTACTGTTACTCGCTCCCTCCTTTACAGCGTCCTGCGAGATGCTCCCACTGAACGCGGCCAGCAAAGTCGTGATGCTCAGTTATCAGACTACCCATCTTTGGACTATCAAGGACTATACGTGACATTGGTGACTCTGCTGGATCTAGTTCCTTTGCTGCAACATGGCCAACATGGTAAGTCAGCCTTTTGCATTCTTGACCCCAGGGCACTGTATCTCTGTGAACAGCTAGGCTTATGTGAATCTGAAGAACACGTGCTTTAATGGCCATGGAACAGAATGTTATATCCTGAAGATACTCTGCATATGTACTTATTATATTGCCATTAGGCCTATGCAAATATGACAGGGGTGTAAATGTTATGCACTTTGCAAATTGGAAGGATCCAGGACCATTCATCTTGCAATGTTATCTCTTAATTTAAATGGAAATGTGTGTAACTGAGGGCAGGTCAGCACCTCTTCCCAAGTGAATTAGGGGTAGATGCCTGTTCATTGCCTACCTGATATGGTCCACAGGTTCAGCCATGTTGTGGGGTCAGGGGCTTGCCATCATTTGCCGCCTCCTTTCTTTCTGCCAGCCCCATGGGGGTTCATGTACATACGTCCACCTCCCCATCAGTTGATTCATCTGAGTGTCTTGCAGCTGTGAACGTCTGAACTGGCACCACAAAGGAGTATGTGGCCTAAAGTAATAGGATTTCTCCCTAGTGTCCATGATGGCCCATTCACACAGGCAAGTCTCCCTTGAAATTGCAGTGATTCAGTAATCAGCATGTATCACAAGCAACCCATGCTTTAGAAGTTCTGGACACCCTTCTGCTGCAAATGCCAGTGTGTTTCAGCTTCAATGGGGAGATACAACCTGGTCTTATTTCTAGTTTATTTGCATGGAGCTTCCTCGCTTAGTGGCTTCAGAGCTAGGGAAGCGGTGGAAAAAGGACTATAAAGGCAAAGGGTCAGAGAAAAGGCAGAAAACTGGGAATAGGTGGTCTTGCTGTCAGCAGTCAAACTCCTGGGTTCCCTTAGCTGCAATCTTCCCTGCTCCCACCTAGCTCAGAGTTCTCTGCCACACCTTGCATGCAGGAGGTCCCAAGTTCAAGGCTCAGTATCTCCAGGATGCTGGGAAAGACCCCTTTCTGGCACCTGCAAGAGGAAATGGCAAATCCAAGTAGAGCAGAGGTGGGAGACCTGCAGCTGCCATAAGGCCCAGCCAGCAGGGATTCTGGGAGTTACATGCGAAAACATCTGGGAGACAGCAGGAGGCCCACCCTGAGTGGGCAACATTCACCTAAATGGACCAGCGGCAGCTCTGTGTTGTGTTTTCGATATCTATGGTTGTGTTCTCTTTTGCTTGAGTGGATTTGCCTGTGACAGTTTTATGACTGAGCTGAGATCTGAGCACAGGATTCTGTGCCAAGTCCAGCATTCTGTTATCCCGCTCTACACTTTCAACTCAAATAGCTTTTGGTGTCATCACATGAAGTATGGAAAAAGAAAGGCATTGAGCAGTCACCATTTCTACAGATGCCATTTTTGACAAGCGTTAGACTGGGAGATGAAGTTGGAAGGTTCAAACTGCAGATAAAGACGTGCATACTGCAAAATGAATATTAAAAATTATTAAATGTAGCAAAGTCACTTTGCATGAGTGAATTTTTTTAATGTTTTAATGTTTTCGTCAGGTCATTGTGTGATTGACATAAGTGCTCAAGAGCTGATTTTTCCTCTGTAAATATTATACTTTGTGGCTGGCCATCCCGAAGATGCAGGTCCCTGTTCTTCCATTTGTGATCAGACCGCAGTCATTGCCGTAATCAACGCAGCTGCTCTATTCTGTGCAGGCAGAGGTCTTTTGGAATTACCAGGGTCACATTGTGGTCCACATTCTGAACGTTCAGGGAGAGTGAATGGTAAATGAAGTTGGTTGTCCAATGTGGATGCAGTCCAGCCCACAATAAAAAGCCTCAGGAAGCTCAGCTTTGAAACCAGTAGACCCCAGTGGGAATAAACTTTGGCTGTTGCATGCCAAGCATCTGCTCTCCACTGGTGTCTGAAGACGTGGTCCTAAGACGGGTTCTTAGATTGCTTCTGAAGAGGATAGAAGCGCTTCTCACTACCAGGCTGCTTCTATCAGTGCAGGGGATGTGAACCTCTTTCAGCTCAGGGACCAATTTCTGGGAAGCTGTCAGGGGCCACACTGCAATGGTGGGTGGGCACAAAGGCAAGAGCAGAGAGGGACCCCCCCCCCCGCAAAAAATCCAGACATTCTTATCTTTGAAGATCTTGCTCCCAGTGATTAAATCTTAGGAATTTCAAATTTTTAGAATGTGGAAAAGTGTGCAAGAATTGGGAAGTCAGCAAGTAATCAGGGTGTGTGTGTGGGGACATTTTGGGAAACTTGGCATACTGGATTGGAATTCCATATGGGCCATATTTGGCCTGCAGTTCACCACCCACCCTAATGATGACCTTGTTCCTTTCCAGTTAACTCTTTCACCATATTGCATTTCCAAGACAGGTTATGTTAAGAAGTTCTTGGCCAGCAGCAGGGACAGACACCTGCCCACTATCTTGGCATTTTCCTCAAATTCCTGACTTGTGCATACGGCCCCCCTCAGCAGCTGCTGCCAGAGACAGCCCAAGGGAGCCCAAGGGCTCAGCCATGATGGCTGGACTTCATGAGACTCAGGCATGTCTCAGTCCCATTTAGCAATACACTCAGGTTCAGCGTTCTCTTGCAACTGCTTCTGCAACGTATTCTGATGAGGCTTCCCTCACCATCTTCCCTTCCAAGATTTCTTCCCTGCCGGAGAAAAGATGTCTTTGGCAACCACTGACCTAGCTTAAATAGGCCTCCTAAGAAGATAGGGTTAGATCCAGATTGAATCATACTGAAACCAGGCCCATTGAAATCAGTGGGACTTAAGCAAGATGCACTTTACTGAATTTCCATGGTTTTCAGGGGATCTACTCTCACTGCAACTGAATCTGGCCCATAATATGTAGGATGCCTTCTTTCATTTAACCAAGCATTCATGTCGTTTGTTTTTGTGCCTTTGACAGATCTTGGGCAGTCGATTTTTTACACAACCACGTGTTTGCTCCCTTTTCTCAACGATGACATCTTGAGCACTCTGCCATATACAATGATCTCCACGTTAGCCACCTTTCCACCATTTCTGCATAAAGATATTATAGAGTACTTGAGCACCTCGTTCTTGCCCATGGCTATATGTAAGTAAATTCTGGTTACACTTCTGAAAGAGAATGGCAGAATCCTCTGTTTTGATTGAGGTTATTTTTGGAATTTCCTATGGGGACGTGAAAACACAATAAATCAGCCTGTGGAAAAAACCCAAAGGTTTCTTCTGATTGACATAAGACAATGGAGTACTGATTTTGTTTCCTTAAGTTGCGATCTTCCCCCACAGCTCAAATCTGATTTCAATATCCCTCTCAGATACAAAGCTGAAAAAATCCATTTTAGGAAAGCAGAATTTGCTTTCTAAGCCAAGGTCTAGGGATAGCGGTTTGGGAAAAGTGAGACGTCATCTTGCCCAGAGCCCAGGCGAGGGATAGCTGTGCTGTGAGCGTCCCGCTGCAGGAGATCCACAAGTGTCAGAAGCTCCCGCTTGAGACTCTCCTGCACCTCGCGGTCTGGCTGACTTGCCACTGCTGTGCAGTCTCTGTGGAGTCTCGGCGTGATGTGCATGGCCACGGACACCTCTGCTGACACAAGGGCTAGTGCCAAGGGTAGGCGTGGCTGGGCCCTTGTCAAGGCAGCCCAATGTCTCAAATCTTTCAGTGTGTCCACCAGCCCAACAGGAGAACGTCTAACTCCTTTCCCCAGTGTGAGGATAGCAACAGAAAACCAATTTTTCTGCATACTTCAGGCTGGAACAAGAGATTTTGCTGCTTTGACAAAGGTGTAGAATGGCACCTTCCTCCATCCTATGCCCAAAAGCCAGATAGACTGGGAGATTCATCTTCATCCAGGCTGGCGATGGGGCAGGTTGCTTGACTGCTCCAGGGGGCAGCAGGCTAGCTTTGTGCAGGGCAGGCTGCCTGACGCACACACGGTTGTGCCCTCCAACCAGAGTTGCACCGGAGTCAGAGCTTGCAGGAACACAGTCCTGGCACTTGGTTGTCTTCCAATTTTCTGGGATGGCACATGTACCTTCTCCCCCACATCCACCTTTCCCATCCGCTTCTCTCTTTTCTCTCTGACTTTACCTGCAGTCCCTACAGAATTTATTTGTTATATTTCTACCCTGCCTATTTTGCTTCAAGGGATTCAAGGCAAAGTCCATGACTCTCCTCTTCCTCTCAATCTTATCCTCACCTCAGCCCTGTGAGGGAGGTTAGGCTGTGAATTAGGGATTGAGCCAGGGAGCTTTGTGGCTGAATTGGAACTAGAACCCAGATCTCCTGGATCCAAGCCCACAGGCCAGCCGCTCTGCTACACTGGCTTTCAGCACCTGGATGAAAATGAATTTTCTGTCTGGAATAATAAGTCAGTTGATTATGTAAGACTAGCTAACTATGCAGAAAGACAACCAGCCAAAGAAAATGATATGTGGAAATTATATTATACACAACCTCTCTTTTAATAATAATGACAGAAAAATATAGGTCCAATGGATTAGAAGATATGAGAAAACTGTATGAGATTAGAAGAATCTACTATGAATTTTAATCAAGTCCAAAAAAGTGATTGTGTAGAAAGGATAATAATTGTTGACTTACAGCAATTTTCCTTGAATATTGATATTCTAGGTAACATGTGCTCAAGAACCCTTGGTGTTTCTTTGTAACTTCTATGTGTAGTCTTATTTTTTTCCTTTCTTTTCTCTCTCTTCTTTCTAAATTTTAGTTATTAAAATAAAAAAAATTAAGTGAATTTCCTAAGCACCAATATAGATTGTTCCCTGTTGCGGTATGAAGTATGTGGGGGCGGCTTGGTCCTCAATGGGCAAGACCTGTTTTGGAAGAGAAGAAACTAGCCAGCCTGCTGATATGGATAAAGATAGTTGCCTGCAGCTTTGCTTGCTTTTGCGGGGTTATGCCATGGGGACTGCTATTCTGGGTTCAGAATTTATTACCACCAGCATTCTGACTCCAACGCCTCCACGCTGCTCCCAGCCACAGCATCTGCTCCCTGAGGCGGCTGCCTCCATCTATCTCATGGTAGGGCTGGCCCTTACTCTGGGATCAGTCCCCTTTCTACACTTAAATCCATCCATAAGAAGCTACACTGACAACTTGTTTGCTTCCAAGCCCAGTTTAAGGGGCCGGTGTTTGCTTTAAATCCAAATAGTTCAAGTGATGTCTCTCTCTGGGCCAGCTTGCCTGTTTTAAGATCTGCACAGAAGACTCCCCTTTGGGCTGATTTGGCAATGGGAGATCAGTTTATAGGAGCTGTACTCAGTGACCTTCTCAGTGGTGGCACCCCATCCTCGAACAGCCTTCTCACTAAAGCTTAACTTAAAATGTGTATTTGAATTTCAAGTGCAATAGTGGTTTGAATGAAGCCTGTTCCGCTTTTGATATCACTAATTTGTTTTTAATCTGATGTCATGTTCTGCTTTCTCCTATTTATGGAATAGCCTGGTTCTTACAGTTTTCATTTATGTTCCATTTTTCTTAGCATAGCAGTTGGATTAAAATACTTTAAATACATATTTTATCTTATTTATAGAATAATTCTTGCAAAACACTAGGAAGCTTGAGCACATGTAAACAGTGATTGGAAAAATGTTTTTCCTTCTCTGCCCAGTTGACTTTTAAATACTTTTCTATTTTTTCTTTTACTGTTGATGTTGCTTTTGATGCTTTCCCTGAGTGTATCTACATTCAGTATCATATACCACTGACAGTATGTATTTTTTTGAATTTCATCATGCAGCCCTAAGCATGTATAGCCAAAAGCAAATCCCATTGAGGTCAGTGGGGCTTACTCCCAGGAAAGTATGTATGTGATTGCAGTTTTTATGTTCATAAGCAGACTGCATTAAGCAGAATGCATTGCAAGCAGTTTCTACTGTGTTTTATTCCACTGAATACACAATCATATATAGGATAATATAATGTCACTTAAAAAGCTGAATTATTCATAATGAGAATGTAGGGACACGCATACTAACAAAACTCAGGCTTTCCAAAGTTCTGCAAATTCTGCCTTGAAGTTTGTTCTGATATGTATCTGTGCTTATTTGTGTACATCTTTTTCCAAAAACATCCATCAAGTGTATCTTTAAAATGTCTGCGTTCTTCAGATACTTCAAAAGTATATGTTTTTCATGTGTATTTTTGTGTCCTTTTTTTGGTCTCTGAATCCTAATGCGAACTTGGAAACATAGGAACTTCTACCACAGATTCTATCTGTGACCAAGTCTTAGTTCAGTCCAGAAGGTGCAAACAGGATCAATCCTGATTACATTGAACTGAAATGGTTTTCTCTTTCATCCCTGTTAGAATGACAGGCTCTGCTTCATCTGCTGAGCCCCTCGTGTTTGTAGAACTGCTTTCTATGGCTACAGCTTCATAGAAACCACTGTAGCTCCTGTAGCTCTGAAAGAATAGTCTCACAGATAGTGTTGTGTGTTTATGGAACCAATTCCCCAGAAATGTGAATAAGCAGTGGCAGCTCAGTTCTCCCTGTGAAATCTTTTCTTGCACAGTTCTAATTCTGAGCCCTGATTCGGAGGTGAAATCTATTTTCCATGGTCTCCTCTGGGAGGATCAAGCAACCACTAGTGGCATGGATTCATCCTAGGCCCAGTGGCAGAAGGCAGGTTTTGGATAAGGAAGGTCCTAAAGTCATTCCCTGGCATGGAAACTGAATTGGTTGCAGGCCCTTCTTGCCATCTTTCTGCTTACACAATCCTATGCCGTTTAGCTGGGGAAATTGATAGCACAACTTCATTAGAGGGTCCTGAATTTTGAAAGGTTGAAAATATCAGCCTTTTAGCTTTCTTGTGGTGTTCAAAATGTGCCTATTATCATATTTAAATGTGAAAATGAGCCTTGGAGATTGTCAAAAAATGACTTAATTTTGCTCTATCTGTTGTTTTTCGCTACCAATGAACCTGTGCTACAGCTGTTTTGGACTTCAACTACCAGCAGCCCCTGCTAACATAGCCAATTATTTGGAATGCTGGAAGTTGTGATCCAAAAAATTAAAGGACAAGAGGCTGGGGCAAGTTGGTCTGTTGGGTCTCTTGTTGCCTTAGCAAACTTTTAAGTATTGAAATGTGTCACAATTTCAGCTAGGAGAAGTCTAGCGTCTTCAGCTAGAAGAAGTGTCCAGTTTTCAGAGCACTTTGGACATTTGTGTAAAAGCATTTCTGATCCTCTTTTTCCAACTATGTGCATATGTGTGTGTTAATTCTAAGAACTGTCTTCCTGTATCAGAACACCTAAGGTATTGCTATCACCTCATTTAGACATATTAAACCATGGCCTAGCATTACACATATTCTCGCTTCCAGCATGTCTGTGAAGAGGAGTTTGGAAGCTTTTGCATCCATTTCAGATTAACTACAGTTTATTGGAATGTGTGAACTCAAACAAGCTTATTGGAATGTGTGAACTCAAACAACTAAATTTTGTGAAGCTGGCTAGTTTCAACTAAGCATAGTTAAGAACAAATGACATGGTAAACTGAAGTTAATCTTAACTGAAAACAAAAGCTTATGATCTCCTCATGACTGTGTCGGAAGAAGAGATGGGGCTTTGCTCAAGTCTGTAGCTTTCTGTGGCTCATTCTTGTAACGCTAAGCCATGTATTTCTAGTTCTGATTTGGAAAGCAAGCATTAACCACTGCTTACATTCCAGACAACATACCAAATGATGGTTAGTGCTAAACTGAAACTGAAAGTGGAGCTACACATGAGAGGAGAGCACTGAGAGGGAGCAGCTTATGAATCCACAAATTGTTTCTGGCCCTCTGAACCATGTTTTGGAAGATTATCTGAATGCAGCCAATATTGCTGATAGCAGTTTCCTAGCACAGATATTTTCAGTGTTTCTTTCCAGAGCACCTAATGACGGTCTTAAAGAAGCTAATCTAAATTTCAGATTCAGTATTCTCATGGAGAAACATGAGAATTCACTCTTATTTTTTAAAATAGAAATAACTGGCTTTTTCTTAACGTAAGCAGAATGTTGATATATATATATATATATATATATATATATATATATATATATATATAAAAATAAAAAATACTCCTACGGAACACTGTAGAAGGCCCAAGCTAAGCCAGTCTTGCTCAAAATATATACATTCTCTGTCTCAAACTCTTTTCCAATTCCTGCTGGTTCTCTCTCTCACACCCTAGTCTGCATCCTACAATTCTATCATCAAAATGCTTGCAATATACAGTGGCTGAAAAGAAACTATTTCTGGTTGTTCATAAAAGTGAGCAATTTTGCCTGGTGGAAAAGAATGAGACCCAATATTGCTTCAGTTCTACTGCCTCTTCTGTGTAAGTCTTGGTGATGCTCTTCCTCTGAAAATGTACATCTATACAATGCAATATTACATGTCCCATTGATGGAATGTCTGCAAACAGAGCCAGCACAAAACATGACTTATATAAGGTGGATCTGCTGCGACCTAGTTTGCGCTACTTTCTGCTTCCTTCTCTCTCCCCACCACCTGCTCTTTTCAAATGTTTCTGCTGCTGCCGGGAATCCCAAGATTTCTGGAGCCATCATGCCCCTCAGTGCTCTGGGGAACTCAACAGGTTTATTTTCTCTGAAGCCTCCGAGAACTTTGGTTCCAAATATTGTTTAAAGTTTAAGCTGTTAAGATGTAAACTGGAAAGTGTAATGGTTTCAACATTAAGACTATATTCTGTACCACTTCAGCGAGGAGGGAGTGGTGGAGAGGCTTCTCCCAGGCCATCTTGTCCATAATGCCGGACAAGGACATTTTCTTCGGTGTGAGGCATGGGGCAGGTGCCTTGAAAAACCCCTAAGGGCATTGCCAGCAGCTTTCTTGCTGTGCCAGATATAATTTAATATTAAGCAGCATTTTCTGGCCTGGCAAAAGTTAGTGGGGTGCTTCAGCAGGGGCTAGTGGACCAGCAGGCTGCAGCAGTAGCAGCTGTTGGCGACGGCGTGTGATACAAGCATCTGCCACAGGCTGCCCTACAGTCAGCAGGTGAAGGAACAACTGCTGCCGCGTCACCTGAGCCACATGGCACACTGTGGCTTATGGAAGGGCCAGTCCTGCTAGTGAGCCATGTGGCTTGCTAAGGAAGAAAAGGATGAGAACATGAAGAATGATGCTCGGAAATATGGAAGAGGCCCATGGTTCTGATGTATCTCCAGCCAAGCAGCTATGGCTGGTCTGAAGAATTATGAACTAATGTGACTGTGGACACATCTTTTGGTGACCATCTCCAGATTTTTATTCTATTTCTTGATTTTTTTTTCTGAACTGGGACAATGCTGTGCTACCCCGAACCATCTTCATTTGGGCTCCAAAGGACAGCTTTGTGTTTTGGGGGTGAAATGTCATTTGTATCTTGTCTTAGGTCCTTGGACAAGTTATTTTCAGTTAATATCAAAAGATATCCTTCTGGAAAGTGAGTTTTTGTAACTAGCTGTGCCCACTATGGTAGCCATTTTATGCATGGGCAATCCTGCTCACCTGAGGAGCCATTTTGTGTGAATTCCCACGATGCTTTCTCAAAATTCTAAATAGGGCTTCCAGTTCAAAAATGTTGGGGATCCTTGCAGCCTTGAAGATTCTTGACTTGAACAGATTGTTACAGTGAGGATTGGTGTTCAGACTAGAAATCTTTGGCTGTGATTCATGTCAGAAGTAGACTATGCTATGATAAATTGCTATGCAGTGAGTGAGTGGACGCTGTGTTTTATTTTTTATATTTTGTATTGTTAAACCATCCCAAGATTTAAGTAATGGGACAGTCTAGAAAAGTTTTAAGTTAAATAAATAAATAAATAAATAAAATGAGATGCAGAAAACAGAGACTTTTGGAATAAAGTCATAGAATGAGCTCCCTAGGAATATCCTGTACATGGTGCAACATAAGCCAGAAGGTTATAATCATATATTTGGATTAAACGTTTATGATGTTAATTGAGAGATTTGTGTTGCTAGATGCTGATTTTGTTGTTGTTGTTTCTTTTGAAGTGGGCTCTTCCAGAAGGGAAGGAGTACCGGCTCATGTCAATCTTTCCGCATCTTCAATGCTAATGATTGCAATGCAGTACACATCAAATCCTGGTATGTACCACTTTTTATGGCTGACAGTCTTCCAGGATATAAGTTGCATAGCAGCATGTAAAAAATGTGGACTTGATTTTTTTTAGCTGACCTACTTGAAAGCTAACGTTGTATGAACTGTTTTACAGCAAGATCTTTAATGCTTCTCACTGTGTTCTTATTTTGAAAAGCATTGAAAATAGCGCCTTTTAAACGTCTGCCTGAAGGAGCTATTTTGGCAATATGTGAATTTCACAGAGTAGCAAAGGTACATTTGGAACCCAGTGTTAAGACGTTGAACAAGTTCCGTACATTCTATTTTAATTCCAGAAAATGAAACAGCATCAGTTCTTTATCACAACTGCTTTGGTGATAATTAAGTTGAAACTGAAGCTGAAGTTCCTGTTAAATTTAGACAGAAATGTGTCGATTGCCTCATATCCGGCAGTTCACTGAGGTTCTTGATCACACCTGCTTGCAGAAGGACAAATTGCGACTCCTACAGCCTGATCAGTTGATTGCAATTACAAAGACAGGAATTATGATGTTGGATCTGATAAACAGGGGTCTATTCTTTTTATTATGTGCATGTTTTAGCTCCCCCCACCCTTTAACAGACAAAGTCTCCTTGGCTTAACAGCCCCTAAACAAGGATAAACCAACAGGTAAACCTTTCTCCATCATGACATTGCTACATGGTGTGTGTGTTGGGGGGGGGGGGAGATAATTTGAATGTTGGGTGGCAGCCATGGCACTCTATTGATACAAAGATAGCATTGCTCTTGGCAGTGCCTCAACATCTTAAGAAGCACTTGGATTTGGTTGAAATATACAGCCCCATCGGCCCTCATCTTTGAACGGGTCTGTCTGTGGAAATGGTGCATAATATGCAGAACAATGTTAGCCAAGAACAGGCCAGTAGATTTGGATCAAGTGGGAGATCACTAGTAGATTGGCAAGAATGTCTCACTCCCAACTGCTTAGCAATGCCAGCAATAAAGTGGGCACATCCAGCAAATTATACTGCTGGAGCAAAGGATGCTTGTGGTAACCAGGAATTGCGTTTTTGTGTGGAAGGGCTGTGAACTTCACGCTGGTATTCTAATTCCTGGACTTATAATTAATTCATTCAATATGTGTGTCTTTTGCATTAGACTTCAGTTGGTAGATTTCAAGGTTCTACTGAAAAAATATTTCCCACAAGCCTGATGTCTACCCATCCCGGCTTTGAATTCTCTTCTTCATGCTAACTTTGCACATATAGGAAGTGTGAAGCATATACAAGACTGTGCATAGGAGCATATTCACACATGCAACTTGCCATGTAGATTCTGAGCTTTGCAATCTGAATGTTCCCTTGATCAATGCATGAATTGGCTTCCAGTATCCATATATAGGATGGTAATCATGTATCAAAAGTTAAAACTGTCTTTTTTCCATGTAGGCTTTGAACCACCAAATAGATACGAATTAAGCTAATACGTATGGCTCAAAGCATTTGTGTTCCTTGACTTTGCATTTCAAATGCTCCTCTTTAATTTATCTTTTCTCTCCCAGTCTATCATTGTCAGTTACTAGAATGCCTCATGAAGTATAAACAAGAAGTCTGGAAGGTAAGTTTGCAACCAAACTTATGCTGTGGAAATGGTAGCATGGACTACAATTTACAAGTGGTATCACTTTTGAGTGACCAAATCAGTTGGAAAAATTGAGAAGTCTGATCCCTTTTGAGGAGCATGTAAGTATCACATTGCTGGGGTAAGGCAAAAAGAGTGTTCCAGGTGTTTCAGACTTCAACACCCAGGGTTTCTGACTATCGCCATGCTTTCTTCTGCCAATCCTTTTTGTATTGCAACCTGAATTTATTCATGACATTGTCCTGCATCATGTTCATGTTAGATTCCAGCCTTAGAAGGGGCATGAGCTAGTGGAGCTCTGGGAAAAAAACAACAACTAGTACTGATGTAGTGCTCTAAAACATATTTTCACTCACACAATTTTGAGGAGGAACAAAAATCAGGAGGGGGCACAATTATATAGGAGCCAGATCTGCAGTGGGAAGAGGGTGGCTTCCTGAGCTCTTTAGTAATCTAGTTGCCTGGTCCACTTTTTATTGTTTGTTAGGTTATGGATTTCTGTACTTCTGAACATAATCTTAATAGCATTTGAATATAATGACTGTTCTTGTAATGGTGACAGTTCTGAACCAGGAGAGAGACAGAGCTGTTAGCTCCTTTCCTCAACCATCCCACATCCCTGGATCTTTTCAAGATTCCAGTCTATTCTATCACCCAATTGCACCAAAATTAGAGCCATTCTTTTCTTTAGCCTGGATTGTTGAAATACCACTGATTGTCCCTTTCCAGTTTGTTTCATCTTTCGGGGTTAGCCTGTGTCAACTGATAGGTGATATCCTCATCATCCTTCGTTTCTGTTAAAAAGCAGCTTAGAAAAAAGGTAAAATGACATTATTTTTAAAAGCAAGAGAGACCTACAAAATTAAGCAATCATAAAATAGTTGCAAACCTTTCGGGTGGAAACAAGAAGGTAGGTCTGGATTTTCTGCTTGCTCTCTGGCACAACTTTGAAAAACTGACTCTGATGGGCGTTTGAGACATTTCCAGCCTGAGAGCCAAGAGCAGGCCAAGCTGGTGGGGGCTTGCTGGCTTCTGTAGAATTGCTTGAAATTTTTGTACAAATTTGGAGCAGAGAGCTGGGTATCTCTAGGATAAGATTCATTACCTTCTAGTCACTGTTGTTCTTGTTGCTGTGTTTCTTGCAGCATTTAAGGTGGGAAGTATGGAAGCATCCTCCTTTCACTGCAGGCACACATTCCACCTCAGCCAGCTTGAATTTTCTGAGAATTCATTTCAGATTTGTATAAAATTTGGACCTCCTCTGTGCACTTGGCACAGAATCGTGGATTGGAAGCTCAAAGTTTGTACAAAATGACACAACCAGCCACATCCACATGCTGGCTTGACTCACGCCAGATTGTGTCAGTGCCAGTGTAGGGTTCACAGAACGGAATATGGAAAATCCATGGAATTTTCAGCCCCTGTGATCAGGTTGCTTCCACATCCTTATTTCTGGGTGATCCCAAAGCATTTCTTTCTCTCACAGCAGCAGAAACTATTTCCTAGCTTCCACTTTGTGGATTAGGCCACTGAAATAGAAGAAAGGTGGGGGTGGTGGGGGAACTTAGGAACGAGTTTTTGTATGGCAAGATTGTGAATGTAGCCCAAGTGCTGAAAAATAGTTCTTGGGTTGCATATTCTAAGGTTATCTTTCCCCCAGCCCAGGGCCATCTTAACAGCATTATGGGCCCCAGGCAAAGCAGTGTACTGGGGCCCCTACGACAACTACAACTTGTTAATTTTGGAAGTTTTCCAATTTTCCAAGGGTTAACATACACAGATTAGTATGGGGCCCACGGGCAAGTGCCCATCAGGCCCACGCGTTAAGACAGTCCTGCCCCATCCCCACATTCCTGAACTAAGATGTTTCATCTAGTTCCACTAGTAGATCTACATGGGGGCGGGAGGAACGAAACCAGTAGATTGCACAAATGAAACTCCAGGTTCTGCCCCGGAGTTAAGCAAAGCAAGACAGTACATACAGTTGCGAACAAATAGTGCTGTCCTGCGTGGGTCTACTCAGAGACAAATGCTGTTGGGTTCACTGGGGCTTAATCCGAGGCAGATGGGTGCAGCCCTGCAGGTTGGGAGTATCCTGGTCTTCAGAAGAACACCGAAATGCACATCGTTTTCAATGTTCTGTTGCTTGGGTCTTGCTGCATCTGTGAATCTTGACACTGTCTGCAATTAAACTGCAGCGCCCCTGTCTTTCTCTTAGGACTTGCTGTACGTAATCGCCTATGGCCCTTCTCAAGTAAAACCTCCTGCAGTACAAATGCTTTTTCACTACTGGCCCAACTTAAAGCCCCCAGGGGCAATAAGTGAATACCGAGGACTGCAATACACAGGCAAGTATGCCACAGTCAAGCTGCCCATTCATACTCAATGATAATGCCTCAGCACAGATGCTTGTTTTTCTGAACAGTGATGTATTCAAACGTGGTGTTTAATTGGAGCAGTATGTTTCTGTGATATGTCAAACTGTAAAGCAGTCAAGATGGCAGTCGGTTTTCATCTCCTGCTTAGAAAAGGAATTCAGTATTGGAAGCAGAAAACAAGAGACACAGTGGAAGGATTCGCACTGATGGTTTTATTTATTTATTCAATTTATATGCCACCCACTAGCCGTAGGCTCTCTGGGCGGCTTACAACATACTAAAATCCAACAACATCAAACAATACAAATACAATATAACATCTGCTACAAGGACCAATGATAACAATAAAATCTGTAAATAAATTAACAGAGTTAAAACCAAAATAGAAGAATAGAATTAATAAATACTAAATACTGTATGCATATATAAAACCCAAAAATAAAGCATAAATAAATATCTTTCCTTTAAAAGTATGTCCCATTGGCAGCAGAATAAAAATAACATTATTAATACCTAGAAATTCACCTGTTAAAATAACTGTCAAACAGATAAGTCTTTAGTTTGCACCTAAAAACCAAAAGAGTTGGTCACATCTGGACCTCGAGTGGGATTTAATTCCAAAGTTGGGGTGCCATGCAAGAGAAGGCCCTCTTCCTGGCAAACTCCTGCCTCATTTCTTTAGGGGGAGGAACATGGAGGAGGGCTTCAGATGAAGGCTGCAGCGAATGGGCTGCGACATATGCCACATAAAGATGCTCGCTCAGATGACCTGCCCCCACACCATCAAGGGCTGTGCATGTCATCATGAGCCCTTTCACTTGGGCCTGGGCAGCAACCGGCATCCAGGGTAACCTGGACTGTAATTGGCATGGATGCTTTAGGTGTAAAATTCCTGTGTTAGGGCAGAGGCTTGGACCAGGTTCTCCGCTGGGCGCTTCTAATTCTCTGATCCTATAATGACATGGCTGAGTTCTACAATAACTACCACAGAACAGAGTCGTGTTGCTGTGCAATTCCTCCGTGATATCTCTGTGGCTGTTCAGATTAGAGAATGGAAAGGAATGCAGCTTCCTTGGGTTCGTGGCACTATCACCGTATTCTTCCTGCTCTCACAAGCCCTGGTTCACACATGGATGCAGATCCCTTGATTTTACTTCCCACTTGGCTATTTGGATTATTTGGCACTTGCTGAGGCATAGCCAGTGGTGTAGTCGTACATTTTGAAGTGGGGGCACTCACCATGACACTCCCAATAGCCCCCTCACAAAAAGAGTTCAAAACACAGGCAGCTGGGTTCATTAGTATTAACCAACTAATTCTAGTAATTTGCATCACTAGGAGCAGCTGTTTTGTAACGTGCATGGGTCCAAGCCATCCCAGAAATTTGCACAATAATAGAGAACAATAGATTGTTGCTGGGAAAATTCATTTCCTCACCTACTGTAGGGGTGGTAGCTAAGCTTGGAGGGAGGTTAGGGGTAATAGCAGTGGTGGAAGATTGCATAAAAATTCAGGTGTTGGCTATACCACTGGTTGCAACTGAATTTGCATTGTGCACGGACATCACCCGAAAGCTGAAATCCCTTCCTATATTAGGACTTTCTTCTTACATGGTTAGCAACAGCTGTGCCCTGCCCCCGCTCCAGTGTGCTACCAGGCATGTGTACAACATACGTATTGTTTACAAGGGTAGGAACCGGTAGGATTGTGGAAAGTCTTAGCTGTGCACAGACACACAGATGCACATTGCAGACAAGCCCTTTGCTCTCTGGAGAGTGTGTATTTTGTCTATATGTAATTTGCTGCTGGCCTCTCTGTGTGCATTCCCCAGATGCATGGAGAAGAACCCCAAACTACTGCAAGCATAATTCTATGCAGGTTTAGACAGAAACAATGTCTAAGAGATTTTGAGATGATACACAAATTCTCAATGTGGTTTAAATTGGTAGCTGAAGACAGATGAAGTGTTTTAGAGCAATGGACACAATTTGGAAGCATTTTCACTGCAGTGAGAATAATTGTTCCTTTTTCTAGGGCTGAAGTCTGGAGAAAAAAATAGTGTTGTGGGTTTGCAGCAATTAGCCAGCTATGGATAGCACTGATTGGTCCACATCTATGATGTCATTCATATACTTTCTTCCAGTTCCCCAAGCCATTTTGTTTGTTTTTAAAATTTTTTGCCATGCTTTTAATGAATGAACATGAAAAGGGACATGGAATGCTTTACCTTAAAAAAGCAAAAATGCTTGTCAACCCAGTGGAAAGACTGAAGAATGGGAAAGAGAAAAAAATGGATGATTGAGTCCGTAGTGGTAAATCTGTCTACTGTTCATATTGCAAAGAAGAAGAAAAGCCAGACTCATTCTGTAGTGAAAAGGCTGTCATTTTATACTATGCCTGTTTAACCATGTGGTAGCTCCTTCCTTCATTCAAACCATCACTTCTCTGTAGTCATCAAGTGATGTATGAGGTGGCGTGAACCAGCTCTTCAAAACTCCTGACACTAGACTGCAGAACTATGCAGAAGATACTCCAGGTTTAAAATATAAGGACATTTTCTTATACCCATGCTGTACCTAGTTCACCATTGTTACGTTGCAGGTTATCAGGCTGGGTTCTTTCCCTCTGAGTTCCTTTAAAAAGGAGTTGTGAGGCATTTAATCTGGTTCTGGAATGCACTGCAGTCTGTACTCTCTCTCTCTGATGCAGCTCCACATCTGGAAGAGCTGACATCAAAACAGGAAAGGACAATAATTCTAAGTCTTGCAGATGCTCAAGGTGCCAACCTGTGCCTGAGACCAAATCTTGTCACTTGGAATTCATGGAACTGATACTGTGGGTGTCACTCAATAGTGCCTCTACCCCATAACAAGCTCTTGGTTAACTTTGGTGTGTTTATCCATGGTGTTTTCTTTTTCAGCATGGAACCCCATACACTGCCAGCATATTGAATGCCATAATGCCATTAACAAGCCAGCAGTGAAGGTAATGGGCATTTTTGCACTTCCTGGAATGTACCCACTGAGAAGCTATTGCCACCATGTCACAGTGGTCTCTGGAATGGCGGGGTCTCTTTCAGAGTTAGAAATGGAAAGGAAGCCCTTGTCATCTCCAGAATGATATCCCCACCTCTCAAGCCATGGCAGTGCCAAGTGTAACCAAAGCCCCGTGGAAACACTCTCACTCCTGTTTAAATACCTCCTTTCGCTAGAAAACTTTTTATAGATTGTCCAGGTGACAGGAATTTCCATCCCAAATCCACCTCCTAATCCTGAAAGACCAGCTATGATTCTGTAAATGTAGATACATTGCTGCCCCTCTCAGAGACTTAACTTCTCTCAGGGCCAGATATTTTGAACTTTGAGTCCCATAAGCCCCTGCCAGCATGGATCCTAGGCAGGAGTGCTGGGAATTGAAGTCCAACACATTCGGAGATCTAGCTTCTGTCTGCCCCTGAGCTACAGGACAGGCCTACTGGACAACCATAATCCTCTGGGCTGAACTGTTGGAACTAATGCAAAATGAGGCAGCTCATCGTAAAGCTAGTGTTGTCCCCAGTTTGGATTTTGCTTTATGTAACTACCATGCTTGGCACTCAAATAGTAAGCGCCATGAGTTCAGGAGTGGGTATGCTACTGTTTGAGTGAAGACGGAGGGCAGTACTAAGCGTTCGCTCTCCTGTAAGTAAGGTGGACCTGCACATTATAGGAGGAATGGAGATGCTACCAAACATGACACCCATATGCCCAACCTGCTTCCTCCCCGACACAGTAGTGTGTACTAATGTGTACCCCTGTCTTGACATCATGTCATTGTGCATTTCCACACACCCTTCAGTCCTTGAGGTGACTTGGGATGGGGCAATGCACAGTGTCACCCTCTCAGGGTTACAATGTCATGTTGACACAAGGCAAGTCCTGTAATATGGACCTAAAGAGATGGGAACTCAAGGATGCTCTTTTGAAGGACCCCTCTGCCTCTTAGAATGGAAAATTCTACCCTTTGTGCCAGGAGGAAGCAAGTTGAAATACCCTGTAAAAGTCTAATCAGCCTTCCCCAAGGTGGAGCCCCATCAGAACTTTTGGACTTCATCTCCCATTAGCCCCATTCAGCATAGCCAATGGTCAGGAATGCTAGGAGTTAGAATCCAAAGTGACTGGAGGGCACCAAGTACGGGGAAGCTGCTTTAAAAGATTCCTCATGCTTCCCTGCCGTGTGGCAAGTTGTTTATGGAAGGCAAATGGATATTTTCCTTTGAAATTGTAGCTAACAGTTTTTCCAGGCTTGTCCATCACACATTTGTTGATATATTTAAGTCCAGCTTAGTTCTGGTCTGCCAGTGTTTACCACAGAACCTCCAGATGTGCTTAGCAGTCAGAGCTAATCCATTAGATCTTGACTTCTTTCTCTGGGATCAGTGTAGCATCAGCAGGGATATCCCAAGAAACTCTCTCCTGCACTTCCTGCATCCAAGCACCAATGAAGTTTGCAAAGAGGCCACAGATTCTATGCTGTCAGTGAACACAATCAAGTGCTAATGAGGGTTGGAGTTTTCATTTGCAGGGGAGGCGGGTTCATTGTCCAGAGAACCTTTTTGGTGAGAGAAACTGATTTTGTCCTTCCTGTTGTTTCAGATGTGCATAGATCCTTCCTTATCAGTGGCTCTGGGTGATAAGCCACCCCCTCTCTACCTTTGTGAAGAATGCAGCCAGAGGATTGCAGGGTGGGTAGTCTGGGGCAGGGTGGGGTAAAAAGGACCAGAAGATGCTAAAGATGATGAACTTAAGCATCCAGAAACCTGTATCGAGTCCTCTGACTGAGCTGAATGAAAAACGGAAACCAAATTCCACCAACAGTGACATTCTGAACTAGCTAGATAGCAGGAGAAAACAAACCAATTTGCAAGTCAGTGCAAGTTTGATCCCCCCCTCGCCCCCATTTTGACACCACAGGAAATCAGTTATTTTTGGGACTGTGCCACTTCTCCTGGCAGATGTGGCTGAACAAAGGACTACACTGACATTGGGAAAGATGAAAAGGAAATCAACGTCTGTCAGTAGCTTTGAGGAAGGATAGAAGGGCTTTGATTCAAGACTGAAGAGAGCAAACTGAGAAAAGGAAAAAGTTGGTAGAACAGCCTTCCCCAACCGGCTGCCTTCTGGATATTTTGGACTACAAATATTGGGTGATGGGATTTGTGGTCCAAACACCTGGAGAAAGGGTGTTCTAGAATTTGTTCAAATCTTCATTGATCTTAATGCCTTTAGGAAAATTCTTTGCCTTTAAAACTGATCCTCACTACCATGAGATCTAGAAACCTGAATATTTTTTAAAAACCCAGATTACCATGTATCTTCTTATTCTCTTACAATCTGCATATAATAGAAAAGTCAACAGATCTAAGGACATATCATTTAAAGAAGTTTTGAAAGTGATCTAGATACATGCATTAGTATTGGTGATGTCCACATGCATTCTGTCAAAGTCTAGTTCTTCCCAGGAGCTCAGAACAAAAAGTTTCTAACTGCAGTTTTTATTATGTTAAAACTGGCCAGCTAGGCTAGCTTTGTGATGTAAAAGAGGAGCATTGCCATTGATGAAAGTTAGAATACTGGCTATTAAAAGAGGAGCATTGCCATTAATGAAAGTTAGAATACTGGCTATTAGGGAAATAGGCTTAATGCTAAGAAATTGGTTCCCAACTGAACCCCTCTTGTCCATCCCACTAAACAGTGTTAGCTCCACCCTTAGGGTGGTTCCTGCTGCTTTTGGGTCAGACAGTAGGAATATCAGATGCTACTCCACTGGACCATGGGATTGATTATGTTTTGTCTGCCCCCATCTAACTCTGCTGTGCAAGTTTTGCACCGCGTCAGATGGAGTCTGGTTCTCAGCAGCCTCTTGGCTTATCACAGGGCCTGAAGACCTTGGCTTTCCAGGTAACATTTCTGACTCACTTCTTGTTCCAGTTCTGATTCAGATTTTGGAATGTTGCCTCATCCTTGCTCTGTTCTGGAGAAAGGCAACCGCTTTTGCCTTTGAGAGCCAGTACAATTTCATGTTATGAGCAGCAGACTAGAACTGTGGAGATCATGGTTCAAATTCCACTCAGCTATGAAGCTAATGGGGTGACCTGCAGCTGGTCGCTACCTCTGAACCCATCCAGTCTCAGAGGGTTGTTGTGCAAATAAAGTGTGGGTGGAGAGTATCTGATAAATCAGGGATGGGTGAAATAAAAGGTTGTGATGCATCTGCTAAGAATACAGGAATCTATGGATGGAATGCTGTGCTATGAATTACTCTGGAAGACAGAAGCAAAATTCAAACTGATCTCGAGGGCTGGAGTTGGAAACAAAAGAATGAAAGAATGAAATTTTACAGGGACAAATGCAAAAAAAAAAAAAAAAGTTGTCACAGAGAAGAGGGTTGGGATCTCTTCTTGATCATCCCAGGGCACAGGGCATGGATACCACATCTTGGCTGACCATCAGGAAAAACCTTCTGGCTGTTGGAGCAATATGATGATGGAAACAATTGCCTAGGAAGGTCGTAGACTCTAGAGGCATTCAGGATGAGTTTGTCTGTACCAAGTTTAGTGCTATATTGAGCAGTGTTTGAAATATTTGCACATATCCCCTCCATAAACAAAAGTGGAATTCAGCCTACCGAAGGAATTTGTGCGCACAAACTGAATTGAGGAGGAGGCAAATGAAATGGGTCCACCATCTGTGAAAAATTTTGGTGGGCATGTGTTCGTGTTTGTGGCCTCGAGGGTGGCATGCGTGCATGTTTCATGGGCAAAACCAAGTTTCTCATACATCTTGTGGGGGAGGTTGAGCCCTGGCACTTGGCCTCCATGCCACCTGGCTCTACAACAGAGGTAATTTGCACCACTTGGCCTAATTTCAAAAGCCCTCTGCAAGTGGTAAGTTCAGCCATGGGGAAAGAGTGATTTGTCCCTTCCTTGGGAGCCCAATGGCTGGAAGGAGACAGTGAGAGAAGGGGCTTTTTCAGAGAGACAGAGACACAGAGAGAGAGATTGTCAGAGAAAAAGAGAGAGATAGAGGCTCCCTTACATTGCTGGCTGTTTTCTTCCACAAGACATTTAGAAGGGACATGGTAATTGTGCATGTTAATCTAATAAAAAGCAGTGTTGCTAAGAATGAAATTCTGCTTAGGGTTGCTGTTCAGTAGCTGAAAAAGGATGACATTTGAAAATACATTACATCTTCCCTTTTAATTTAGATTTGCCTTTGCTTTCAGAATCTAGTCATTTTCAAATCTGAGGGTAAATCAATGTAAATGCACAGAAATGTGAGTGGAAGGTGTACTTCTTTTGGGTGGCTGCTTTATAACTGCCTTGGCATCAGAGTGACACCATTTGCAGCGGATGAAAGGAAAGAAAGTAATTTAATTTTATACAAGTCACCTTGGTGTTGAAGGCATTTCTGGTTTCAACCTGAAGCAAAATGTAATTAGATTTGCTAGGAGGCCTGGCTTTTAAACCAGCCCAACGTATTTGACACTGCAGCTGTTTGTGCATTTTTAGTGTCTGGCTTGTACCCTTTCCATCTGATGTGCATCAAGAAGCACTGCAGCTTTTTTATCTTCTAGATTAACCTACCAGTATAACCTACCGAAGGGGTGAAACATGCCAGACTCGACATGATGTGGTGGTAACTGGCAATTAATGCAATGCGACAAGGCAGGCAAGTGAAAAAAGTCCAGTATAGAAATAAAAATCATGGGTTGCATCCTAGCTGGGCGTCCATGGACAGAAGGTGTCCTTCCAGTCACAGATGGGACTTTCTGGACTGCTTTCTGCTGGCAGGAACATCTGTGAGTGGAAATCCATTCTGCCCGTGGGAGAAAACTCAGGATCTCAACATAAGCTGAGCTTTTCATAACTGCAAGCCACCTGGTAAAATTCAAAACATGGCTGTTTTGCTTGGAGGACAGCAGTGGCCAGGAGAACATTATAAACTACTCTGATTCTTTTCTTTCTTTCTTTTCTTTTAAGGGATCACAGTGAATGGTTGATTGATGTTCTTTTACCACAAGGTAAGACTGCATTTAAAGTTGGATAGCAAGTTATATTTACAATAGGGTGACATGAGTGCTTACAGAATCACAGAATGGTGGGATTATAGGGGTGCTTGAAGGACATCCAACCCGTGTCAGGTACCTTGAGTGCAGAAGGGCAGGCACAGCCCCAGCTTCTCCTCTTGAGAGGAATATGTAGAAGGTGATGGCGAAGGCCCTGGGAAGCCAGGGCCAACCCCCTAGACAGTGCTGAGCTAGAAGGACACACGACCCGACATGATAGGAGGCAGCTGCTTGTGCTCCCAGTTCAGAACTGTCTGTTGAGGTTCATCAGAGTGCTGGGCGAGAGCTGCTCCTGTGCCACGAGAAGAAACCGAATTACAAAGTTCAAGCCTCTGCTGAGCCTCAAGTCCTTGCTCAGAGATGGAGCTGCCCTCACCACCTCTCCTGTTACTGCATCTTTAAAAACAGAACCACCTGCTCTCAGAGGAATCATGTCGAGAGCGGTGGCTCACGCAGAATACTTGGTGTGCTCCTTGGGTGGCAGGCTGTTCTTATTTGTGCACACCCTCGAGCCATTCCCGGCACAGGGTGGGATCCAGTCATGCTTAGAGCACATCCACCGAAATAAATAGGACTTGATATTATTATTATTATTATTATTATTATTATTATTATTATTATTATTATTATAACATTTCTATGCCGCCCCTTGCCGAAACCTCGGGGCGGCTTACAACATGATAAAATACATTGAAATACAATAGTACATAATAAATTACCATTAAATATAAAAATACAAAAAATACATTGATTTACAAATATAAAATTAAAATTATTAGTATAAAATAAAAATATAGGGGGAGAAAGAGAAGGAAGAAGAAGTTGCCCTGGCCAGATCATATGTTTTAACAATTGAAATGATGTTTAAATAAAAAGGTCTTTACCTGGTGCCGAAAAACCAGTAACGATGGTGCCAGGCGGACCTCTTTGGGGAATATGACTAAGTCTGGACCCAACCAGTTACCTGCATGCATAGATCAAACCCTTGGAGATGAGACAGGAACTCCTGGGGGCTTCCCCTCCCCCCTTCCCCCCTTCCCCCCCTCCTTCTTTTGTTCTATTGTAAGCTGCCCAGAGAGCCCTATAGGCTATGTGGCAGCATACCAATGTAATAAATGGAATATTGCACCCCACTGGCCCAAGGTTTCAGGCGAGTGGAAGTCAAGGTGCAGTGTAGTCACATCAGGTCAGGAAGTGCAGTCCTGCCTTCTCTCAGTACTGCGATTACTCTCGGCATGGAGGCAACAGCATCAAGGGCTTAAAAAGCAATGGTTAGCATCTGCAAGTACAGCATGCCTGGCATCTTGGTTGAGAAAAGAAGTATTGCTCAGTCAGAAGGTTGGCTTCTCATGGAGGAAGTACCATAATGTCCTGCATATGTTCAAGTATACTGTAGAAGAGCAGCAATATGGATTTAGCTCTGGCCCCTGCCCTGTGCATCCTCAAAGGAGAGCCATGTGGGTTGTTGACCCTAGCAGTGTGATTGGGCGCCTTGCCTTTATCTGCTGCGTGGAGAGAGCCGTTCAGTCATTTTAATGAAATGGCAGATTCAGTGGTGGGGCTAGGATGTGCCCCATGGACCACTGGAAGTTGCTGACCCCTGCTCTGAGGGATTAGGTGGTACAATGACAAAGTACAAGCTGCAGTAAAATATATAACTGATGAGTTGATTTGCACCCAGATTAGCTGTCTAAAACAAACATGACTTCCAACAGACAAGCCAAAAGGCAAATAGAGAGTTTTCTAGAAATATTAGGACATCATTTTTCGGGCTGGACTTTTGCAAAGGCTTCAATGTATTGCCTGTATTCATTAGGGAAGATTGTAAGGGAAACTATGTTTACTCAAAGTGCTCCAGAATATCCAGGCTGTAGAAGAATGAGAGACAAAATGCATTTCATGACATATTTAAAAGTGTTTCGGGCAGCTTCCAAATAAGCCCTTGATTGTGTAAATTTGTTAATGGAAATTGATGAAGAGTTCAGACATTATTGCCTTCCACTTTTGACCCTCTCATGTTTTCCCACCAATCTGTCCATCCTTTTTCTTTCCACCAAAAAACCTCTGTTAAGAAGGAAAAGACAAAACAGCTACACAATTTATTTTGATTAATAGTGCCAATTGCTGTTCATCTGGAAGTATTCCTTTCTATGAACAAATGATGCTGTTAAACATACTACGATAACAGTGGTTAGGTTGCCAGTTTTATTTTCACATTTAACGCGTTATTAAATATCATATCTCTGAAGTTCTTTTGGGAAATACATTGTTTTTAAACAGTAGGTTAGTATTCTTTTGGTGTCTTTCTTGTGAGGAAATCCAGAAAGACTGTGAGCAGGCTTGAGTGTGGTAGAGTTCCACCAATATATTGCTAAATTTGGCGTTCAAAACCAGCAACAGAATTTGATGATATTCTCTGTCTCTGAAGTTCTTCTCTTTAGATCACTGTTGCATTAGTTGTTGGTTATTATGCACTGGCAAGTCATCTTTGACTTATGACAACCCTAGGAATGAATGCCCTCAAAATAGTCTGTTCTTGGCAGTCCTGCCCAGGTCTTATCAACCTGAGGCTGTAGCCTTCTTATGCAGTCAGTTCATCTCATCTTGAAGTACGACAGCTTCAGTTTTGTCATTTTTTTCCTTCAAGGGAAGTCCTGGCTTGATTTGATCTGGGACCTCCTGATTCATCTTTCTGTCAGTTCAGGGCATTGCAAAGCTCTCCTCCAGCACTGTGTTTCAAGGTCATCAGGTTTCTTCCTGCCAACTTTCTTCACTGCCCAGTTTTCACATCCATATCCCTGCCTGTATCTCTCAAGTGTAGTTGCAGTACCTTCCTCTTATGAGTTCTTTGTCTGGGTTCAGCCTCTGGAGCTGCAGCAAGAACAAGAACATGCTGTTCCTTGTGTTAGGCAGGCCAGAACAATTTACCACTCCTATGCAAATCGGAAGTAGGAAGCCCTGTCCATTTTTTGAAGTGCAGGAAGCTCCAAACTGAAAGACAAAGCAGATCCGGATGCATAGAACTGTTCAACTTTGCAGATCAAACTACAACATATGTCTTATTCCATGCAAACTTGCTATGGTTGGTGTTCTCTTTGTAGCACACTTCTTTCAGAGCTGCTGAATAAGCAAATAAAGCAGTGGCATAGTGGTACATTTTGATGTACAGGCACTTATCCGTCTTGACAGTCTCCATAGCCAACCTGCAAGGATTGTCCAAATGTTCTGCAACTGTGTTGATCCATCCCAGCAAACCAAGTCTAGCAATTTTCATCTCCACCAGGATCAGTGCTTTGGTTAAGGAAATGGGTCTTTCTTGGTGGTTTAAAATGAAGCTCTTCCAGAATACTTTTTATTCATTCATTCCCTTGCTACCACAGAGGGGACAGGGAAGTCTGGGAAGAGTGGCAGGAGGGCAGATGACATCAGCCGTCCAGGACAGGCTGGTTCTCCTGTTCTGCCCAAGAATCTTCACTGGGTCACCTTGAAACTACCAAGTCATCTGCTCACCTTTTCCTTTCTGCCTGCTCCTCAGAATCAGAACCAGAATCAGACAGAATCTCACCGCTCTAGAATTACATTTCCCTAGAAAACGATTCCAGTCCCAAGATCAGTGTTTAACAGAGCACTCATTATACACCAAGAGGAGTGTTCTAACCGTTTTGATCTTCTGTTTATTTTCCCTGTACAGCTGAAATCTCTGCCATATGTCAGAAGAAGGTAAGACTCCTCCATAGGTATGATGGAACATTACTCAATTTGATTTACTTTTTTTTGCTATGTCTTCATCTCATCATCACGGGCTATGCATTTTCCCCATTCTTGTCTCTGTCGCTACCATGGTTCCCTAATGTCAGATTGTGCAGCATGTCATTGAAATATATGGATGTTGTGCTTCTCCTTACTGAGTGTTGGTATGCCACATATGATTTCATGCCCTATCTTGTTCCCACTGATTTCACCTTGCCAAGTTTAGTATAACCATAATACACAAAGGGTTGTTCCCAGACAAAAGGCTGTTGAAATGAATGGCGATTGCAACGATAATTTAAGGATGCAGCTAAACAACATATCCTCTGGAAATAAAGATGCTCTTTTGAGGTTTATGTTTATTGATGCTCAAATTCCATCATATTAAAGTCAAGTAAACATTCCAGACAAAATAAAAGACTGCCATTTGAGGGCAAACAACTCAGTCTGTAGAATGACTGTTTCTGCTGTGTACCTTTTCTGTTAATTTATACATGTGAGCTGTATCGGAGGCCTTAAGAAATAATGCTTTAATAGTAGGACTTATATTTGTTATATGAAAGGTGCTGTGCTGTGCAGAGCAGTTTTCTGAGGTCAGAGGTAGGGCTCTGAATTCAGAGCACCCTCCCGCTGCCCCCACAGCTGGCACAGCCTTTTCCACCCCGGCTGTGCCTCTGAGGTTGCAAGGGCCACTGTGGAGCTGGAGCTGGGAAGGGGCATGCCAGGGAGCAGGGGTGGGAGGAAGAGATCCTGCCAGGGTATTTATTTATTTAGAACTTTTGTATACTGTCCCATCACTGATATCTTGGGACGGTTCACAATAACTTCAGTAAAATAAGATGAAAAATAAAAGTAGCACAGCATCCAATAATAAATATAGACAAATATAGACCACAGATTAAGACAATTAGCAATTAAAATAGTGGGAAAATAAAAAGGTTTTCACCTAGCGCTGAAAGGAAAGAAGCATTGGCTCCAGGCAAACCTCTCTGGGGAGCGTGTGCCACAGTAGGGGCGCCACCACAGAGAAGGCCCTCCTCCAGGTAGCCACCTTCTTGATCTCTTTCAAGAAGGGCTCCCGAAGAAGGACCTCTGCCTCAGATCTGAAGGGGAGGGAGGGCATACAGGGAAGAAGGTGCTCCTTCAGATATCCTGGACCCAAGCCATTTAGGGCTTTATATTTCATCATTTAACACCTTAAATTGGGCCCAGACTTCAACTGGTAGCCAGTGTAAGCGATAGGGGACCGGCGCTATATGTGAACCCCTGCTGGTCCCCGTTAATATCCTGGCAGCTCTATTCTCAACCAACTGAAGTATCTGGACTGTCTTCAACGGCAGATATGAAGAAGCCCAGCCTCACCCCATCCTCGTTGTGAGCAAGACTCCAGCACCGTGATGGCCAGAACTGGCTGTCCAATGGTAACCTCAGCAAATAGCGCCTTGGTGTTCCTCCCCCCTTCCATTGGGTGCCTGTAACTCTCCAAGTTTGGTGGGTCACGGTCAGCCACATGGGCTGGTGCTGCCCAAGAGCAATCCTGCCTCTCACAGCACAGCCTCTGATCAGGACACAGGAGGCAGCCTCGGCCTGATGTACTTTTCCTTTCATGGGTGGAAGAATGGGAGAGGAACTTCAGACATGCCCTTGAGCACATCCAAATGTTTTCCTTGGCGAGGGGCATGGCCAGGGGTCACTGGGCTTGGGGTCCCTCCTGCCCACTCAAACAGCCCCCAAAAGGACACTTTCCAGCCTTGTTGGAGGAGGCTCACAGAAATCTGGCTGGGGAGGAGCTAGGAGGAGACTGCAGCAATGAGTCCCCAACCTCTAAGGGCGTTGTTCTGTCTGCAGCCTTGCAGTGGGAGTGGTTGGGGTGGTTCAGAACTTTCCTGACCCCTGAGATGCAGTCTAGGGACCAGAGGACTGGTCTCTTATAAGATGATTTGGGATCCCCAGAAGATAGTTCCACAATATTCCATCACTTATATTCACTCATAGATGAAAATACTCTCCTCCGGTAATTTGGAACTTCACAGCAGAGCCATAATGAATGTATTAAGTCTGAATCTACTCCTCTGCATTTCCATCACAGGCTATTCTATGAGTACCCTATTCCTTCTCTGTGGCATCATGCACCACCTCTGTAGCACATGGCAATGAGCTTCCTTCGAAGGTGTACTAATGAAACGTATATATTAAGCCAGTACATTAGATGAGACAGGACTACAGTGCCAGTGCCAGCAACTCTGCGGAAAAACTTGTCAAGAAAAGAACAGACAGCAATGCTCAAAAATCACAACCATCCAACACACAAATCTCACTGTTACTTACTTTTTTTGTATCTGTGCACATGGCATATTTGAGGTGGGGGCAGGAAAGATAGGAATTTATGTTACATGTTCATATGCTTGGACTTCTGTAATTGAATGGTAATAATTTTCAGAATAATCTGTCCAAATTGCCTTATTTTATTTCCTATAAAATAAAATTTCCAATTTGAAAATATTCAAAATATGGACATTATTTTGGAATGATCAAACTATGAAGTTGTCTATCTTCCTCTATTTTCTAAGAGTAATTCCCTAGGAACAACAACTGATTCATTTAATCAGGTCCTGTAACTTATAGGCATTTTCCCCCGTTCTTCAAAGTTCCCTGCCCTACTTTACAAAATTATGTTTGCCTGATCATACAGGCTGAATATGTTAAACATGCCAGTCAATTTTCCTCTAGTGATTTGTCTTAGCTGTTTCCCCTGAAAAAGAATGATTTGCTGATTTGCTCAAACTGGAATTGCTTCAAATCGATCTTTGAACCTCAGAGCTGTCATTATGAGTCTTTCAAGTTGTGGTCCTCTTGTTAAAAGATAAGCAAGGCAAAGGTCAGGTTAAGGTATAAGGAAAAAGTGGCAGAATTGGATAGTGATGAACTTGAAGCATAAGGAACCAAGATGAAAGAAGTCCCATTTGGTTTCACAGGTCTTGCTTTTGTGATGTAAGGCAGGTGGGAAGATTTGGGGTGTTGAGGTCTGCTTTTTTTAAACTAAAGTTGTGGTGCATCTTCTGGAGCCAGGTGCTAAGTAGTGGCTTGGAGAGACGCCAAATGCCTCTGGGGTAGAACCAATTACCTTCTGTACCCCATGAGCAATTCAAGGGGAGAACCTGAGTATGGAAGTACAAGTTTATGGCTTCATCTATAACATTCCAAAACTGCCCAACATGCCTATAAATACCAAATCAAAGACAGGCAATTCATTGTGTTTTATGGATGGGGATAATCTTGTTCTTTCATGGCAGAGTTCAGGAGTTATTTTGAACTTGTAATTTTACTTCCTATGGTTACAACCCCTAGAAGTAAAAGACTTATGCTGATGTACATCAGCTCACTTAGAAATCCACCAGTAGATCTCATTCTGGTTTTTGCCCCACCAGGAGGTTATGCCTAAGGAACAGGACAAGGTGGGAAGCACAGAGGTTGGGAGCCTGGCTTTTGCCTGTTGAACTGCAGGGCATGAACTCAGCCCCCTCTAGGCCAGAGGCAGGCAACCTGTGGTCCTGCACAAGTTTCTGGACTCCATCTCTCATCAGCCTCAGCAAGCCTGAATAGATGCTGAAGATAATGAGTGCTGGAGAAGAAAAACATGCCATTCCTACCCCAGCTACAAGGTCCAAATTGACATTGCCTCTGCTCACCCTCTGCCCTTTCCAGCATCTCCCTTCCGAGAGAACGTTGAATCCATAATTCTTGCTGTCAGACACACCAGTGGCACAACGGCCTTCCTTTTCTTTTTGTGCAGAACTGCAGCTCGCATGTCAGGAGGGCCGTCGTCACGTGTTTCTCTGCGGGCTGCTGCGGCCGCCATGGGAACAGGCCTGTGCGCTACTGCAAGCGCTGCCACTCAAACCATCACAGCAGTGAGGTTGGGGCGACAGCTGAGACTCACCTGTACCAGACATCACCACCTCCGATCAATACCCGCGAGTGCGGGGCAGAGGAGCTGGTCTGCACCGTGGAAGCAGTCATCAGGTAACCTATCCCAGTGGGACCTCGAAATCCACTTATTTATTCATGTATTATTTTTATATCCCATCATTCTTCCTCCAGCCCAAGAGGCCTTGTATGGGTCTCCATTTTAACTTCACAAGAACCCTGTGAGGTAGGTTTGGCTGAGAGTTAGTGGATGGGCCAAAATCACATGAGCTTTATAGACAAGTAGGATCAAGAACTTAGATCTCGCAAGTCTCAGTTTAATCCTCTAATCCCTGTACCATGCAGTTTTAGAACTCAATATTAAGGGATAAATACATGCAAACTAATCCAGGCTCTTCTGAAACACATATATTTGGCATCAAGGTGCCAGAATTCAGCACTGTCAGTCCTAGTTACCCTGCATCCATCCCAGTCTCATCTTTTCCGGTTAAACTATGCTTGTGGTAGGAGTTATTAATTTAGAAAAATGAGCAAGGCAGGATGACTAGCCTTTGGGCTGGAATTGTTGCCATGAAAAGCAGGAACTATACTGTAGCTCTCCACTTTTTATACGGTGTACACCAGAAAGGTTCTGTTGCTGATTTCTCATGGGCAGCTGTTTGGCCACTTTGTGAACAGAAAGCTGGACGGCTCTTCTTCTCACCTACTGAATAATAATCACTCTGTGATTTCTTTTCATCAACTGCATGTGTTCTCACACCACAGAAAACCCGGCTTTTTGTTTAAGAGCAGCACTATCTGCACAGATGTGGATGGTCTGTAATACTGTTCTTCTTCATGGTTTGGAAGACATGGATTTGACTTCTCTGCAGTGACATTTCGGTGGCCAAGCCCTGTCCCCACATGCTTTTGGCAGACAGCTGGTAGAAGGAGAAGGGATTGAGGAAGAGGTTCTTCCTCCTTCCTCCAACAACCATATAATGCAGAGGGAAGTAAAAGTAGTGGCCCACCAGGAAAGCTGGGAAAGAAGGATGGCTTGCAGTAGCCATGGGAGACTTTCTCTAGAAGCAGGTGATGCGTGTGGGGGAGCTTTCTCGCACGTCACCATAGCGTCAAATAAAGCAGGGACACCCTTGCCTTTTCCAAAGCCCAGCGCTGCTATGAAATCCCGCCCTGCTTCCCCCCACCCCACACCCGGTGGTGCAGCTCGGATGGGACCTTGGGCAAAGTTCAGGCCCCCACTAAAGGACCATTCAAACAGCAGCAGGTGGTGAGGACTTCAAGGCAGTAGAAACAAACTCCATTTTATCCTGTGGGCATGATGATGCTCTGATTTAAATGAGTTCAAAATGTGAAGCTGCACACGGTCTTTTCTTTTTCTTCGAAATAAGGACTGACTGACCGTCTTTTGTTTGTTGCTCTCTCACACTGGGAATGTAGAAGCAGTTTAAACCATGGAATGGTGCGGGGGTGCAAGTGAAGAGTAGCATTTGGGTCACGCTTCGCAGCTGATGTAATGCACATGATCATCTAAAGAGGTCATGAAGTCCAGGGTCTAAAATCACCCAGCTGTATCATGGCTCCCACTGCCCTCTCGGCCCGGCCCGGCCCGGCTCAGCTCAGCTCACACCGCACCACCAAGCATTCTTGTGACTTTCTGCAGTCCCTGGAACATGCAGGGTATGCGCTACTCCCGACAGAACAAAGCTCCTGTCTCCCACTCACCTTACGTAAACATTGGCCAAATGCTGTAACAATTTTTTTTAAAATCCTCCTTCATGTTGTGCAGCAGTGACCGCCTCTTCTTCAGCTGATTTCCCTTTCAAAGGCCTATCCATTCCCACAGTGACAAGGAAAAAACTGGAGGAACCTCTTTCCCTGCCCAGCAGGGACTCAGACTTTTCCATTTTTAATTTTAATGTCTGCAATTTTGCTTATTTCTTTCAAGAAAGGAAGAAAGAAACGGAGCTGCCTTTGCACTCATTAAAAACTTGTAAGCACATACAGCATGGTGCTAAAAGGATGCTGAGGGTGGGCGGGAGGAGGAGACAGCTTCAGGAAGCAATGAATTGAAACAGCCACCTCAAATCGTGCGAGGAGCAGTTAGTTTTAGCAGCTGCCAGTCCATATTCCTCTGGAGGAAACCATTGCAGGAAATCAAGAATTAAAGAAGTGGCTTTGGAACTGAAGGGATTAACCCTGTGGAAGGAACACAGTCCAAAGGAACGAAGGAAGGAAGGAAGGAAGGAAGGAAGGAAGGAAGGAAGGAAGGAAGGGAGGGAAGGAGGAAGGAAGAGAGTGCTTCTGGTTGACAGAAAAAGAATAATAATTGGGTAGTGCTAGGAGCTCCCTGTCTGGAATCACCCTTGGATAAAACCTTTTAATGCTTGGCTTTTCTATAATATGAATTATCTGGCCAGTTTCCTCCCCCTCCTTCCACGCAGATCAAGACAAGGCTTTCTCACTAAAATTCTTTATACTGTTAAAGCTGACCAGCTAGGCTGGCTTTATAATACAAAGGTAGCATATTGCAGAAAGCAATAACAGAAAGCAAACCAGCACAGTTAGAATAGTGGCTATGTGGAAATGTGGTCTATGCTTCCCAATGGGATACTTTGCTTCTCTTTCAAACAGAAAAGAGCTAAGTCACCTTCAAGGTGAATCGTGCTGCTTATGGGTCAAGTTTTGGAGCATCTGATGCTTCTCATCAGAACTGCCCTCTTAGCCTGAGGCCATAGGATCCCCCATCAGGTACCTCACAAAACTTCCCCATGAAATTTGAAACCGTCTGGTTCTCAGTGGTTGCCTGGCTTACCCCTGGGTTGGCTGGCTTTGGCAATTCAGCTGAAGACTCTGCCCTCCCTCCTCTGAACCAGAATCCACGGCAACATCCTTTGACGGGTTTGTCATAGGAGAGGTGACCCCAGTCCCTGTGTGCATTTTGCATTGGCTACTTTGCTGCATTCTTTTTTAAAGTTGCATGGAGTGGGCAGTTCAATTTCTTACCACCTGAATGATTTTATTTGCATTTCAGCCTTCTCCAGGGATCTCCAGGCACCTTATGCAGGGGCTGTCCCATTTTTATTCTGTATGACACAGAATAAAAAGTTCCCATGAGACAGTGCAGCTGGCCCAGGATCACCCAGGGAGCTTCATAGCTGAGTGAGAATTTGAACTGCAGCCTTTTCAAGCTTTAGACCAGAGATGCAGACCCTCCAACCCACAGGCCTAATCAAGGTCTGACTGCCAAGCCTCCACCCCTCTCTAAATGAATCCCTGCTGGAGGAATCCCCAATCTCAGTTTGAAGATAACAGCAGGGATTCCACGGCAGGCCACTTCCCTCTCCCTGGTTTAAACGGACACTTCATCTAGTGTAGCGCTGGCTGTCCAATTCCTTGTGCTATTCTGAGAATACTGAGACCGTCCAGATGAACATCATCTAGATTATTAGTTACTGGAAGTTTACAGGAGCTATTCTTTAACAGGCTCTTTCACTCTCTCCACTGGTAGTTGGTTTATTAAGCAGCTGCCTCCACAAAAAGAATTCACGGACAACGACACAAGCAAAGAGTTCCTACAGACACAATAGCAGTATAAATACACATGGGGGGTGTCTTGTGCACAGACCTTGTTCAGGGGCTTGCCTGTTTTTTTGAAGCTTGCTGAAAGAGGCTGAATTCCACGCTGAGCAAAGAGAGCATGAGCTCATCCGCAGACGGCAGCTGGGCCTATCTTCTTCACATCACTCTTTGGACAACACAGATTTTGATAACAAAGATGATGACAAGCATGACCAACGCCTTCTAAGCCAGTTTGGAATCTGGTTCTTGGTATGTGTGTTTCGCTTCCTTTTATTCTGTTTTTTTTTTTCTTGTTTGGATGCTAATGAAAGCAACAAATAGCGCTGTTTTATGCTACTAGAACCCTCAGTCATCCAGCGAAGACCTGTAGGGTTGGTGGAAGAACCACAACAGGCAAAAGAAAGTACTCCACACCAGCAATGCGGGAGTAAATTTTGCCGCAGGCCCTCTTCATGACAGCCTCTAGAGCCTGGCCCTAAGGCTAGTCCACAAATGCAGGCAGCTGTGTCAACTCACATTAACAATACAGTTCTAACACTTGTCATCTGCTCCAGGACATGAAAACAGGCCCTTGCAATGCTAATGGACCTTAATTGCTCATTCAAGACCAAGCAATCCCTAAATCATGGGTCCTCAAACTACAGCCCAGGGGCCGATCTGGCCCGCCATGCCCATTCGGACCCGCCAAGCGTGCGCCCGTGCCCACACGCGCGCCCACTGCCACCCACCTCCCCCCACGCACAGAAAACGATCTCCAAGCGAGCAAGCTGCTGCCTCATGTGCCCACAAGGCGGCACGTGCCCGCCCCATCTCCCCTCCCCTCCCCTCGCCACATGCCCTGCCCCCACCTCAGTGCGCATGCCTGCCTGCCTGCCTGCCTGCCTGCGCTGCCCCCCCGCCCCGTCCCGGCCCCCGAGCCGGCCCGCATGCACCGCAGGCACCACCTTTCCAGCCCGTGCCCAGCACCCGCACCTTTCAGCTGGCCCCCTGGTTAAAACGCTTGAGGACGCTGCCCTAAATACTTCACATTACAACAGGGAACAAGATGTTGTTTATTGGGAAAAAAACAATCTCCCCTCTAGCGAATTTGAGAATTGCAGGTAAATTTAGAGGGAACAATGGGACTGACTGATGATATCAATGCTTCTGCTAAAGGAAGAGTGCCAGCACTATCCTTGCATGCCTTGGCTCCATTATACCGTTGCTCCCCACGCACTGCATAGTTAGCCTGTGGCATTCCTTACCACAAGATTTAGTAATTGCCAGTAACTGCTGTGCTCTGGTTTTGTTTTGCATCTGGGTTTCCCACAGGCAGCTGGGTGGCCGCTCGGGGAACACAGTGCTAGACTCAATAGGCTTTTAGTCTGTCTTATATCAGACCACAAGTCTCCTGATGTTCTTATAGCAGAATTCATTGGAGTGCCAGAAAGCTTAGAAAAGTGGTCTCCAAACTTGTGGACTCTTCAGGAATTTTGACATAATGTCACATTACTGTTTACCTGTGGAGTGGTATATAAATGTTCCTATTACTGGTTAAATAGTGTACATTGCATATACATATTGTAAATAATAAGACATAAATACTGCCCTGGCTGAGATCTAGTGTCAGCAGGTACATCTAATGAGCTGAGTATACCTACCAGAAACTCCAGAAAATGGAAGATTCACGGGAAGGTCAAGTAGAAACCATCAATATGGTCAAGTACTTGTCCATATCTGTTAAAGACAGTTGGGTGTCCAGCAACAGCCGGGGGTTGGACCTGATGGCCTTCATGGCCCCTTCCAACTCTACTGTTCTATGATTCTATGAATCTATGAGAGAGCTGTGAACAGAGGAAGACAGCATCCTCCATAGACTAAAACTTATGATATCATATGGTAGGCCAGAACCACATGTATTATGGGAGACAATACTGCTCTTCCAGAGATGGGATAAACATTGTATACAGAAAGGCATCATCTTCTCAGAAGAAAGGCCTTTGGACAGGAATCATGCAAAAAGTGCCTTCATTGTATTAGAAAACTAAATTAGAGAACTGAAAGTTGGCCAGGGAAATGGTCTACTGGGCCAGGGATGAATGAGCAACTACAGACTTCGATGGAGAAATGTGAAGGGTGCTGATGCTAGAAAGTCTGCCAGTCCAAGGAAACACTAGTATACAGTGATATTACAGTGAGATGTTTGTGCTCATATGGGATACCAGACGCTCTGTGATCAGATAATGGCCCCTAGTTTGTTGCAGAAGAATTTGAATACACCAACACCTGGGCATGCTCAAAGGATTGGTGAAGTGAAATCTACAGTAAAGACAGCTAAGAAACTCTTAGGAAAAGTAAATGTGGTAGAAACGTATCTAGCAGTTCTAGATCATTTGGGTTACAGGAGCATCCCTTGCTAACGTGAGGAGAGTGCAGTAATAGAACTACAGAGACAGCAATACAATAGATCTTCCAGGCTTGGAGGCAAGGGATAGAGTGAATCCAATCCTTAAGACAAACAGGCAGTGTCTAGCAGAAGGCAGTTGTAATTCAACATGAAAACCCACACTTATGTAAGTTACAGGTGCACTGTGGATGAAAATTGGGATGGAACAGAAACCATCTAAGGAAAACAATAGAGGAATTGGCAGGTGCCATGAATTCAAATGAGGGAGAAGCATGTAGCCAGCAGAGCATCCTGCAGGATGAGATAAACAGATAAACATGTGCTGAGCAGGCCAGAAATGCATCAGAGAAGAGTTCAGGGGAGATGGATGCAGGAGAGATGACAGCAAGCCACAGACACTCTCAGAGCATAGAAGCAGAAGAAAGGATGGCAGCTCAAGGAGATCATCACTGAGCCCAGATACACTCGAAGTGGGTGAATTAGTATAACATTTGCTGTATCCTGGAAACATGATGTATGAAGGTCCAGTTTATTTATCTTTCTCAAAAGACAAAGGATGCAACAATATGAAAGAACTGCTGGATTTAGCATGAGTGCTTGTTCAGGGGGAACTGGAAGTAGTTGAGGGCATGACCCAAAATGTGTGAGTTTGTTTGCCAGGCGAGCCTAAACTGTTTCAAAACTCTGAAACAGTTTTGAAATACTTCCTGGTTCTTTGTGTTGGGAAGTAGATGGTTCCTGCATTCTCCATAATGTTTAATCAGAGCGATAAGTGTTGTCTAAAACAGCATATTTCTCCATTTCTTATGAATTGTTCTCTTTATTTTAAGAAAGACGTCTGGGCTTTTCATAAAGATTGCGTGGTTCTGAAGCCTGTCAAGATGCCTATTATTTAAGTCCCTTTCTGTGCAAGTGAATGGAAGGAAGACTGTAATTAGAGGAAGTAAAAACCACCCTAGTTCTCTGAGTCAACCAGATCTAGAGTGGGGGAGTTATTGTGTCCCCCGCTCCCTGTGAGAGTTTCGCCTGTATTACTCCCCATTTCCTGTTTTGTACAAGTAATTGGATACTTTTGCTCAATTTGGTTTGTGTGGAGAAAGGGAAATTGGGTGGCAGTCCCAGAAGTAGAGCCTGAGATGGACAGGGGAAGAACTGTGTGTCCTGGGCTGAATGGCCCTGCAATTCTGCCATTGCTGGCAGCTGCTGAACTGGCAGCTGCTGGGCCACACTGCCCCTGCTCCTGTACCTGGTGCGAGGCAGAGGCAGGTGTGTGACTGTGATGTCCTTCAACAGGTGGATACTCTCAGTTGCATAAGCTTCTTAGCAGTCCAGTACTGGCATATTCATCCTCACTTACTGGAAAAAAGGAGGCAGTTAATTCAGACAATAAGGTGGACCTGTACTGCCAATGAAGGGCTGCCACGGTTTTCTGCATTTCACCTTTAGAAAATGCAGCAAATGCAAAAGCTAGTGCATAAAAACAGCCTAAACTGGGGTTGTAAAGCTTTTGTCACCCTCCATTAGGCTGAGTCACATTCATTCTTGGCAGTTTCTGTAAGTAACCCCATTGTTTAATATGCAGTGTTAAGTTTAAATTTTATATATTGCTTTCCCAATGGTTTTGCTCATGTCTGATATAGTTTTATTTCATCTCATCAGCCTCCTTGAACGATTGCCGAGCTGTATGTGTAGTTTTTCAGGGGCTTTTGTTACAATCATGCAGCTTACAAACCAAGGAGAATGGTCAAAAATCTGGACAAAACGTGTTTTCCAGGTGAGCCTCTGCACTCCCAGTGAGAACACCCCCACGGAGAGCCTGGCTCGGCTTGTTAGCATGGTCTTCCAGTGGTTCCATTCCACAGCATACATGATGGATGATGAGGTTGGAAGCCTAGTGGAGAAGCTCAAGCCCCAGTTTGTCACCAAGTGGCTGAAGACTGTGTGTGATGTTCGGTTTGATGTCATGGTCATGTGCCTCCTTCCTAAACCAATGGAGTTTGCACGGGTAGGAACACACAGTGTGTTTCTTCTGGGATTAACTTGTTGAAAATATGAGATGCTAAGCTATACTGGTGCATGTGTGTATATATTTAATTGTTCTAAGCCACCTTGGATTCCTTGCCAGGAAAAAAATATTTCATTCCTATGCTGCTTATTTGCCAAAGTTCTCTCTGCCATTTATAGAGATAATAAAGCGATTGGCAAAACAGGGACAAAGGATTATTATTTATTTTTTTCAAATATTTTGGCTTCTGCTTTGTCAGTGACTGTTAGTAAAAAGGCTGAAATGAAGCCCTTGGGGTGATAGCTGTGGATTGTTAGGAGGACCATCAGATGAGACGGTGATTCTGCTGGAATGTCTGAAAGGTGAAGGCTATCTGAATTGAAGTGCCTTGTCTCAGGTTCTTCTGTTTACCTGCATTCCCTTAGTTTTAGTTCTTCATTGACAAAACCAGTTGTTGGAGTGTCTGATAAGGATTAAAGGATTATTATTTTTAAGAATAGAATAGAATAGAATAGAATAGAATAGACATCTGTCCCTGTTTTGTCAATGGCTTTATTAAAAATACAGATTGTCTTACATTTGGTCACTTCCCTCAGGGATCTGGGATTGCTATATATTATCTTAGTTTGCAGTAATAATGTCTGCTATTACATATAGTACAACTTGGCACTCCACTGGTTTTGAACTGCAGTACTTAGGGGGTTTTTCAGCTGTTCTTGAGAGATGTGAGAAGAAATGTACCACTGATTATCTATCGGTATTGTACAACTACATTGCGCCATGCATATGTTGGGTTTCTTGAAAAATGAGACATTAATGAAGGCTTTTTCTGGAAATGTCCTCAGGTGGGTGGATACTGGGACAAGTCCTGTAGCACAGTGACTCAGCTGAAGGAAGGACTGAATCGGATCCTGTGTTTGATACCATACAATGTAATAAATCAACCTGTGTGGGACTGTATTATGCCAGAGTGGCTGGAAGCCATCAGGACTGAAGTACCAGACAATCAGCTCAAGGAGTTCAGGGAGGTGCTGAGGTAGGTAGGGGGATGTGGGCACCCTGCAACATTTTTGGGAGACCCTGTATGTGCGTCAATCAAACTTCTGGGGGAAACACAGCATTTGGTATCTGAGCTGTAGCTTTCAGAAATGGAATGTCCCAGGTGGACTATAAATCCACCTATGTTACAATTTGGAAAGTTATCACATTTTAAGTTGGTGAAAATGCTTCTTTGCTTTCCCATAAGCCTCGATGCTGGCTTGGGTCTAGAACGTGGATTGTAAGTGAGCCAGACAACTCTCCCCTCCTTACCTTTGGTGATAGTCCTGAAGCAGTGCTCAAATTATCAGTGGAGGCTGGTGACTCCACTTGTCAGTATCCACCCTAGGTTTTATTATGAACCTTGAAGGAGCTGTTGTAACCCCAAAATAGTTTCAACACAAGGATAGCTCTGCTAAAATTCAGACTACAACCTACAGACTCACCATCCCATCGACACTGGAGCCACAGTCTTCACTGCGAATTATGGAGACCCTAATGAAATCCACAGGCCTCAGTCTCTGACTCCTCTTGGGCTTAGGCAGATCGTGGCTTCTCTGTAGCCTTCTGTAGCATAGGGAGATATCTGTCTAGGAAGCAAGATCTTACCTGCAAAAGCTCATGCTGCAAAACCTCATTAATACAAATATATTCAGTTTCTCTTGGTAAAGAATTGGGGTTACCAGTGCAGGATTAGTGTTTTTATATGACAGAATGTGCTTTCCCTTTTTAGGATTAGAACAGCAAACTCCAAATAATAAGCAATATTAATTTTGGTGCACATCTTTCTGTCTTTGTGACACGTGTGAAAAAAATGCTGATCAACCCTTTCTTTTTGTGCATTGTAGCAAAATGTTTGACATTGAGTTGTGCCCGCTCCCTTTCTCTATGGAGGAGATGTTTGGTTTCATAAGCTGTCGGTTCACTGGATATCCTTCCTCAGTGCAAGAGCAAGCTTTGCTTTGGCTTCATGTGAGTGTACACCTATGTCCGTATCTAAACAGTTAAAATGCCTTGGCTGAGACCTGGTGACTGGCAGTAAGAGGTTTGCACCAGCTGGTATTTTTGGTATTTCGGCTCTACCCCTTTAGCCTTGGTCTTGCCCACCACTGGAATGTGGCTCCTGTGAGCTTCCGTGAAATAAAATTCAGCACTCAGGCTGAGGGGTTCCAGCATCTTCAAAGGCATCCAGAGCTGCCGATCGTTGTATCAAGAGAACTCAAAGAGCTGCTAACCTTGCTGGATTTGACGTTTAATTAACAACAGTGTTAACTCAATCACACCTCTATATGGCCCCAAAGCTGAAGCTGTGTGGACAGTTCACAATAAGGTCACTATCTTGGAGGTTTATGAGCATCCAGGCCAGAGTGGGAGGAGTGGACAAACCAACTTCTGGGGTAATGGGCTGGATGAGGTAATGGGCTGGATGAGGGCCAATAAACTGAAGCTCAATCCAGACAAGACGGAGGTCCTGTTGGTTGGTGGATCGGGCTTCGGAGAGGGTGAATTGAACCTTGTCCTGAATGGGGTTGCACTCCCTCTTAGGGACAAGGTCCGCAGCTTGGGAGTGCTCCTCGACCCAGAGCTTTCACTGGAAGCTCAGGTAACAGCAGTGGCGAGGAGTGCTTTCCTCCAGCTTCGGCTAATTCATCAGCTGCGCCCCTATCTGGAGAATGACTGCCTTGCGACAGTGACACATGCGTTGGTGACTTCCCGTTTGGACTTCTGCAACGCGCTCTACGTGGGGCTACCCTTGAAGACGGTCCGGATACTTCAATTGGTCCAAAATAGAGCTGCCAGGCTGCTGATGGGGACTGGACGTTATGTTCACATGACTCCAGTTCTCCGTCAGCTTCACTGGCTTCCCATTGAAGTCCGGGCCCAATTCAAGGTGTTGGTTATGACCTATAAAGCCCTAAACGGCTTGGGTCCTGGTTACCTGAAGGAGCGCTTGCATCCTTATATGCCCAGCCGCCCCCTGAGATTGGCGGGAGAGGCCCTTCTCCGGGAGCCCTCCATGGAAGAAGTTAGGAGGGTGGTTACTCGGAGGAGGGCTTTCTCAGCGGTGGCGCCTAAGTTATGGAATGCGCTCCCCAGAGAGGTCCGCCTGGCGCCGTCGTTATTTGTTTTTCGGCGCCAGGCGAAGACCTTTTTATTTAAGCAGTATTTTAAATGTTAATATTATTGAATTTTATTTGGCCAGGGCGGCTTGTTTTATAGTGTATATTTGTATTTTATTGTATATATTTTAAAATGTTATTTTAAATTTTTTGTTGTAAGCCGCCCCGAGGCTTCGGCGAATGGGGCGGCATAAAAATGTTTTAATAAATAAATAAATAAAATAAATAAACTTCTGCCTCTTCATATTTCCCATTCTGGTCTTTAAGCTGAGGTGTGTTAGACAGGGAGGAAAGGAAGCTGGAGATACATCAGGATGTCCTGTTTCCTGATGGCCCCATTCCCCTCCCCTCTCCAGCCCCCAGCACCCACTTTTTCCCCTCTCCAAGATCTCCTTGGAGAAACAACTGGTCTGGTTCTTTCTGTGCCATGTGGTACGTGATGGAGCAACCTGTACCCTGTCTCTGAAGTTGGGAGGGTGTCTCCTATCTTGGAGCTGGAAATCCAAATCATTCTATGACGCCCTACACTGTCTAGGGGAGGCACTGCTGTCCATATAATGAAAATTCTGTTTAAGATCTTGCAGCATTGTTAAAAGAGTATCTTCCCCTCAGTACCTTTCCCTACCATCTGTAATATGGCCTTAATATGGCCACAAAGTCTGTCCGAAGGCATCTGATGTAATTACCTCTCAGAAGTCAAGCAGGTCTGGCTCCTTTAGAACAAAGGAGAAGCCCTGCTGGATCAGACCAAAGGCCTATCTGGTCCTACCACAGCCAACCAGATGCATATAGGAAGTCCAAAACCAGTACAATCTCATTTTCCTAGCAAGTTCTCCAGCAACTGGAACTGGAGGCAGTCTATGCCTGCAAAGGAAACTGCTTATAGACCCAAATTATACCTCTTTATATTGCATCATGGCAAAAAGATGATGAAAATATAAAAAATAAAATGCTGTCTTATCTCACTGGTTTGTTGTAATGATTATGGAGATGACCTAAACATATGAAAAAGACTTACGGAGATTCTTCAAACACACAAAAAAGCACCATGTAAATTTTAAGTGTTATTGTTGAACTTGCATGCAGCAAACTCAAGAGAGGCATGTGCTGTAACAGCTAAAGAATGGCTTGCCACATGAAACATCTGTATGCAAATTCTGCAGCCCCCATTTTAAGCTCTAGCAGCTTCTGGAAGTGGGTTGCAACTTGGGTTGGCCCTAACTTAACTATAAACTTAAGTTCCTTGTGCATTTTGGCCAAGCTTCTAAAACATCTATTAACATTCACAATATTTTTGATATAAGACTTCTCCTCTTCTCTGCCTCTCTTTCAGGTATTATCGGAATTAGACATCGTGGTTCCTCTTCAGTTGCTAATCAGTATGTTTTCTGATGGGGTTAATTCTGTGAAAGAACTGGCAAATCAGAGGAAATCTAGAGTCAGTGAGCTAACTGGCAATCTTGCAGCACGAAGGGTAATTCATTCTCAATTGCTTTTATGACCAAAGAAACAACTTGCATCATTGGACAAAGCAACAAGTACAATGCAGGCTGCTTCAGAATCAAAATTCCCTGTCATTAGTTAGACTGAAAATAAAGCTAAGCATTTGAAACTGAGAATACTTACTTGGCAGGGCAGTGGTCCCTCGGCTCACAAACACCTTGGTTCACGAACAAAAATTTCTGAAAAATTTTGACTTGGGTCATGAACACCGCTTTGGGTGGCGACCAAGATCACAGGCGGCTCCCCCGCTCCCCCCGCATGGGGAGATGGCCACGGTCACAGTTCCGCTCATGCCGGGAAGGCATGCGGGATCACAGGCGCACTCCTGCAGGAAGGACGGGAGCAGCAAAGCAGAGCCGCAGGGGAGACGGCTGAGATTCCGCCTGTCCTTCCTGCAGGAGCGCGCCTCTGATCAGGCACGCCTTCCCTGCACGAACGGAACTGCGATTGCGCCCATCTCCCCCCACCCCCCAACCAGCACAATCACGGCCATCTCCCCACCCCACCCCTGAGTGGGGAGATGGCTGCAATCATGCTGGGGGGCAGGGGGGAGATGGCGGAGATCGCGCCTGTCTCTTCCTCCCCCAGTGCGCCCGCGATCATGCCCGTCTCTCCCCCCCCACTCCCCAGCGCGCCGGGATGATGGATGCATGCCAGGATGACGGGTGCCTGCAGGGATGATGAACGCATGCAGGGATGACAGGCGTGATCTCAGTCGTGCTGGGGGGGGCAGGGAGATGGCCACGCTTGTGCTTGGGGTGGGGGCCGTGATCTTTGTTGTTGTCACTTTGCTTCACATTTTTCTGATTTAAAAAATGGTTGCAGAACGGATTAACCTTATTTACATTGAACCTTATGGGGAAATTTAACTTGGCTCACAACCAATTTGGGTCACGACCAGAGTCCTGGAACGGATTAAGTTCATGAGCCAAGGGGCCACTGTAAGCCCTTTCTAAAACAGTGAGACTTAATGGTAATTTGATACTTTTAGGAGCAAATGAGGCAAGATGTCGTTCATCCTACTGCACAGTTTTTTAAAGAAGTAAATAGCAGGCACAGGCCCCTGATCTGAAATGGGACTCTGCTAATCAAAGGGGGAGCATTAACCCATTGCCACCCACTACAATTCCAATCTGGGACATATAGTGCACTTACATTTCTCTTCATTGTGCCCACAAATTGTTCCATTTCTTGAATATTTTATCAGACTGATTAGTAGGACAGTTTAAGCAAGGTCTTATGTTGAAATAGCACTATCAACTTAAAAAAAGTGGACTGTTTTCTTGCATCTTAAAAGCAGTAACGTTGTTTGATTCCATGCTGTGAAATGTTTTGCCTCCACGGAGGCCTCCTGTGATAGGCATAGAAGCAGGCCACTTCTACCCTGCTGCCTTCAAATCAGTTAATAACCCATATTTTCAATGGATTGTCTAGGTTTCTTTTGCAAAATTAATATTTTATACCTGTCAACCTGTCAGTGCTTAACACTGTGTGTGTGTGTGTTTAACTGTTTGTGCATCTCTAGGTGAGCATTGCCTCCGATCCAGGACGCAGGGTTCAGCATAATACACTGAGTCCCTTTCCAAGCCCATTTCAGAGTCCCTTCCGCAGCCCCGTCCGCAGTCCCTTCCGCAGCCCCTTCAAGAATTTTGGACATCCTGGCGGAGGAGGAAAGACCATTGACTTTGACTGTGATGACGAGGAAATGAATTTGAATTGTTTCATCCTGATGTTTGACCTCATCTTGAAGCAGGTGACAAAGCTGAGAAAAATTCTGATGTTCTAAGCTGCAGAACAAATAGAACTCTAAACAACCACCAGTTATGCTTTGTACAGTTCTTAGATTTCTCAGTGACCCAAGCTGGGGAACATGCATATACCCTGTTAAATCTGATGCAACAGGAGACCAGCTCTTTCTCGTCTGGTTGCAGCTGATCAGGGCTATAGCTGTCCTGGAGTTCTTAGCAGTTCTCTGCCAGGGCATTTGTCGTCACATCTCTTTAATCAAAATAGTTTTCAGGGGCCTTAGATGATGATGCCTTCCAGGACTTCCCCCATTTTTTGCAGTCATTTTTGTGCTGCTATTTTATAATGAGGATAACTATCTTTTAGCTATTGTGCCAACACAAGCTCCTGTGTTTCAGCAATTGAACTATACCACGGTGCCACCTTGTGGTTGTGTAAACAGAACATACAGGAAGGGAGAGAAAAAAAAACCCCTGGGAAAAAATAATGTGTGTAAAGGACTCCCTTAATCCCACAAAGAAAAATAAAAAAGATGACTCAGTGAAGCACTAGTTTTGTTTTGTTATGGAGTTCATTGATATGTTTTGATAAATACTCTAATAATCCTGAATATTTCAAATAAATAGTCTAATTTAAATATTCAAATAGATAATTAAATAAATCATAGATTCTACCTATTAGGGTCTAGGATAACAGTGATCTATCTAGCTCTAAGAAAAAGGGAACAAAATGAAATTCACACACACACACACACACACACACACTACTGATTTGAGGTAGCTTAGCAATAAAGCAAATTTGCAGCTAACACCAGGTTTTCAGGTCCAGGCAAGACTTGAACTTAACCTTTCCCCTACCCATATTTGCCACCATTCTCCTCCCAGAGCAGCCAAAACATTTGTTCAACTTCACTTATTATCTTTCTTTCAAATCTGTTTTTCAGATGGAGTTACAAGATGATGGAATCACCTTGGGCTTAGAGAACAGCATCTCCAAAGATATCATTTCTATCATCAACAATGTGTTCCAGGCCCCCTGGGGTGGCTCACATACCTGCCAAAAAGATGAGAAGGCTGTTGAATGTAACCTGTGTCAATCTAGTATCTTGTGCTATCAGTTGGCTTGTGAACTACTGGAGAGACTTGCCCCCAAAGAAGAAATCAGACTAGTGGTATGCAAACAAAGAAATAGAAGTTGGTTGTACTTGATTGGTACAACCATTTTCTATCACCTTGCATTTATTGTGGGCTTAAGGATGCCTTAAGTATTCTGCTGAAATCAAAAATCAGTACCTGAAATCAATGTAAGCTATGCATCTTCGCTAAACCCATGTGATGGAGGTGCATTGCTCAGAGAACAAGGATTCACCATGGCACCATGAGACATGTGCGCCCCATGGAACATGCAGTGTGCTGCCATATAATTTGTGAGATAGTCCTCAGAAACCCAGTCATGCATGAGCAGGCTTTCCTTGTTCAAGGGCAGCAGAACTGTTTGCAGTGGGCCTCATTCAGCAGCCGGTGGAAAGAGGGACGGAATGGGATGCCTGATTGGACTCTGGGCACTAGTCCTGGCAAGGGAAACCCTAGGCAGCACCAGTGTGTGACTTTTGCAGAGGGATTATCTGATGGGCTACCAGAAATGGCTTGGTGGGTTGCACATGGCCAGTGGAAGGCAAGGATGTTAGGGCTGGTTCTTCTGTTATGGGATACAAGTGTTGCTGCATTAACAGCCACACCAGTGTCAGAATATATCAGGAGTGCCAGGCACTGGTTAAGAAATATGGCATTCTACTTGATGCGATAACCACAAGCAGATCACTTGAAGTGCTCTCAGCCTCATCCTGCTAAAGGACAAGTGCTTAGAAGCAAGCTTTCATGTCCATGGTCATACAAGCTGCATAGTCAAAACCAAGCATGAGCATATGACCCTTCCTCTGATCCAGATACCAGGGTCACGCACTCATAGTCCTGTGAGAAAATGGGTGATAGAACCCATCAGCTGCTAAGAAATGGAAAGGTGCCAGGGGCTTGAATTAATTAGGGCTCTGCTCCCCCACAAATCAGTTGCTAGGCTTGACTGTTGATATGGTAGAGCCCCAATAATGAACACAGGCTTGCTTGTCTGGTTTCTTCTTTTGAAACATTTCAAGCCAAAATGTTAGTTGGAATATTGAACAGGTCCCAACTAAAAGGCTCCTAAGAACATGCAAGTGTGAATATCAGGAAATTCATATTGTTTCTTATTGTGTTCTCAAGGAGCCTACAGACAATCTAGAGGACAGCCTTCTCTATTCCAGACCAGAGTTCCTCATAGGACCTGAAGGGGAAGCCGAGAACAAGTCAGCACCAAAGCATGGAGAAAACCCAGGAAATCACACAGAGGCCACAGAAAATACAGGTAAATTGGGGGAAGGGCAAAGTGTATGTTTCAAAATGGTGTGGATCAGCCTTCACTCAGTTGGGTTCCTACAGATGATTTGAACTACTGATTCCATCAATCCAGCCAACTCAGTCATTACTAGCCAGGTGTGATGGGAGCTGTAGTCTAATACATCTGGAGAGCATCAGGTGAATAGGCTGACATAGATTTTATGTTGCTCATTTATGCTAGTGCATGTGTGTGTGTTCTGTTATGTTCTGTCAAGTCATTTCCAACCTATGGTGACCTTATGAATGAAAGTCTTCCACAATGTGTTGTCCATCACAGCTTCATTCAGCTCTTCCAAGTCCAAAACTGTGGTTTCCATTATGGATTCAGTCTCTCCTATTTGGTCTTCCGTTTCTTCTTCTGCCTTTGACTTCTTTCCCTAACATGATTAACTTCTTCAGTGAATCTTGCCTTCTCATGATGTGTCCGAAGTATGACAGTCTCAGTTTTTCCATTCTTAATTCTAGGGAAAGCTCTGGCTTGATTTGAACTAAGATGCATTTGTTTGTCTTTCTGTCAGTCCAGGGTGATCATAAAGCTCTCCTCCAGCATCAATTTTTTCCTGTCAGCTTTTTTCACTGTCCTGCTTTCACATTCATAGATTTTAATTGAGAATACAATACTTTGGATGATCTTGACCTTGGTCTCCAGTAAAACTCGTTTAGCATCTTTGAAAAAATTCTTACTTTTTGAGCATTTGCTTCTCCCAGTGTTGTGTCGAGGAAAGATTATTTCATAGAATCATAGAACAGTAGAGTGGAAGGGACCAGAGGTCCAACTCCCTGCTCAGTGCAGGATTCTGAATTAAACCATCCCTCTCAGATGGCCGTCCAGTTCGGCATCCAAAAGCATCATTACACGTACAGCTGAAATAAGCTGTTAGGTGCTAAGTTGAAATAAGCCAGTTTCATAATCTACAGTTTGAAATTGGCTTTTTTCAACCAAGCATTGTTGGGATTAACCACAGTTTGGTTAGGCTCGGTCATCACAACAAGCTGCAGATAACTGGAAGAAAAGGCTTTGAAACTCCTGCACACAGCTATGCCAGAGGAGGAGAGGAGAAGAAAAGAAAAGCCCAGGACTCACTGACCTTGTCCTTACATTGTTAAACCATGGCTAACCCTACATCTGAACCAATCACCTCTCCAGTGGAAATAGGGAATGCCCATAGCTCAGTGCTAGAACGCATGCTTTGCCTGCAGAAGTTTGCATCGTCAGTCCCCATCAGCTTAAGTAAGTGGAAAGTTCTGTTTTCACTGAGATGGGCTGCTACCAATCTGTAGATTAATGCATGCATGCATGCATCCTCTTAAAACTAAGAAAATACCGTTTATGTCACTGTAACAATTTTTCCCTATATGTACATGATGCAAATTTAATAACTTGATTAATCAATGGGCAAGGCAATCCTATGGCTGTTAGGCAGAGTCATTCAGAGTTGCTTTTTCCATCTCCGAGTTGCTATTCCCACCTCAGAAAGTTGTTTTAAGTTTGCAGCTGGAACTCCAAACTTGGAGCTCCCTCCTCTTGCCTCCAGCATGGAAAGAAAGGCACCGACGATGGTTCTTTCAACACGAGGCTTTAAGAGTCAGGGAAGGGAAGAGACTGGTTCTTCCAGCATATTCATTATCCTGGTGGAACGTCATCCTCATCTACTTGTGCTCTGAGGTTCCAGTGCATTGCATGGTGGAAGGAGTGGGAGGCACATGGGCAGCCTCACTGGAGCTTTCCTAGTAGACTAAAGCTTACTAAGATTTTTTAAATTGTGTGACCAACTATTCCTCAAAACACTAAACAAAACCCCAACTCACTCTGTGCTGGTTTCCTGTGCTCAGTTCCAAGTTTGCTTACCTTACACTGTCCAGTGTTAGAAAATGCCCAGCAGTAGGCTGACACAGAAATCCCAAAATGGTATCAACAGGGAACTCTTAAACAAACAGAATTCTATTGGTGTATTATCAGAGTGCAGAAATGGGACCTCCAGATGTAGCTCAATTCCATCTTCCATCAGACCCACTTGCCTTGTTCAGGGATGATGGGAACTGTACCCAAAGAGCAGCTGGAGGCCTACAGATACCCCACACCTGGTATAAACTGTACAGCTGATACACCCAACAAATTAATGGATGATCTTAGGAAGAAGCATGTTGGAACAATGCAAGAGCCTATCTTGTCCACCACTCTGTGCTCACAGTGACACATCAGAAGTCTATGGGAAGCTGACAAGCAAAGAATGAGTGCATTATGATGGTAATAAAACCATCATAAAGACACAAGAAGGGTGCTGCTAGACCTGACCAATGCCTATCTAGTCCAGCATTCTCTTAATGGACTGGCCAAACAGCTTTCTATAGGAAATCTACAACGAGGTCTCAAGTACAATAGCATGTTTCCACTTCCCTGGCTGGTAGCAATTAATATTGACATGGCCGGTAGATATTGATAGCTCAAGCAGCTCTGACTTTATCAGGTGCATGGTCTTCTCACACTGATTGGGCCTTCTCCGTTCGTAATGCATTCCATGCATTCGCCAATGCATGGAAAGCCACAAAGCTCAATATCTAGGTTTACTAAGCTAATTTCACTAATTTTGAGTGTGACATGTTTGTGTGAGCTGGCTCTAGATTTTATTTTAAACACATAGGGGTTCAGTTGCAAATTATTTTACAAAAATGTCAGTGATGCTTTGCATGTCTTGTTACTGTTTTTGTCTAGCAGCCATCAAAAATGACACCGAGAGGAAATTCTGCTACCAGCAGCTCCCAGTGACCCTGAAACTCATATATACAATATTGCAGGTAAAGTTTACATCTTTTATAAAAAAACAAAAGCAAAAAAAAAATACTATGTGGTAGAGTGGACTCTTTAATAATGATTTTTGGGAATTATCACATTTAGGACAGTGAGTGATCATCTAGATAAGATCTTTTGGTGGTAGGAAAAACTTAAAATTGTGATAATATTCTTGAAGCTTAAATCACTTTGAGAAGCCTTGTCCAACCTGATGCCCTCAGATGTTTCAGACCACAGCCTCCAGGATTTCTGACCATTGGTCATGCTAGCTGTGGCCGATGGGAACTGAAGTCCAAAACATCAGGAGAATATAGGGTAGGGGAAGGCTTACCTTAAGTTTCTTGCACTGCTTATGTTAATGTTAGTTCACTTTTCAATAGATGCAATTCTGCTTTTGCTCAGAATTATAGGACAAAGTGTTCTTGGCTTATTACTTCTGCCTGGAGTATAAGATTAATTGCATGGTATTTTGTTTGTTTGTTTCTAAATTTGGCACAGGAGATGGCACGGTTTGAAGAGCCAGACATTCTTTTCAATATGCTGAACTGCTTGAAGATTCTCTGCCTTCATGGAGAGTGTTTATACATTGCAAAGAAAGACCACCCACAGTTCTTAGCCTACATTCAGGATAATATGCTGATTGCCAGGTATACTGTTGTGCCAATACTTTTTGGCTGCAACCCATAAGCATGCATTTATACAGCTACTCCTGGCAACTAAAAAACCACCAAAGTTATCTTTAAGTCAGCGGCTGAATTCTGTAAACAGTGGTTTGTGGACTGAAGTCACAGAATGCATTACATTATGGGTGGGTTTCCATTTAGAGGAAACCCATTGTAGAAAACCACTGCAGTGTAGTGCTGGTAAGTGCGAAGCGTCCACAATGAGCCTGGCAGGATTGGGCCCTTCGTGCTTGCTTTGTTCCCTCCCCCTGCTTCCTCCCCTTCCACTCCTTCTGGAAGTATCCCAGGGGACTGTGGGGAAGAGAGATGCCCCTCTCTTTAAGGGGAGGCATAGAAATGTTATAATAATAATAATAATAATAATAATAATAATAATAATAATAATAATAATCACCAGCTGATTTCAGCTTGCCACAACTGTCAAGGAATCTCCACTGTGCTCTGAATTGCAACAGGGAGGGCAAGGAGCTAATTAGACACCCCTGTTTCCTGCTCAGAGGAACAGCATTGTGGGAAATCAAAGTGCCACTGCAAACTGGCTGGCACTGGCCACAGTGCTGCTGCCACCAGCTAAACCTACTGGGGCTGGCAGAGTAGGAGGGGTCCTTTCAGAAGGCATTTTGCCAAGGCCCCCGTCAAACTCATGTCTAGTCCAGGCAGGGCAGATTTGTCCAGTACCCCAAGCTTGAACCGAAGGTATTGAGATTAATTCTGACTCATGGAAGCTGGGACAGCTCAGGAAATTATGTGTTCTGAGTTCTCCAAGCTCTTGTCCCTGAACTAGAGAGGAAAAGGTGTTGCAATTGGTGACAGCATCAGGTCCTACAGCTGTGCTGGTGTAACAATAGTGGATCCTATGGGGCTGTTTGTTTCTTAACAAACATTGCAAAACACAACCTAACACAAAATGAACATCTTTTATCAACAATGGTATAACAGAACAGTGTGAACAATTATAACATATAATAATAACAAATAAAATTGGCTGTAGAATTGCAAAGTCCCAAAGTCCTTTTAAATTCAACTGAACGAAGGAATCCAACCTGTCCTGTTCAACTGACTGAACACAGAAGAATCGGCTGCATTACACAGAATATCAAAACCCTGGAATAAAATGCCAGTTCAATTGGGTATACATGAATTCATTATGTGGATTCACCCCAACACAAACATGTAGGAATGTTACCTAGGCCAAATCGGCAAGGACCTTCATGGCAAGAGCAGCTCCTGCATCATCTTTTTCATCAGATCACCTTTTCACCTTCCTGCCTCTTCACTTTTCTCATTAAATCTTTTTAATTTGAATTTCTTACACCCCCCATTCTTAGTTCCACCCCTTTGGGCCATACCAATATTTCATAGGGGTGAAATAAAGCAGCCAAGTGGTCTTCTTCTTCCCATTTTAAAAGCCCTTTGAGATAGTGGTGCCCCTAGGGGAAGATGGTCTTCCTGTACATCTCAAGGGAGGTCTCACAACTAGGGCCTCTTACCTTAGCTAAAGACTTTTTGCTTTACATCCAGCAAAGTAATGTATCCAGTTGTTTAGCCAAGTTGGAAAGAGGTGTTGTCAGCAGGCTTGCTTTTGTTGTCTTTCTCTTTCTTCATGCAACTCCTCACCCTACTTTGCAGCTTATGGAGAATCGTGAAATCAGAATTCTCCCAGCTTTCTTCACTGGCGGTGCCCCTCCTTCTCCATGCTCTGTCGCTTCCACATGGAGCTGATATTTTCTGGACAATCATCAATGGCAACTTCAACAGCAAAGACTGGAAGATTAGGTTCGAAGCAGGTATATCTTTGAACAAATAGAATTTGCTGCAATAAGATACATGTCCAAACACATCTTCAAGGGTCTCCTTTAGGGAGGCAGCTCATGTTGGTCCTTCTGTCTGTTAGGCATAGCTAGGATTTCTGGATGGCATGTGCAAATTAAATATTCATTACAGGAAAAACAGTGTAAAAGCAGAGATCAGTACAGTAAAATTGAGAGGCACAACATTTACGGGTATGTGTGTGCATATATGGGTAAAACAATCTATGTGCGTTGCAAGGCGCAGTTGAACTTATAACCACATGTTTTTCTAGCTGTACATTGTGCCAGCAATCCATACCTTTTGAAATCCCTAAGAGCCTAAGGTGAGCCATGCAGGATCAGACCAAGGGTCCATCTACTCCAGCCATCCGTTCATACAGTGGCCAGCCCGCTGCCTATGAGAACCCACAAGCAGTGCACAAGCACAACAACACACTCTCACCCATGTTCTCCAGCAAGTCATGCACATACCAGATACCAATGCGATGCTAGAGGTAGCAGATGGTCAGTCAGGACTAGTAGCTATTGCTCTATCCTTCTTCTTCTTCTTCTTCTTCTTCTTCTTCTTCTTTTTTTTTTTTTTTTTTTTTGAGATCAGGGGACTGGGGACGAGCAGCAGGTCGAGTACTAGGAGCTGGGACTTCACGAGGGCCAACTTTGGTCAACTGAAGGCCAAACTGGGGAAAGCCTCCTGGGAGAGGGTACTGGAAGGCAAGGGAGTTCAGGAGGGGTGGATGGCACTCAAAAGGGAGGTCTTAGAGGCACAAGCCTTGATGATACCGCTAGTTAGTAAGGTGGGGAGGTGAAGGAGAGCTTAGCCATGGATGCAAAAGGAGGTGGTAAGAGGGATTAGATGTAAGAGGAACCTCCGTAGGAAATGGGCACTGGGGCAAATACACAAAAGGGTATACCAGGAGGAGGAGGCCCGTTGCAGAAGGATTCTTTGCAAGGCTAAGGCTGATTATGAGCTGAGACTTACAAAGAATATCCGGAGCAACAAAAAGGGCTTCTATCAACATGTAAATAGCAAGAGGAAGGGGAGACAGGTGGTGGGACCGCTTAATAAGGAAGAAGGGGATTCAGTAACTGATGTGAGGGAACAGGCACAGATGCGAAATAACTATTTTGCCACTGTGTTCTCTCCAAAGCAGGACAGAGGAGATCTCCATGGGAGACAGGATGAGTTTGGGGATTTAGGGGCACAGATTAGAGTCACCCCCCACCCTAGAAGTTGAGGAGCTCCTCAGGGCACTGCACCCTGACAGGTTATACCCAAGTGTTGGCAGGGGTTCTCTCACGCCCGCTGGCCTCCATTTTTGAGGCCTCGTGGCAAACGGGTGAGTTCCAGTGGACTGGAGGGTGGCATCAGTGGTCCCAATTTTCAAAAAGGGCAGTAGAAGGGACATGGGAAATTAAGAACCAGTTAGCCTTACATCCATTGTAGGAAAGACAATGGAAAGGCTCATAATAGCAAGAGATCTAGTAACCCTAGGTAGGAAAGGGAGGTTGGTGGCCACGCAAACATGACTTTCACAAAAAAAGGACCTACCAGACAAACCTTGTGGAATTCTATGACAAGGTTTTGAGGTGTCTAGATGGAGGGAACACACTGGATATGGTTTACCTGGATTTTAGCAAGGCCTTTGACAAAGTGCCATATGATATCCTGGTTGAGAAAATGAGGAGTTTTGGGATAAACCAATGCAATGTCTGAAAGCAGAAGGTAACCATTAGTGGGGAATCATCAGGATGGCAAGCAGGGTCCCCCAGGGCTCTGTCTTGGGACTGATCCTGTTCAATATTCTCATCAATGACCTGGAAGAGGGGATGACCAGTCTGCTGATCAAATTCACAGACAATACTAAAATGGGGGCACTGGCCACAACTGAGGAGCAGGTTCTCCAGATCCAGAAGGATCTGGACAGACTATGGAAGTGGGCGTGGGACAACAGGATGGTGTTCAATGTGGGTAAGTGCAATGTTTTGCACTTGGGGCATGGGAATGGGTGTCATAAGAACAGGTTAGGGGACAAGTGGCTGGAGAACAGCACTTGTGAAAGGGATCTTGGGGTACTGGTCAACTGCAGGCTAAACATGACTTAGCAATGTGACGCAGCGGGCAAGAGGGCAAACTCCACCCTTGGTTGCATAGTCAGAAGCATGGCTTCTAGATTGAGAGAGGTATTACTACCACTCTATACGACTCTGGTGGACCCACAACTGGAGTATTGTGACGTAATACATGGGCTCCACATTACAGGAAGGATATAGCCAGGTTAGAATCAGTGCAGTGTAGGGCCACAAGGATGGTGGCCAGATTGCACGGAAAGCCATATAAGGTGAGACTGAGGGAACCGGGTCTTTTCAGCCTGGAGAAGAGGAGATTCCAAGGCGATCTGGTGGCAACATATAGGTACATGAGGTGGTATCACACAGAGTTGGGTAAAGGCCTGTTTTCCTCTGCAGAGAAGAGCAGGATGTGTTCCAATGGAGCAAAGCTCAGGGAACCAAGGTTCAATTTGGATTCCTGACAGGACCCCGAGGGTATGGAATGTGCTTCCATGGGAGGGTGTTCAAGGATAGGCTGGACATGTACATGGTAGGCATGTCATGAGTGGAGCCACCTAGAACTGGGGGTCAGACTAGATGGCCTGGGAGGACCTTTCTGACTCACTCTGTTTTTATGTTTCTGTGATAGCCATCTCCTCCATGAATTTATCTAGCCCCCTTTTAAAGCCCTCCAAGTTTGTGGCCATCACTGAATCTTGGAGAAGTGAATTGCATTGTTTAACTATGCATTATGAGAAGAACTTCCTCTTATCTGTCCTGAATCTCCCATCAGTCAACATCATGGGATGACTGCACTTGTTCTAATATTATGAGAATGGGAGAAAAACGTCTCCTTCTCTCCTTTCTTCAAACAATTCATAGTTTTGTACGTGTTTATCATGTCTCAATTCACTCTCCTTTTCCCTAACTGAATATCACAGATGCTGTAACTTTTCTTTATTAGCAAGCTGCTCTAGCCCATCGCTAATTTTTCCTCTGCCTCTTATGCTAGTTCCCAAAATAAATGTTTTTTTTGGGGGGTGGGGCAGGGCTGGGTTTCAATCAGCTTTGAATTGGAATTGACTGACATATGAATAATTTATTGTTGGTATTTATTATTTTGGTTTTTGATTATCATTTTTGTTGATTGTATTTTATTGATCATATAGATATTTTATGACTGGTGTTATGGCTTTTAAATTGCTGTTATTACTGTTTTAAATTGGTTGATTGGTGTTATACCATTTTATGAGGGTTTTATTTTATAACTGTTCTGAGAGCCATGGGCTAATGAATAGGATATAAAAACATAAATAAATAGATTTAGTATAGGCTAGTTCTGACACCAAGAACATTACCATTGGGTTATATCGAAAGGCATCTATTTAGAGAATGGCTGCTGCTTGGCGGAATGGATTCCCCCTCCCCTGCAGCTCTCCCATGCCCCCTCCAAACCTGGTCCAGAGTGTTGGGGACCCTCCAGAGCAGGTCTGGGGGCACTGGGGAAGGGCATGAGGGAGGCAGACGAGCAAATGGAACTCATCCCCTGAGTGGACTGCTCATGTCATATTCCATGCAGCTCATTCTATCTTTCATCCAAAGCCAAAAGGAACATTGAATAAATAGAAAATCCAGCTATTCTTTTCTCTCACAGACATTATAAAAGAGGGCAAATGTCTACATTGATCTGCTTCTTTTGTTTATCTTGGTATTTTACCACTTGCTGCAGTGGAGAAAGTAGCAGTGTTGTGTCGCTTCCTGGATATTCACTCAGTGACCAAGAACCACTTACTGAAATATTCCTTGGCACACGCCTTTTGCTGTTTTCTGACTGCTGTGGAGGATGTCAACCCAGCTGTGGCCACCAGAGCAGGACTTCTGCTGGATACCATTAAAAGGCCAGCTTTGCAGGTATGCTGATGGCGAAGAAAGAAACAGGGACCAGACTAGCCATAGTCCCAGGAGTGGGTTCTTGCAATTATTTTGTCCAAGTGGACTTAGTTTTTCTGGACTTCTCACAGGTGTGGTTCAACACAGTTGCTCAATCCCTTGAAAAACTTGGTAAAATTGGAAGATGCCTTCCCCCCCCCCTTTTTTTTTTATAGCCGGTGATAATTGTTGCATTCTGTATATCTGTATTTTATTTTTCCTCCTTAGGGCCTATGCCTTTGCCTTGATTTCCAGTTCGACACAGTTGTGAAGGACAGGCCTACAATTCTTAGCAAGCTTTTGTTGCTTCATTTTCTCAAGCAAGACATTCCAGCTCTAAGCTGGGAATTCTTTGTGAATCGATTTGAGACCCTTTCTCTTGAGGCACAGCTTCACGTGGACTGCAACAAGGAATTCCCCTTCCCAACGAGTAAGCATCATTTGAGGGGGGATATTGCTTCATTTTATTGTTCTGAATCAAGATGTTTTTGTCTTTGGGATGGGGGGATTTCACTCACATTTGCTGTGCAAATGCCCGCTAAATTCCATGCTGCATTGGTGAGGAGTAACTCCAGCAACACCTGTCCAACTCCAGATGCTAACAGTGATGCTGGTATCAACCTTCATCTCTGTGGAAATATTCTTTTTCAGGCAATAGACCCTAGCCCAGTTGGAGCCCCTCTAGGAGGTTGGCCAAAGGGGATTTCTAGAAGTGAAACCAGCTCTTGGATAGGCACCATCAAAAGCTCCGAAAGGGGCAGAACAAAGAAGTAGAAAGCTCCAGGAAGCTAGACAAGAACATCCTTTATGTTGGTCCAACAACTGGCAGACTCGGAATGAGTCATAAGTCAGGTCTTGCTTCCCCCAGCTTGTAAGCTCTACCTCCATGCTAAAATAAGGCCATCTCCCTTAAAAGGCTTCTTCTTGCCTTAGAAGCCTTTGACTGTGATGCCACAGAGATTACAGCAGTGGTGGCAACTTCAGAGCTGGAATCCAGGGATGGTAAAGGAACTTCCTATGGCTGGTCCCATGAACTTTCATGGAGAATGGAGGGTCTGGGGAAGCAGAGACTTTGCGATGTGAGAACTGCCTATGTAGGAGGTCTCTTTCCTGAGGAGGGAAGATCAGAACCCTTGTTCCTGATGGGAAGCTACACAGACAAAATTATATTTACTGCCCCAAAGAACTTACACTCTTAAACAACAACAACAACAACAACTAAATCTGATTAATGGAGGAACTGACCTGGTTCAGACATAATGATCCTGGCCTGATAAATTCTGATTTATTAGCATTGAAATAAGCTACATGCCTGCATTTTCCTGCCTGTCTTCTCTGGGTCCTTCTTTTCCTCTTGTGTTCAGTTTAGTGAAGTTTTAAACTGCAGTGGCCAATGAAGTCCAAACCAGAAAATGAGAGCCCTGTGTAAACCAGGATCTCAGGGAAGATTGTGGTTTAAGAGACTGCAATGCCTCTGCTAAGCCTGGCACAAGAGGAAAGGGGCTCGGAGGGAACACGTGTGCACGTGGCTCCATTTTTATCCATCACTGCACTTCAACCAAGCCACTTTGTCAGTTTACCTTGTTTGCACTGAGGCTGGACAAAGCACACCTTGAGCTCCACACACGATACCCATCTCTCTCATTTGTCTACTGAAGGCATGAGGCTGGCAACCGGAAATCCCTGTTTTGTGCATGGAAGGATCCAAGCATGGAAACAGCATGTGTGTGCTGTAAGGCAGTGGAGTTCCTGTGTGCATGACATTCTTAATATAATTTGGTCTAAAAAATGCTACAAAATGAAACCTGACTTCTTTAAATCCTGTTTGCAAAGCAATCACAGCTGTGCGGACGAATGTTGCCAACTTAAGCGACACAGCAATGTGGAAGATCAAGAGGGCCCGGTTTGCCCGGAATCGACAGAAGAGTGTGCGTTCTTTGAGGGACAGTGTGAAGGGTCCGGTGGAGTCCAAGAGGGCACTTTCTCTTCCAGAAACCTTGACGTCCAAAATCCGTTGAGTATTTTCCCCAAGCTATTTCCTTCATGTTGACTCTTTCAAAATGGGTTCTAGGTAGAGATTAAATTTAGGACTGTGATTTTGACTAATCAAACCAATCATCTGATAAATTAATGTGAGGAATTGCTTGTCTTTGGCGTGGCTGAATGAGCACAGTTTAAGGTTGCTTGGAATCTCTGAACATCATCTTGCTGTTTGTGTCATGCTCAATTCTCATTCAAGTTTATGATCACTGCTTGTTTTGCATGTACGAGAGATTTGCACAAATTGATCAGCAATTGAATGGGAGACCTGGGCAAATCTCTTGAAATTCATGCAAATGTGAAATGCTCGCAAATCTCCCAATGTATGGAATTTTTTTACATAGACCAAACTAGCGGGATGCTGCAGGGTTCAGTTCTGGCTCAGTGCTCTTCAACATGTTTATTAATGATTTAGATGAGGAAGTACAAGGAGCGATAATCAAATTTGCAGACAATACAAAACTGGTTGGAAAATGAACACCCTGGAAGACTGAATGAAGATGCAGGGTGATCTTGGTAAACTTGGAATACTAGCCTGAAAGCAACTGAATAAGATTCAGTAGGGACAAATGCAAAGTCCTCCACCTAGGAAAAAGAAACCAAATGTATCGCTGCAAGATGGGGCTCAACAGAACTGAAAAAGAAAAAGACCTTGGAATTATTGTGGACAACAGGCTAAACATGAGCCAATAATGCGATGCAGCTGCAAAAACGGCAAATACTATTTTGGGATGAATTAATAGAAGTATTAGTTCCAATCTTGAGCAGTAATACTTCCCCTACACTCTTCACTAGTCAGATCTAATCTAGCATACTGTGTCCAGTTCTGGGCACCAAGATTTAAGAAAGATGCAGAAAAATTAAAAAGGGTTCAGAGGAGAAAACAAAAATGATCCAGGGTTTGGAAACACTGCCCTATGAGGACAAACTGAGAGAACTGGATGTGCACAGACTTGAGAAGAGAAGAATGAGAGGCGACATGATATCCCTCTATTAGTACCTGAAAGGCTGTCACAAAGAAGAAAGACAAGATCTCTTCTCGCTGATACCAGAGTGTAGGACACGGAATAACCAACTTAAGTTGCAATAATGCAGATTCAGGCTAGATACCAGGAAAGTTTTTCTCTCTATCAGAGCAATACAACAATGGAACCAGCTGCCTAGAGAGGTGGTGGGCTCTCCCGCACTAGAGACATTCAAAAGGAAACTGGACAGCCATCTGAGTGGGATGGTGTGACCTAGTGTCCTGCAACAGCCGGGGGTTCGACCCAATGGCCTTCTAGGCCCCTTTCAACTCTACTGTTCTATAATTCTATGAAAGTGAAGCTGATTCACTGTACTGAGGAAATTTGGGTAAATTAGGAGGTTTCTGCAAATTGAACTGCAAGTTGAAGGATGAGAGAGATATAAACATATGTTCAACAATTTGCAAAAAGGCGTAGGTGTGTGCATGCTTGCTGCATATTATTATATACTAATAACATTAATAATATTTAATATTAGTTCTTTCAAGTGAGACCTACAATAAAATGCAGCTGGATGAAGTGTTCCTATGGATGGGTGGCTTGCCATGATCCTTTCCTCTTTCAGATATTCCATTCAATACTCCTTCATCCTGTTTGTTTTTCCCACTACCAGGGCTTTTTTTTGTCATAAAACGCACCGGAACAGCGTTCCGGCACCCTTTTTTTTCAATGGATTTTACTAAGTGATTTTGAATCGCCTGTAGCAGGTCAGCAGCAAACATCATTAACATAGTGCCTGTGGTCTACTTTTGCATCTGTGCTGATAGTGAGATAGTGGGGGCGCTGCTCGGCTTGGGATCGGTGTGTGTGGTTGCGTGTGTGTGGTCGCGCGCTGCTTACTGCCGGCGGCGACCATTATGTTTATGTATGTGATGTGAGTTCCGGCACCGCACTACCCACCATTATGCTCAGCCACCATGCCCGCTCAGTCCTCTATAAGCTGTTTTTGTGGTTCTCCTCCACCCAGGCTTTTTCTGAAATTTCAGGTGGGTGGGAGTTGTACTTCTGCAAATGTTGAGGCTATTTTAAACTTGATCATTCACTCTCTTGATTGCAAATGGTGCTGTCTTGGGCACCATAAGGAGAACTCAGGCAACTGAAAATGCTTTTCTACAGTGCTAGAGAAATATTTGATTAAATCACATATTGAACTGCATGGGGTCTCCTGGCAACAACAGCAACAACCATGTTCATAACAGTAGCCTGGCGTTGCATCCCCTGGTGGCAGGAGCCTCCAGAAACAGGGCTTCTCCAAGTCCCCTCTCCTGCTAGGTCAACCCTGCTTCGCTGCAGCCCCATCCAGCAAAATCACCTCTTTCTTGCTCTACCCAGGCCTGCTCGCCAAGTGTATTTTGCCATCTAAGAGGAACCTAAATGTTCAGAGACACATGAACACCATATGCTGGGAGAACCACTGGGAAATGTTTTCATTTTCACATCCTTCTAGAAAACTTTCTAGGGACCTGTTGCTGGGCCAGCTCAAAAGAAGAATGCAGGACCAGACTGCTGAAACCTACTTAATTATAGGAAGAGACAGGGTCTAAACCCTAACCACCCAGCACCCATCCTCACAGTTTTGCTACTATGATGTGACAACCTTTTTCCACTTGACAGGATGAAACTAGTGACAGGGAGAGAAGTGCCTTGCCAAAGGCCACAAACACAGGACAGGGCAGTGGTGGGGCTCCAACCCCCCCAAAGCCTTGTCAGAGGTAAAGTCTCCCCTGCTCTGCCCCACCTGAAGACTCTGATGGCTCTTAAGAAGGCCGTACTTGGTCATTCAGACAATGCAGAGGCTTTAGAAATGGAATCCCAGCGCTCTCAGACCATGTAGTTGGTGGCAAGAACTAATCCTTGTACCGAGGTTTCTGGTAGAGCAGTGCCTTCTGGGAATTGTCTTGGGGTTTATAATTCCTTTGGACAGTCCACCTCCTCCTTTGTATCCTCAGGCACACTCCCTTATTTATAGAAGGATGGACACATGAGGCATAGGAAGGTGCTTTATACTGAATTAGGCCATTTGTCTGTATAGCTCAGTACTATGACCCTCACCATTCACATACTCAGTGTGAGGAGTTTTAAACATCTTCAACCAGTAAGAGCCGCACCGCAATTTCCAATCAGCTACTGATTGGAGGTAAGAGCTTTTCCCTGCCTGAGGTTTGGGCCAGGGGAGAAGTTGGCAAGACAGAAGGGGAAACTCATTAGTCCAACAGTCAACTCCTACAGGGTTTGAGCACAGAATCTTCTGCATGCAAAAGAGTACTCTTCCCCTGAGTTGCAGCTATCTATCTATTTATTTAAATTTATATTTTTGTACCTTCCAATAGCCCAAGGGTTGCTGAGAGTGCCTTACATAAACAGGCTGTCTTTAGTTTAATTTTAAAAGGATTTTTCCATTTTTTTAAAAGCTACAAGGCTGACCAGACATGAACAATCTGCTCCAGCACTTGGTGGGACACCAGAACAAACACAAGGTAAATGCTGTATTTGTGTACAGGTACATAACTACTTGCAGGACGAAGTAGAATATTTCTGCAAACATTCAATTATTCCATTATGAGGAGATCTGATTTGATTCTCAGAACAGTAACAGGTAGCATCCAGACACTAATGTAGGGCACAATCTTGTTTATGTTTGGAGGAAACAAGTCCTACAACTCCCAACGTCCATCCAGCCATGGTGGCTGGGGCTTGCTGGGAACTGTAGAACAGTTTTTGGTCTAAACATACAAAAGACTTTGCCCTTGTTGCACTTCTCATTAGCAGGAAGCGAACTTTCCTGGTGCTACTGGGAATAATCCAAGGGAAGACACTTATGCTGCTGAATTTCCTTCAGATATTTTCCAGCATAGCCTGACCCCTAAATTGGAAACTGGGAACCATGGAAACTATATTTTTATAGTTCCCAGAGGCCCCAGGACTAACAGAGTTTCTATCATGGCACCCACTGCTAGAAATCCAAGCAGGTTACAGTGCATCTAGGTAAGTCTGGAAAAGAAAAGTTTGAGAAGAGTTCTGGCACCTACTAAAAATAGTTTCAGTTTATTTCCAGGGTAGAGCTCCAGGCTGAATTTTAAATTGATCTTGGAAAGGGATTACAACAAATCCAATATCTCATCCACCTATTTTGTATTTCACCCCATTACCAATTTGCACAAGATATCTCCACTACTTCAATTTTTTCTGTTTTGGGTACCTAATTTATGGAATAGCCTCCTAAGAAAACTTTCTTGGCCTGGAGACAAGAGAACCATAAGAGGGGAAAGCTGAGCTCTTGAAGTAGATAATCACCAGTAAGCACCAGTAGACTAAGTAGGCATACAGATTCTCTGGTCACAACTTTCCCTATTATGGTGAATTGTGTAGTATTTCCTCCAGAATCCTTGTGCATACATAGAAATGCACAAGTACAAATTGAAGATCTCTGTTCTTGTTTGTCCTCATTTTGGTGATGCATTTCTTAAGTATTATTCACTGGTAAGTAAGTATTGCCCACATTAAATAATGTTATGAATATTTCAGAAAGTGGTTAGATATACCAAAAGGACATTTGGCTTGCTTTTCTACTGTCCTGTGGTTCATTTAGGGATTGCAACCTTTCCTCTCCATGCTCACAGGGCAACCCTCTCCAGAGAATGATAACACCATAAAGGACCTTCTTCCAGAGGATGCTGGCATTGACCATCAGACTGTCCACCAACTCATTACTGTGCTGATGAAGTTTATGGCAAAGGATGAGAGCAGTGCAGAGTCCGACATCAGCAGCGCCAAAGCCTTCAACACCGTCAAGCGCCACTTGTACGTCTTGCTGGGCTATGATCAACAGGATGGATGCTTCATAATTGCACCTCAAAAAATGCGCATTTCAACATGTTTTAATGCTTTTATTGCAGGGATTGCCCAAGTAAGTCCACTTCATGCTATTTCTTTCTGGTTCAAGCTATTGAATAATTGATTAATTATTAATGGCCTGGCTGGCTGGATTGCAGACTCTTTAAATAAACTTTATAGCCACAACCAAGAGGATTTCATAATATATGGAATTCTCCTTTGAAATGCATGGCAAAAAGACTCTGCTAGCAGGATGCATTTTTCCCAAAAGTTCATGATCTCCTCTTTGGAAAATGCAAGGCTTAGGAAGAGGAATTCTTACGAAGTGCTACCCCTGGGCCTCCATTCATTTCCATGTATGCACCATTAAAGTGAACAGGCCTTGCCTGATGCAAGTGCTTCAGTGGGTGGTGTGCCTTACTTATTTATAGATTAATTCAGTCTTTTAAATTAATTTTAATGTAAATTTCTCAAAAATGAACATTCAGCTTTCAAGCTGGCCTATAGCTAAAGCTCTCAGACCAATACACCTAAGTAGAAAACCAAAACCACAATCAATAAAATGCAGTTAAATACAATAAAAACTAAACTAACATAATTGAGACTAAAATATAATATATATCTGTATTTATATGCACTGTACTATATCTACATAGTGAAGTATATAGCAAGTTAAAAGATCTAAGAAAATAAAAAGATTTTTCTGTTTGATGCCGATGATGATGATGTAGGCACCATATAGGCTTTCCTGGGGAGGGCATTTGATGGGGGGGGGTTACTATTGCACAGACTCCGCCTCCTCATAGTCACTTTACTTAAAGGCAGACGGGGCTACAGTCAGAAGCACTTGAGAGGAAAAGAAAATAGGAGATAAGGCAGAATCTTCACACTCAAAACAAAATGTTTGGACATTTTGGAGTTGGCTTACCTCTAAGAACTTGATGGGACTTGATGCACCCTGATGAGCCTGGAGAATCAGCTCACTGTGTTGAAGGTGGGAGATCAGTTGAGTTACTCCAGGCAAGATTTGCAGCCTAGACTTGGTTTGCCAGGCCTTCTGACTACCTAGAGCACTGCTGGTGCAGAAGGAATGGTGGTCGACCCTGATTGCTGGAGGTTTTAGTTTGAGAAACATTCCACCACTAAAACCACCACCAATGTTTCACTAGCAGTCCCTGCCTGTATTGCTACCTTCACTTTAAAGGCGAAGATGGGGATGCCCCTGCTTATCCTGCAATCAACAGCTGAACCGGGCCATTCACCCATGCAAAATATTGTTTGATGCTGCAGTTGTCTAGTTATAACTTGCTGTGTGCAGTTTCAAAGCTTGTTGATGGCAGAAAATTGGCTCTAGATGAAAGATATTTGTGTTCTCTTGCCAACCCTGTCATGGTTTGGTGTCATAGAAGCTTTTAACATTTTGGATTGATGCAATGAAATAATTTGCAAGGTGCATTCATAGGTTATAAATTAGCAGGGCCTTAAAAAATAATGTTATGAAAACTTCTACCGGAGGCTGATCTACTTGCTGCAGATCCAAGAAATGACTGTGGCTCTTCTGCAAGCAGAGCGATTCCATGTGCAAGAGGGCTGGCCACAGTGGACAAAAGTGGCAGAGGGAATCCTCACGCAGTTAGATGCAAGAGAAACAAAACCAGTGTCTTACTGTTCAGTTTGAGGTTGAAATGTTATCTTTAGGAAAGCCTAGTTTCTAAAGCATGTTTCTTTCTTATATCCAGAAATATGGCAACTGCTTATTTGAAAGGTATGTGCCATGACATTCCCTTGAGCCAGAGGTGCACAATCTTTTGGGCCTTTAAGGCTGCAGTGGGTGCTGCAGGGTGTGTGCACACATCTGTGAAACCTGCACATCACCCAGACTCATGGTAGCAGCAACACATACCAGTCTTGACGCAACAACATCTGTTTCTCCTTCCCCCAGCCACCCCCAACTAATCGGCTCTCCTGAAAAGGGGGGAAATGCTCCAGATGTGTTCTGTGGGTCCTTGCCTGGGGCATCCTATGGCACTGGCAGAAACCTTAAGCAATTTTCCATGCTCCAAGGACACTCTAGGAATAGATTGCAATCATAAGGCTAGATACGTAGAACCTATTCCTAGAGAGGTTCTCACTTTATTTTGCATTGGTGGATGCTGGTGCCCTGGGACCAACAGTTTCATGGCTGCTCTTTGGCCCTCAGGTTGCAGTTTTTGCACCTCTATTTAGACAGGCTGATTTTATTTATTTATTTATTTATTTATTTATTTGTATGTGTATTTATAGGCTGCCTATAACTGCCAAGGCCTTCCTAGGTGGTTTACAATACATAAAACAAGTAGTTGCATCAAGGAATCAGCCTATTGTTTATTTTAGTGTCTAGGACTTTCCTAGAATGTTTCTAGAACATTATATGTCTGTCTCCATGCCTTGAGTATTAATGATATAGTGGCTTGTTTACTTTTAGATGTACACAGATGTGTTGTGTTGATTGCAACGGCCGCTAAGAAAATTTGAGCAAGTATTGTGAAGAAATGTCTGTGGATTATAAAAGTAACTCTCTATTTTTTTTTTTAAACATTTTTATGCTGCCCCATTCGCTGAAGCCTTGGGGCGGCCTACAACAATAAATTAAAAGTAACTATAATATAAATTACAATAAATATAAACATTAAATTATATTAACATTAAATATTTAATTAATTACATTAATTACATTAAATTAAATTAACATTAAATTATAAACATTAAATTAAAAATACGAAAAACTATTCTGAGCTAGTTAAGTGGAAGTAAATAGTGGAGGCTTTTATGAAGGATACATTTTAGTCATGCGCTTTATGTTAAACAAGAAGCTTGGCTTCTCATGCTTTATGCCTCTATTTCAGGTGTTTTCTACTGTTTGCAATAGCTCATGGCTGTATGGAGCACACATTTTACAGTGCAATGTTTGGCTGTTACTCTAATGACAAGAAGTGGGGTCCTGTATAAACCAGAGAGCATTCAGATGCTAGTCCAGCAGAGGGTAGTGTCGGGTAACTTTATGTGAAAGCAAACGTAGCTGTGCTCTGCCTGGTAGCATTCGGTGCAGCGCTGCATCGTCAGGCCCTAGCAGGAGCCTGACCTCCAGCCCGTCTGTAGCCCGGTCTACCCTCTTGGCTGCTGAGTTGGCCGCTGTTGGAACTGAATGCCAGACTCTTGGCTCAGATCCACTCCATTCACCGTGGACAACATAATCTGAACTGTAAGGAATTCTGAAGGCAACTAATGCACAGAGCATGATGGGCAGGCACACCGGGAGATTTTGCTGTCGCACAGGCCCCCAGTAAGTGTCCACTGATGGGCCAGGCTCCCTTGCCTGGCTGCAGTGGGAGCCCTGGCTGACAAGGGCCCAACAGCCTTTGGACAGAAGCTAAAGGACGTTGTGGGAACTTAAAGGAACAGACAGAGCCAGCCATCCAGTGCTACCTGCTCTGTCAGGCCAGGCATTTTTTTTTGAACTGTGGGGAGGTGGCCATCAGTAGTGGGCCCTGCTGAGGTCCTGGGCTCCTGAAGCTACTGCTGGATGCCCTGTGTTCGTCTCCGTGTCTCGCCATGCTTGTGCTACCAGAGCCTTCAGTTCCCTTATTCTGTGGACAAAGATGCATGGACCTGTATCCTGCTCCCCTAAATTTCCTCTTCTCTCCTTTTTTTTTGTTCACAAATAATTAAAATCAGTTTTCAATTTTGGCTTTAAAAAGTCTGCAAACCAGATGAATGCCCCCTACTTTGGGGGTTCCCCCTCCCAGAACCTTTTAGGCTGGCTCTGAGCTTGGCTGTGCATCTTACTAGAAGCAGCGAACAGCAGACACGAGAGAGCTTTTGCATCTCTTGTACATACAAAATTACTTTCCCTCTTTGTATGTAATCTTTCTAGACAGTAACTCTATTCAGGCACTAAGCATCTGTGTTTTATGTCAGTCTGTTCAGATGTTCATTTACATATCTGTGATACTTCTGTACTGCTTAATATAATAAAATCCCAAAGTGGTTCATATATAAATATTAAAACCACATTTAGAATAGAATGCCAATTACCATCATAGTACCAAGCAAAATAAAGAACAGGAAAATGCAGCAGAATATTAATTTAATCACCACCATAGAAAGCCCGAGTGAATAAAAGAGGTTTGAAGAGGTGTTTGAAGCATATCCCATCTTTTGCCTTCTGAACTGCTCGGGGTGGGTTTCCAGAGGGTGGGTGCTGCTCCTGGAAAGCCTGCAATGAAGCTGTTACATGCTGATACTCTCTTAGTTCAAATACCAGCAAGGCCTCCTCAGGTGATCTGAAAGGTCAGCTGGTTATATATGAGGGAGGGAAGGAGGCAAAAACTTAACCTTGAACACGGCCCGGTGACTAAAAGGTAGCCAGTGTGGTTCCTCTAAAGCAGGTGTTGTGTGGGCATGGTTGGGTGTCCCAGCAAGCACCCAGCTGCAGCTTCCGAGTCAGACACAAGGGCAGCCTCGTGTCATGCTTTCCCAGTGAGGACAGGGATTCTGATTGAGCAGGGTTCCCATCCCCATGAAGGGAGCCTACCACATAGACCTCTGAGCCTGAGTAAGCTCCCTTCAGACTGGCTGCAGATGAAGCTGCCAAGCACAAATCTGCCCATGTCCTCCTGCGTTTGCTGCCCATTGGCACGTACCACAAAGGTCTTGTCCTGTGGTCCCCACCCCTGCTGACACTGCTACCCCATTGCCAGTTATCAGCATATGCTCTGGAACCCACACAATTAGGCTCCCAACAGCTCTCCAAATGGCTCCTCAGTGGGCTTTCAGGAGCCTGATCCTACAGGAAAAAAACAGTTGCCCACCCCAGGACTAGTGCTGGTCCTATAATTGGAACATTCACTTTTCGCCATTGAGAGATGGGCAAGTCCCTCTTTTGTGCCTCACGTCAGAAATGTGTAGTGTTTATAAATCTGAGTCACTCATGTGCCTACTTTGACCTGCTTGCTTCTTGCCATGGGCAAAGCCAAGTTCCACAGTGTCCTTAGTAGGTGGTGGTGCAAAACTACAGCTTGATTCTGAAGGCTAGTGATCACTGTTCCAAACTTAAGATTCTTGTTTAATTCTCTCTTTGCTTCCCCTTGTTTCTTTTCATGCCTACCGTATTTCCCTGAAAATAAGACCTCACCAGAAAATAAGCCCTAGCATGATTTTTCAGGATGCTCATAATATAAGCCCTACCCTAAAATAAGCCCCAGTTAAGATCGTCAGCCAGACGGACACATTTAGTACGTCTGTTGCAACACAATTCGGGGTTTGGAGAGTTATGACGATGTACTAGAGGAAGATGCCATGACTGTATTTGAAGAAATGTAGATTTTTGTACATGAAGAAATGAATAAATGTAGACTGTTGTACATGAAAAAAATAAGACATCACCTGAAAATAAGCCCTAGTGCGTCTTTTGGAGCAAAAATTAATGTAAAACCCGGTCTTATTTTGGGGGAAACATGGTATTTGACTTCAAATGGAACTTCTAGAAAACTTTCCTCTTGTGAAGCGCCACCATGGTCTTCTATATTTAAAAATGGCACTTAAAATAGCTGCTCTGTGTTACGCATGTACAAGATGTTCATTTCCTCTGCTTGACTCATACTTTGCCCTGGCAAGTTGAGCAATGAGCTTTGGAAGTTTTGGCCTGTGGCACGTTTTCAGACATTTTTCAGGGGATCATGGGAATTTGGTCTTTAATGTCAAAGAACACTCAGCCCTGCTGATCCAAATTAGCTCTTGCCAGTCAATACAGCCCCAGTGAATTTGTCAATTTGCCACCCAATTCTATATGTGCTTGCTAAAAAATTGCTCCTGTGTTCAGTGGGGCTGTATCATTGGAAAGTGTGCATGGGGTGGCCTGAAGCAGGAGTGTTATGCCTCTTTCAGCCCAAGGGCTGAATTCCATCCCAGAGAAGCTCTTTGGGCCTGCGTTCCAGGGGTGGGTGGGGCCAGGATCAAAGGGGGTGGAGCTTAAGGTAAAAGGGGCCTGGCCAAAATGCCAGCCTGTCTGAGCTTAAAACTCTTACTGGGGTTTAAATAGCTAGGCCCTGGGGTTTCAGGCACTTCAGCCTTTTAGAACAGGCACAAAACTGCACAAACTGCACAAAAAATGGGAAAATACCAAAGGACTGGTGGTAAGGAAAATGGGGTAGGCCAAAGGAAGGGCCCCCTGGGAAACCTCCCAGGCTGGATTTAGCCTCTGGACTGGAGGTTCTGTGCTGCTGCCCTCAAGCTTTAGTTGATTGCTCTACCCATTTAAAGCTTGCATCATATTTGCTAAGATTGTATAGAAATCCAATTTGCTGGTACTCGTATGAAAAAGATTTATTTTTTAAAATAAGTGTTCTAAATTTTAATGTGATGTTGCTTTTAGGTGATGGACTATAATATCAACCTGGGAAAGCACCTCCTCCCTTTGGTGGCGCATGTGCTGAGGTACTCTGCATGCCCTCAGCTCAGGCATTACTTCCAGCAGCCTCCCCGCTGCTCCCTGTGGTCCCTCAAGCCTCACACCCGGCCGATGTGGCTGAAGGCATTGCTGGTCATCCTGTATAAGGTGAGAGTCTCCGTGCTGCTTCAGGGAAGCTTTCCCACCTTCGTGGCCATCTGCAGCTGGCATGAATGCTGCGTAGTGTTGTGAGCTAGGTGTCCCCTCCCAAGCAAGACAGTCACTTCAGCAGTTCTTGGAAGAGTCTATTCTACACAGGAGTCTGGGCATTTGCAAGCCTCAGAGCACACACAAGGAGAAGTGTTGACCCCTCTCTGCCCCGCTTTACCCAAAGCTTTGCTTATGAACTCTTCAGGGCTAGACTCTGGAAGGAGGTGTGTCTTCACTCACTCTGAGCTTCTGATTGGTCCAGCCTGCAGTTGTGATGACGGGCCCTTGCGTCCATGTCTTAAGGGGGGTCATGTTCTCCCTCTGAGAATTCTCCCCCCCCTCATCCTTCACCTGCCATGTTCCCACAAGTGGGAGGGAGACTGGGCCCCAAGACTGTCCTTGGACTCCTTTGATCCAGAGCTGGCTCAGGCTGGCACAATGGGAGGGTTTGACCAGATGTGGGCCTGTCAGTCACAACAATGGTAACAGAGTGAACTCTGAGCCACATCTGGTTCAGCCATCCCCTCGTCCTCAAAGTGTGAGCTATCATCCCCACCAAAACCAGCCATCTCTCATGTGCACCGGGGAATCTCATCCAAGTACGCATGCCTGCCACACAGGATGGAGACTGGGAAAGGAGTGGGCGTGCGCATGCCACATGTGTTCCAAGGGGCTGCCTAATGACCCCAGTTCGTTAGCTGTCTGCCTTTTTACCAGAAGCACAGCAATCCAACAGGGTGGCGAGAGAGAGAAGGTAAGAGGAGGGAGAGAGAAGGGAGACGGAGAGAGAAGATGCAGTGGACAAGGTGCATGTCCTAATTCCCTGCCAGGCTTGTGGTAGCTAGGCAAACGCTGGGTGGGTGGGTCTCTGGTTTACACTTTATCCCTAGACCATTTCTGGTTGCTTTTATTTGTTTTTGTAATTTTCCTTTTCCTTTTCTAAGCTTTTCTTCTCCAGCTTTCATATAGCTCTCCTCCACCACCACCACCACCATATTCCTGGGACATATCAGGGGAATGGGAGACCTTTGGTTCTTCTTGAGCCAAAGCCTCCCTTTCTGCATCCCCAGCACAACCTGGCAGGGCAACCTTTTTGCTCTGTCTGCCAATGGTGTAGCAGTGATGGGTCATCCCACCGACACAAAGAGAAGGCTTCTGAGGGTGGACCTCCTCCTCTGCCAATGCCAAGAGAAGGAGTTCTGCAGACTCTCTTAATTGAAATTGACCTGCTTGAAAGACTGCATTCTCCCATATAGGATCCCAGATTTTAAGATCTTCCAGGGAGGCCTCTCTCTTGGCTTCCCAATGGACGCCCATTTAGTCAGGACACAGAAAGGGGCCTCCCTGGTGGCCATTCCCCCACTGTGGAAATCTCTGCCAAGAGAGGTAAGGTTCTATCCCTTCCATCAAGAAATAAATACTTTTTAAAATTCAAGCAGACATTTAGGACATAAAAAATTTAGTTGCTGATGTCAATTCTATTGGGTTGGATGCTGTTATATATATTCTATAATTGTGCTTTTAATTGTATTTTAACACTTTCAATTTTTATTATTCTTTAAGTTCAGTTTATTTTAATCTACGTTTTTATTTCTGCTAACCAACTTAATCACCACTTTTGGATGCAAAGTTGGGGTATAAATCAAATAAAAATATATTTCTTAAATGCAAATAAATTTGCATCAGCCTCAATTAAAGTGATTTTTCATCATAAACCAGTGTTTAATATACAAAATATTCAACTTATTATCAAAAGAAAAGGATGATCTATTTGTTTTTAAAATTTATTTCTTATTCCAAAATACAGAAATTAATTCCTTAATATTTAACCCCATTTATTAAAATTTTCCTTACTGAACGCTTGTCAGATGGCAGAAGAATATGCAAGGAATCTTACATGAAAATACCTTCTTTCCTTTTTCTTGTTGTTGGTCAGTATCCTTACAGAGACTGTGACATCACCAAAGTCATGTTGTATCTCATCCATATAACAGTCAACACACTAAATGCCCAGTATCACAGCTGCAAGCCTCATGCCTCAGCAGGTCCTTTGTACAGTGACAACAGCAACATAAGCAGATACAGTGAGAAGGAAAAAGGTATTATATAATGTGTTGGTATTTTATAAAGCGTGTAGAAATTGTATGTATGATTTGATGTTCTGTTTAATGGAGAGAAAGAACCAGGTGCGGAACACATGCAGATGTGAAAATAATAAAATAGATACCTAAGTATTTTCATAATTATACAAGAAAATGAAATGAATGAGGAATGGGAACAAGAATTCTGAAGAGATTTGATCCAATGTGAAGTGAAGATAAGTATTGCTAGCAAGAAAATAGACTAGCATGTAAAATATTAGCATTTTCAAATACCATTGGATTAGGATACTGATTCATAATTTACCAGTATCACTGTAAGCAAGGCAGAGAATATATGCTACAAAGTGTGCTGATGACAGACAGAACTTTAATTCACTTGCTAGTTTATAGTATTTGAGTTTGAGAAAGCAGAGACTTCCTTTTTACCCAGTATTAGACTTGATACCTCAAGCTGATCCAGTGTCACTTTTAATAAAATCTTCTGAAGATGTGCTTGAGAGACTATCCTAGGAGGACAAAGGGAAATGGGTAAAAATAGACAGCTTTATATGGTTTTCTTTTTTTCCCTCATTTGTGCCCACATCAATACCTTTTCTGCTTTACTGCACATTTGTGCGTTTGAAGAAACAAAGAATAAAAGAACCGCTGTGGCCAGCTGAATTCATTCCTCCTGGGCAAATCATGTAATCTTCCAGGGCCAGGTTTTATAGTAGCTGAATTCATTTGGTCAACAAGAGCTGTTGGTGGGGGGGAGCTTCTCTGAGACTATGGCGGCATCTGGATTGGGGGAGGCAATGGTACCTCTTGGTAGCTTTTCCCACCTGGGCTGCTGGGCTGATTCAGCAGACACTTCTTTACTCCAGGTGGGCCTGGAAAAACCCTTCCTGAAACCTTGGAGAGCCCCTGGTTGTCTAGTGCTGGGCCACCTCCTCTGTTCCTTTGCATATTTCAGAAGGAAGTCCTCCATTTCCAGGAAGCTGCTGCTTGACGTGCTGTCCAGCTTCAGTCTGCTTTAAAGTTGCAGGACAGTTACTGGATGCAATCAATCCATTGATTAATCTTGGCCCTGGTACTCTCTCTTTGCCCAAGTTATATAGAAGGAGTGTGGTGAAGGTAAAATGAGGAGCGGACATGTTGGCTGCCCTGAGTTCTTTGAATGTCCAAAATTTAATCAGAAATGCACACTTCAGCATGTTGTTCTGGGATGTTTCAGTTGCATTTCAGAAGTGTTTTCTAGTTCCCACCAGAGAGCAGACACCAGATTCCTATGATGGGAGCCTGGACTCTGTCTTTTTGACAGCAGGGCAACTCTGGTCCAGAGCCTCTAGCTACAGTAACTCCAACAGTAGGACCAGCGCATAATGTTTATTTAATTTATTTATTTAACGTTTTCTATCCTGTCCTATTACAAAAAGGCTCAGGATGGTCCTCTGCCTGAGGTCAAGAACAAGTCTCTGTCCCTGGTCAACATACAGAAACTGACTAGGCTGACAGCTGAATCTTATTTTGATTCTAGGGTGAGCATCGCATCCTCCTGAGGACAGCAGTCTAGCTTAATAAATAAATAATATTCATTATTATTATTACTGATGGTAGTAGTAGTAGTAGTATAGTAGTAGTATTTGTACTATTGCATTTATACCCTGACTTTCTTCCTCTTGGAAGGAATCCAATTCAGCTAACAAAGTTTTATTCTCAAAACAGCAACACTTTGAGGCAGATTAGGCCATCAGGCCAAGAGTCTATGACTTGACCCAAAGTCATTCAGGGAGCTCCATGGCTGAGTGGGACTAGAACCCAGATCTCCCGAGTACCAGCCCAACATCCCAATCACTGTGCCAGCTTGGCTTAGTAGCTGCAGGGCAGGCTGTGTGGCCCACACAGTTCCGACGGTTTCCCACCACTGCCTAACAGTAGGGGCGGCCCTGTCTAACAGCCATCTTAGAAGCAACTTGGGATATTTCTTCCCACACTGGTTTAGGAAGCAGGCGGCCCTTCCTGTAAATGTCAGTTCTCATCTCCCCAACAGTTCTGTTTGCATATTCTTTACCACAAGGGAGTCATGCTGTACATTTGCATAGTATTTCTGGGATGCAGCTTCAGTAAATCTTATTTGAAAACATTTGACCTTGTTCAAGATGTGAGGATCAGTATGTAGCAGACACTTTTGATCAATAAAATTGTTTCCTGGGTGATACGTTTCATTTTGCTGCAGAATAATACTTTTTTCACTTTCAAGCAGAGGAAGACAGTGTCTTTGATGAATCTGACATTCATGATACACCAACTGGAACAGGCAATAAAGAGTCACAAACTTTCTTTGCAAGGCTGAAAAGAATTGGGGGCAGCAAAATGGTGAAATACCAGCCAGTTGATATGAATGCTCAGAGAAGTATGTCATTTTTTCTTAATTTAAATGAATTCTTTCATGCTAGATCTATCTATTTGTCAGTTCCAAAACATTTAACTTAACAGGCTTGTATATCAGGTTCTGGACTATAACATGACACGGGCAAACAAAAATTGCAAGTATTAGATGTATAGTTATGTATACCTTGACCTAATTAGCATAGTGCCCTCGACCTTGTGCATAAGCATGAGAAAATGCATATCACGTAGGAGACTTTCTTGGTTATCCATTTCAACCCTCTGCTTGGTGCAAGAAAGTTGGACCTGAGGACCCTGAACAACCAAAGATCTCCACTGAGGGAAAAACCACCATCCTTTTAATTAATTGACTCCATTTCCAAACTGCTTTTACCAATAAGAAGGTTCTCTTAACCATTGATGGAAACCTGCCCACTTATAACTTAAGGCCTTTAGATCCTATCCTCCGAGGCAGTGGAAAAGAAATCTTCAGCCTTTTTTGTGTGATGCCCCTTAAGCTCCTTGAAATGCTGTCATGTTCTCCCCACTCCACCCCTCCTGTCTTCCATTCTCCAGGCCAAACATCCCCATATCTTTTCAGTCTTCCATTGGACCATGTTTCCTCATTACTTTAATGTGTGGGGTCAGGTGGGGAGCTTGTGCCTGATGAACAGGCATGTTCCTGCTCCCTTGTTCTGTTTAATTTGGAGCCTTGCATGAATTGCCCCCTTTGGTTGTTGCGAATGAGTTACCTGGTCATACTGGGCTCCCAGATCCTAGACTTGTTTATCCTTGACTGTCTTTCTCAAAGATGTGTTGCAATAGATGTAGCTGGTAACAGCATTAATTTTGGGGTTGCTGCAGCACAAACCTTTGTTTAATTTATCGGTTTGTATTCCTTCATTCTAATTAATTTGCATGTTTCACCTTTTCCTCTCCTCACCTGCCTCTTAATTTCAGGCACCTACCTCAGCAGGTAGGACTATGTAATTATCCCAATCTGGCAAGGGTGATCCATGCATTTTGCCAATTTATTTATTTTTTTAATGGAATCCAATATGAATTCAGAATCTAATATGGATTCTGGTGCACATCCCCAGCTTTCTCACAATGCACATCTGAGTGCTATACTTTGTGCATTGCATTTTTAAGAATCCTGTCATATCAAGAAAATGGCATCAGAATGGACAGCATTCCAGCAGATCCTGAGTCATGAATCCTGTAAACACTGAGAAAATTGATGAGCCAGATTTGATGCACCACCATTCAAGTTGCCATTTGTACTTTGTTGACATCTTGTATGACAAAATCTTGGAAATCTCAACTTGGGCCAGTCTCAAGCCAGTATTGTTGATATGTGGAAATATCCACATTCCTTCAATGTAATTCTAAAATTAAAAAGCAGACCTTGCATCTAAAATGACCAGTAGTGCTTAATGGTGAAAGGCAAGAGTGGCCACTGAGAAAAATAGTACTAGTTTTTTCTGTTTTGACCAGGTGAAATAGAACTGGCTGAATACAGAGAAACTGGTGTATTGCAAGACAATATTCTGCGCTGCGTGAGAGAAGAAAGCATTCAGAAAAAGAAACTGCGCTCTCTAAAACAAAAATCTCTTGACATAGGAAATGCAGACTCCCTGTTGTTTACATTAGACGAGCACCGTCGGAAGTCATGCATAGACCGCTGTGATTTGGAGAAGCCACCTGTCACCTCTGCTTATACCACACTGAGGCAGAATGATTATGGACGACCTCGGCAAAATTCCTCCACCAAGGCAGAAGAGGAGGATGTGGGGGAGAAGGAGAGCCCCGCTATCATCCCAGAGAAAATCCATGCAAGGCGGAAACCTATAATACCAGAAGTCAGGTTGAACTGCATGGAACCATACGAAGTGAAAGTAGATTCCCCAGCTAAATCCCTTCCTCCTAAGGAGGACTTAGATCTCATAGACCTTTCCTCTGATTCGACATCAGGGCCTGAGAAGCAATCTGTTGTTTCCAATTCAGACAGTGATTCTTTGGTGTTTGAGCCTCTCCCGCCTCTCAGAATAGTGGAAAGTGATGAAGAAGAAACAGATGTCACAAGCCAGCTGAATGAGGGTGTCCCAGTCAAGTCGGCTGTTTCCTCCCCATCAAGTCCAACCAGCATCTCTGTGCTCAGTTTCAGCTTAACCCCCTTGGTACAGTTCAGCATTGAAGACTGCTCCAAAGATGCCACCCCTTCTGCAACTAGTGCTGTTGTGTCATTTGCTGAAGATGATGTGCCCTCCACTGTCCCCGAAGCTGTAAAAGATATTGCTGAGTTAGACAAACCAGAAGAGGTTCCAGGGGCACCCACTGGCAGCCCTCTGACGCTCAAGCAGAAACGTGATCTTCTGCAAAAGTCCTTTGCTCTTCCAGAGATGTCCATTGATGACAACTCTGAGTTATACATAGAAGAAAACAAACCTCCAGGCCCCTTACCCAGTTCAAGTGGGAAAACCGTCTTCATTAAGGTCCCTGAGGATTCTGAGAACCAAACAGAAAGTGATAAGCAGGACGCCAGTGCAGAATCTGATACAGAACAGAAGCAGGAAGAAGAAACGGAAGAGTCAGAATTTAAGATCCAGATTGTTCCCAGGCAGAGGAAGCAAAGAAAGATCGCTGTGAGTGCCATCCAGAGAGAATACCTTGATATTTCCTTCAACATCTTAGACAAGCTGGGCGAGCAGAAAGAGACAGGTGAGCAGAATCTGGGGTTGTCCATCTGAAAATGCTTTTCATGCTGCTGTTTTAGAGGAAAGAGAGAAATTCTTACACTGCTCTCCCCAACAGTGATGGGAGTGAATTTGCAATTGGGCTAGTTTGTAATAGAATCTTCCCAGTTCAAAAAGCCTCATACTTGGATATAGCTCACAATTCAAAGATCCTTGATGATAATCAGCCCTCCCTGCCGGCTCACTGTCTCCTTTTCCTGGGAAAGTGCCCTATCTTTGAGAAAAAGGAAGTGGTAACTTGCAGGACAGAGGGCTCACTAGAAACAAGAAGTCTTTCTAAAGTCAGTTTGGAAGGCAGATGAAAGAACAAATCCTGTGCTTCCTGGATTCCAAACCCTGGTCAGAAGAATTAGTTCCAGTAGGTCAGGTTTGTGTTTTCTAAAGTGAGTCCTGCCTGCCACCAGTTGTTCCTGGTTTGATTGCAAAGATCTGTATTACTGCAATGTTCTCTTTGTGGGGTTGTCTTTAGGGTTGATCTGGAAGCAGGAGTTGCTAGCGTGGGAACAACTTTTGGGAAAGGAACTGCATTGGATGCCTATTTGTTACTGGGCCAGGTTTAAGATTTTGGTGCTAATGTATTAAGCACTAAGCAAACTGGGGCTTTGAAGTTACTTGGCAGAGCATGTCCTTCCTTACCAACTTATCTGATTGTTGAAATCATCAAAGGACATGCTTTTGTTGGTTCCACTTAGAACTGTGTCCTCTGTGACATCTACCAAGAGAAGAGACTTCTTTGGGGTGGCCCCATTGCTACAGGACTCCCTGGCAGGGTTGGTCAGGCAGGCACCAACATTGTGCTGCCTCCAGCACCTCCTGAAAATGTCATTTTGGGAAGCTTTCTTGGGTCGAAGAATCAATTTTCACTAATGTTCTGTTTTTAATGTTTTAATACTTTTGTCTTTAAGTAGTTGCTATCCATTCTCCAGCAGTTTTTGCAGAAGCTAATGTCAAAATGCTGTGGGAAGGAAAAGCCCCTTTCTTCTTCCAAAGCGTCATATTTCTCCAGAATTTGTGGTGGCAAAAGATGACACTGGAGGAGAAAAAGCTTGAAAAAATTGATGGAGAAAGGGAAGTTGATGAATACTTGTCTTCAGATTTTCCAGAAAGAGGGATCCTGAGTTCAAGCACTGGTTTTTCCTTGCAGATGCTTCAGGAAAAGCACTTTCAACCCTAGAAATGCCGAGGGAATCTTCTTCTGCACCAACACTTGAAGCGGGCGCACCGGAGACAAGTAGCCACGCGTCCATATCAAGTAAGCTTTTCCTCCTGGCTTTGAGGAGCAAAAGCTGCCACAGTTGTGCTTCTTACTACGTTTCAACATCTGGTGCATTGCTGTCCTCTGCTAATTTATGCTTGACTGAAAGTTTATGCACATTATGTGTGCATCCCAGTTATAATTAACTCAGCAACCACTGGAGGGCGACTGGCAATGGTAATGTAGTATTATGGCCAGGGAACATTTTAGATCAATCTCCCCCCCCCCCCCGCTCCCATACTTTTAATAGTGCCTTAAAATCATATTTATTGTGTATTATCCAAAGAAGCTATGTATTACTGTCAGCTACATTGGAGGCCCGCCAACAGTCAGACAGGTAGGATAAAAATACTGTAAATAAATAAATAATCACTAAGACTCTCAGACTTTTAGCTGTCTGCAGCCACGATCTTTCACAGTACAGATCCAGCTGGGTTGATGGCACAGGCACTTCCAGGGACAGCCCCACTTGGATCCTTTTGTTATCTACACCATTGTCAGCTGGGAGAGGTAGGAAGGGGTATTACTGTGGGCAAAACCACCACATTGTTTCCTGACTTGAGACACTCATCCTGAATGAGAGGAGAAGAGGAGCCATGCCAAGGAAAATGGCAATGTCTCCAACTCAGGACTACCTGAGCAGAACAGAAATATTTTTTTTCCTGGTGCTCTTTTCCTGGCTGCATACATCCAGATACCACCTTGGGCAAATTCAGTGTTAAAGCTGCGTTCATTTGGCCCAAGGTCCTAGTTTAGCCTGCTGTTTCCAGCCAGATGCTCATGGGAAGCCCACAGGTAGGGCATGGGCAGAATGGCAGCCTTCGCTCATGCTCCCCAGCAACTGGTGTCCAGAAGCCAGCCCGAGGCTCCAGGTTCTGATGGACCTGGCTCAGGTCTCCCTCTCCCTCAATAAATCTGGCTTCTCACTGGCATTGCCACCTGCTCCTGCTCCTCCACTTGCTGGCCATTGCTACTGTCTGCTTGCTTGCTAGGCAGAGAACCAGTCAGCATGCAGGCAGGGACGCATCCTGCTTCTCCTCAGCTCCTCCACCACCACTGTCTGGGCCAAGGTGAGAGTAAGCAGGTTGCAGTGATGAAGGGGAGTCTTAGGGCTGGGACCCCTTGGCAGGTGGAGGCGCCCTACTGGGCTGTTAGACATTCAGCTGGTGGTCCTGTGCAGCCATTCTGAGCCGCAAGCTTATCTTCCATTGTAGCACCTGCCTCTTGTTCCTGTCAGATAAATTATATGCCCATGAGAAGAAAGCTAAAACTGTTCAGGTTTTCATGGCCATGCATACAAGCTAAAAATAACATCCCAGTGAAAGAGAATTGCACATTATTTTTGAGGCTTTAAGAAGATGTGCATAAATCGCGTGGAAAAAAATGTGTGTCAGAAATCTGATTGCACTTCTTGGCAATCTTACCTGGGCCTCAAGTGCTGGGGTTTCCTTCCAGTGACTCCCTCCTCCATTTAATATCAAAGCTACCCTTGAGAAATCAGATAAGTAACTCTCAAAGAAGCCCAAACCCTGCTGTGCTAAAGAGGAATAACCCCACGAAAGGCTTTAATTTCCATTATAAAAGCCAAGAAAGAAGTTCAAAACAGCCAATTTCCTTGTTTTTGACAGTCATACGCACCCCAAGCAGTATTGTCTGCTTTGAAATTTTAATTGCTGTTCTTTCATTTGGGAAGTTCAGTGTTTGATAAACTGATAACGCTTTTATTTTTAACCATTGCACTAGGGGAAATGGAAATTATGTCTTCACCCAGTCAGATGCGAAAGGCTGCTACTGAACAATTCCATTTTTTAAAGGGAAAGAATCTGATTGGAATTGGAACTTATATCTATTTGAACAGCTCAAGTCAGGCTGGATAATTGTCTTGTCAGTGAATCAAAGCAGTGTTCTAAAAGTGCACCAGAGTACTGAAAGGAGAGCTCTGTATCTCTGTGGCAGGGGGCAATGCTTCTCATTGGAATGCATTTGTAATTCTTTCAATGCGCATTCAGTGGAAGGTGCCACTGAAGACATGAAACTGGCACTCACACCTGCTATGCTGCGCTCTGCCCTCTTTCACCCAAGAGAAAAGTCCAACCCTGGTGAGCTTTTCTACCCATGGACTGGAGTATGGACTGCCCTACGGTAGAGAATGGGACTTAAACAACCTTCCCTCTCTACAGAGGATACACACATTTTATCTGTCTGCCTGTCTGCATCTCTGTTTCTCTATTATTGCAGCAAATGAACAGCAGTAGAATTTGCACCAGTATATGAAACCAGTAACAGTAAATGTGCCATCTTATGCAAGCTTAGAAAGAAAAAGTAAAAAAGCATGCTGAGAGTTGTAATACTTTTTCTGCTTAAATATGTATAGGTCTCTGCCCTAAATGTATTTTTAATACAGCTGTTAAAGCAGGTACATTTACAAGTACTGAAAGATAAATGCATAATAAAATCCTCAATATATACAGTGTCAAATAAAACCATGCAAATCAACTAACCTGATCCAAGAGCTTAGCAATGCACAGGAGAAAGAATAAAGCACATCCCACAAGGATAAATCACTCTCCATTCCTCAAATGCAACACGGATTTCTTCACTATTAGTGATGAGTGTCAAGAGTAGGCATGATCAAGCACCTGTAGAAAGTCCACGCCTCCACATGGTCCACTAACACAATCCTCATGGATATGTTCCTCCTCTTCACCATTGCATCCTGCTTGCTCACCTGCTCTTTGCTGTGGTCCAGGCAAAGATGGTGGTAAGAAGGAAGAGGGGATGCATTCTTGCTGCTCTTGGGCCATCAGGAGGCAAATGTGAGCAAAAAGGAGGAGGAAAATGAAGAGCAGTATGAGCTAGTAGCAAGGGTGTCGAGAAGGTGTATTCACTAAGGGAGAGGGCTAATTGAAGTGTTCTTGCCAAAAGGCCTCCAAAAACCTCAAAAATTGCCGGTTGGCCTATGAACCCTTCTTGGCCCTGTCTGTCCCCACTGGTGGCCTTGCTCCCAGCAATCATCTGGGTCTTTTCCCTACTCTTACCTGGAGGGAGAGGAATCATATTCCGAGTTCTCCACCAAGCACCCTTTCCAGCACGATCTTAAGGCTTTTTCAAGCTCCATGGCAACGGGACAAGGCAAGTAAAAACTCTTGGCCTTTTGAAGTTAGTCTCTCTCCACTGAGCACCAAATTAGAATTGTAAGAACATAAAAGTGTTCTGTTTCCACTAGTGGCCAGCCAGATGCCTCTAGGAAATGTACAAGCAGGGTATTTATGATGCTTGTCCTCAGTGGCATGTTTCAAGTTTCGCTAGGACTGGTTCCCGAGTGGCTTCCTCCTGTTGTTTTACTGAAATTTTGGAATAGATTTATGAACCAAGGAGTCAGTGATAGAGCAACATATGGTCTGTTGATAAATCAGCAGTAGGAAACCTGCTGCCCTGCAAAGGTTTTGGGCCACAGCTGTCATTAGCCCAAGCCAGCATGGCCAGTGATCATGGATTATGGGATTCATAGTGCAAGACAATCCACAGGACTTTGGCTTTGCCTGTTTGTTTAGAGTGCTTTTATCCTGCTTTTCCTGATTATTTGTAAGCTGCACTGGAAGACTTTCTGGCTGAGGAGCAGGATAAAAATACTCTGCCCACAGGCTTGCGTTTGAACAAGACACCAAGGAAAAAGGAATAGGGAGGGAAGAGGGAAAGGGAATTCTTTCAGCAAAGATGGCAGAATGGTTCTGCTTCCCCTTCTCCCTCTCTCAATACGGCTTGCTGGAATGGTTGATAGTGGTGGTAGCAGCTGAGGAGCCCTTAAGAGGGAGGCCATTTAAACAAGGTGAGGGAAAGGCCTGGCTTCCCATTCTCATCTCCTTTAGCACAGCCTCAGGTTGCCTATTCTGTATAACAATCTACCTTATGCAGCATTTGGACTGCATATCCCGGTACTGTCAAGCCCGACTGGCTGCATTTCTTCTGACTGAGGTTTTCTCAGCCTTGTGATCTTTCAGCTGGAAATGGCCTGGGCTCCACCATGTGAGTTGGCTTCCTCACACACAGTTCCTCTCTTTCCACCTGCTCTCCCTGCTCATCCCCACATCCTTTTCAGAGGGTCCCTGAACCTTCTGGAGCACATTTGGGATGTGGGCATCGAGCCTGCAGTGGAAAGGGAATCTGTTTTGCCCACGGTGTCCATTCTGTGGGTGGTCAGACATCACTGGACATGACCCCATGGGATGAGTCTGGCCATGCAAAAGTGAGCCAAAGTCCATGCTCTGAGTACAAGCAGATAGTGCTGATTAAAAGTCCTTTAACTGTCCTGATTAAAATGCTGTAGGTAAGCAGGTAGTGCTCAATATGGAAAGGAAAGCAGTGATTCTCAGGCAATATTTACCATTACTTGATGGCATGCAGACTTCTTAATTTCTGACTTGCAGCTCAGTTCCGACAGATGAAAAGGGGTTCTCTGGGAGCACTGACCATGAACCAGCTAATGAAGAGGCAGCTGGAGCACCAGTCTAGCGCTCCCCATAATATTAGCACATGGGACACTGGTAAGTATATGATTCCACGCTGCTCTTCTGCAGTTCTTGTCCTAGAGTTGAACCGGTGGCTGCTTGCTGTGTTGATGACCTGTGCCTCTGAAGCCAGCGTTAATATAGGCAACATGAGGATGACTATATTAACATCATCAACATTAACATCAATATTAATATAGCTATTATAGCCTCTTTGGGCTCCTTGCAAGAGGAAAAAGTGGGATAAAATGTAATGGAAGAAGAAGATGATGTTGAAGAGGAAGCATGTGGAATCAGACCAAAAGCCTATCTGTGCCAGCTATTGTTCATGCAATGGCCTATGCTGACTGTTTATGACATGTTTGGTTCTTCATCTCATTCACCCACCCTGAAATGTGCATAAAAACCCCATGTGTGCCCCACACCTCTGAGGATTCTAGAGAACGATAGATTCCTGCACATTAGATGCCAGATGTTTCACTGCAGTTATCAGCCAAAATGATGCACTCTGGGACTTCAGCAATGAAGCAGGAAGTGCCAGAAGATTTTTTGCAAAGGGAAGCAAGAGAAATGTCTCTGTGATCACATTAGTTGGTACATCAGGCTCAGAAATGGGTGTTTAATTTGGTTTGGTTTCCTGTTCCTTCTTGGACATCCATGATTTTAAGGTCTGCTGCATTGTTCTGAATCGCTCATCCCTGAGGCCTGACAAACCTTGCCATTTGTAGTTTGTAAATAAACCAGATCGACCAGATTCCTCCTGCATATTTAGTGTTGGGGTCAAATTTCTTTTGATGGGTCTTGTTCATATTCTAACAATGAAGTATACACTGACATGTCCGTGCCCTTCATATGGATCTGCAGAACCCCTTCAGGCAGCAAATATCAGGGGGCTGGCACTGAATTTCTGTCCAGAGAATGATTACAAAATCAAAGAATAAGGGATTGTTAATCCTTAGGTGGTAATGCAGCAGTTTCTTCCACAATCCAAAACACTTCCTAATGAAAATATCTTGATCTCCAAAATCTCAATATTGCAGGAAATGTAGGTGTATAATAATGTAATAATTTCCAACACATTGCCCAATAATGACCTGAAATAGCTTGAAATGTTTTTCTTTGGGTGGTTTGATAGTTTCTGTTATGAAGTGGATGTTCTATTGCTAGTCAGTTTGGACCATTGGATGGAGCACTGAACTTGGATGTGGGTACTGGAGTCTATATATTTAGGGATATCAACTCTCGGAGGGAATAAAGCAAGGATAAACTTGCTTAGGCAGTAAAACACTTTATGCCTTAAAATGATATAGAAATGAGTATTAAGGTTCCTTGTGTTAAGGTTCTTTCATTAGGTTTCCTTAGGGAAAATAGTTCTCCTGTTAACCATCTTCTCACTATGCCTTCATTTTGTCATTCTGATTGTCCTTCTTTGCTATGTTCATTGACATTTTTTTCCAACTGACAAGTTTGAAAATGTGGAGATGACTTATGGGCCCCAGGCCTTCCTTCTTTCATCCTTCATTTCAAAGTGTTTGCTCTCTTTTTGACAATGCAAATCCACTGTGTATCTATTGTGCACCATTGTGGTGAACATCTTTGCTCTTTGTTGTGTGCTTGACATTGCTGTTTCCTGCAGCTCTTTACATACTACATTTCTACTGCAACTCTTTACATATTCATTACTAAATAGTTCTCTAAATTCCCAATTTGATATGCAATTAAAAATAAATCCTCTGTCTAGTTCAGCTCTATTAGAATTTGTTAGGAATAAGATGCTATCCAAGCCTAGCAATCTGAAGAACTTTAGATTGAAGAGAATTGGGAGGTCTTTCTGTCTGATATTTCAAAGCTTCCTTCTCTTTCTTTCAAAGACACATTCAAGGGCTTGCTAGCTGGAAGTGAACACATCATTTAAGGGTAAGGGTGAGACTGTAGTTCAGTGACAGAGCAATTGTGTTGCACACAGACAGTTCCCAATTCAACCTCCAGCATTTCCAAGTAAAATCCAAGGAGATGGAATACTTCAGACCTTGGAGAACTATTGCCACTCAAATAGTGGGCTAGATGGACAAAAAGCCTGACCGGGTATAAGGCTGCTTTCTGTGCTCCTGTGGGCTTGATCTTTTTCTAGCTGCCTTGCTGTAGCTGTTTGTTTCTAGCTGTTGTGTTTGTGTGTGGTGTCTTTGTTGTTGGAGTGACTCTGTGGTGCTGGTTGCCAGACTCAGTGGGGGGACTGAAGTTCTCTGTTTATCCACAGAACAGATACAGCATGGGAAGAGGCCGTGCAATGTCTCAGTTTGCATAAACCCTGACCTGGAGGGACCACCACTAAGAATAAGAGGTTAGTTCAGTGTCCATTCAACCTTGGCTTTGTGACTGAAGCTTAACAACCAAGGTGCTTAGTTAGTACTGGCTAGTCTGATGGTGACTTTCATACTCTTTGATCTGAGCCCATTGACCTGTTTTGTACAGAATCCTGGATTATGAAGGCTTACTGTCATCATTTCTCCAAGTCAGATTGGAATGGGAAACTTGGAAGTGATCATTTTTCTCCCTTTTGATCTCAAGCAAAGTTTAGTGAGTGCTCTTTACACGAGGATAGCAAATGGCTTCTTCTCTGTGATTTACATGCAAGGATTATGCACCTGTGCCAAAGAGCCATTCAGAACATTCTAGGGCAAAGCAGAACTTTAGGCAGGAGACATGCTCATCTTCTCTGCACTTGTTCTGATTATGGCTTCTGCCTACTTCTCCGTTAGTTTTCATTTACTGCCGTAACTAAGAACAGTTGGAACATCCTTTTGCCTTATGGCAACAGTCTCAATTCTACTCTTCTCTCCTGGGATGCTGAACACAGCCTTTCCATTCTGGTTGTCTCTGAGAGTCTTCTTTATTTCATTGCCCCTTTTGAGATGCATGGTCTCCAAGACCTTCTTCAAAAATTGCACTTGCTCTAGGAGGAATATACTGTTAATTAATGGCACTCTTACCGCCTTGTATCTTGGAGAGGAACACAGGTGGATTCCTATGCTCACTGCCAAACCTTTACAAAACAAAGCAGGAGAAACAGATCAACACAGCTCAGGGCCCTGTTTTGGGAATAAGGCCTCAAGGCATAAGAATAAGGCAGCAGAGCCAGCTTCAGCTGCCAATTGCAAGGAGCCAGCTCCTGCTTTCTCTCAGTTTCTTGCAGTTTTCACTAGTTCTCATGTGGAAAGCATTTCAGGGCAACCATCTCTGGTGTCAGGAGTACCAGTGCCTGCCACACCGAGAGCTTTGGCTATCTCCTCGGACCAACAATTTGAAACTGGCCCTTTGGTACCACAGTCAAGACTAAAACAGGATAAACAGAATGAGTCCTGTAATTAATCTCTGACTAACTGTCAGATACTGGGACTGAAAAATACAATGAAAAAGAATGTTTGCATTAGGTTCAGCATTAAACCAGAGCCTACACCATCTTCAAACTAGCAGTCATGAAGATGGCACCTCAGATACTTACTCAGTCACCAGCACTGACCCTAGAGAAGCCGCAACTCCCATTGGAGTGTGACTCCCCAGACAATATCCTGGGCTCACTACTGACCAACAAATGCAGGGAGCATCTCTTGCCAGATCTCTCTTGCCTCCTTTGAAAGGTTTGCTCTTGGGGGCTACAGTATGTCATGGCCACAGACACCTCACTTTTACAAGTCTTCTTCCCTTTATTACAAAGACCACTCACTGTCAAGATGATACGATGAGTATAGAGATAGAAACAATGCCACTATCCCCATGGCCAGAATTATCCTTTCCTTCACTTTCAGTAATGAGCTAACTACACAACACCTTCTCACACAGTGTCTAAACCACCAGACTCTCAGGTTCTGGAAACTGTTATGGTCCAGACTCTATGAGTCTGAGTCTCAGTCTTTGAGCTCCTCTTCTGGCCAACTGTTGGCAGTCTGAAATCCTGAGAAAACTCCCAGGATCACAGGCTGCTACACAGGCATGACTCACCATGACACCCTGTTCCCTAACATGGAAACACCACTTCTGCAGTGTAGAACAACTGTTGCTTATATTCACCTCCCACTTCATGAGACCAGGCATCAACAGACACCAGCAGAGAGAATCAAAATCCACTTTCCCTGTCCAAGCATCTTGTCAACATCCTTGAGCTGAACCTACTGAAACTCATCCAAGAAAGCTAGAGGAGACTGTGCTCTGGGAACCTTGCCAGATTCAGCTGCTGCAAAATTGGAATCTAAGTCCCAGCAGATGCAAGGGGTTTTTATCCTGGAAGTGCCTAGTAAATATATTGTATGGGTCTTGGATGTATCTAAGATGTCCTTTGGGGCAGTGTTTAATAGGCCCTGGCAACCCTAAAGAGCTCTGCTGGGTGGCAACTAGAAAATTGGATTTAGGGAGTGAGATGTTGTTTCTTTGTCACCCTCACTGGCCCTAAATATACCTGAGTATAGGCACTTATCAAGTATATTAGACTCACTAGGAGTTTTCTCCATCTGCTCTCAAGCTGTCTCCTGAATAGTTTCATCACTCTCCGCTCTGGAGTATACTATGGAGCTGTACAAGTTTTACTACAGAGAGGTTGTTCAGGAGCAATCATGTCAACCATCTAGGCCATCTCTGTATTCCAGAGACCAACCAGGGATTCAAAGATACCATCAGCCATCCAAGACCAGCAGCCTGGGGGATTTCAGCATTGCAACCAAGATGACCTCCATCAGTTCATATGGGGAGTTTCTTGAGCAGCAGAGTGGTTGGTACATTAACAGAATCCATAACCTGTCCTGCTCACCCAGCATCAGATGCAGACACTTCAGACTAATAGTGGAATGGACAGGGAGCCTGGCAAAAGAGACAGAATTCCTATCGGAGCCCCCTTCCTTCCTCTCAGGTCTTTCTTGATGCTTAGCCAAGTATCCAGGAAGGCATAACTGGGAGAGACTAACTCTTTCCTGTTCATCCACTCAGATCTCAGTGATACATGCCAGATCAGCTTCTCATCCGCTATTAAGTCATAGTTGAAAGATGGCTTGTTTTGGGCTGATCTGGCATTCAAAAGCAGTATTCAGAGATTCAAGTTCAGGCTAATAGGCAATCACCAGATCTGTGGATGTGAGGAGAACTGGAACGGGATACAGCTGTTAACCGTCCAGACAGTGTTTTCTTATTTGTTTAGCCCTCCTTCCAACACTGTTTCTCCCTCTACCCACCAGTATACTAAGTGGGGTCCCTATAGATTTCCCCAGTTGCCCCCATGTCTTCCCTCCCAGGCACATATCCAGGTCCTCAGTAGGGAAGAAATAATCTTCCCCATCAAAAACTCTGAGCAACCCAAAGATAAGATGTTTGGTGGTGGCCTTTGCCCTTTCATCTCCCCACTAAACAGCTCACCTCAAAGAGTGGTCTTCTTTGGCATTGTCCCCTTCAGGGTTGTTGCTGCTGGGACATCACCAGTTCCCCACATTGGGGTGGCTCCAGATCACAGCTGTTCTCTGACCAGCCGGCTCAAGTTGCCAATCGGTCAGCTAAAGGATGTTTGTTTTCCTTTCTTTTTCTGCTGCTGTGGGTGATCTTCCCTCATAACAGAAATGACTGAAGCCAAGTGGCAGTCCAGGGCAAGGTCTCAAGATGGAAGATAAGACTTATTTGCCAGCGTTTGCTCTCTACAAAAGATGGCAGTTTTCAACCTTTACTCAGTTTTTGGAATGTAAAGCACCGTGCTTGTCCCTTCCCCTGGATGGCTACCATTTCCTCCACTCATTCCCTTTTGTGTCAAGGAGACTGGTTGCAAGAACAGATCATGGCAATGCTTACCTCCATGTAATACACCCTGATTCTTATCCTTCTCCCAGTTTTGCCATAGCCAGCAAAGTTTTCCACTTCAAGATTCTTTCAGCTTAGCCACTGCTCTGAGAGCCTTTACAAAGTACATAGCAGTAATGGTGGCACCTCTGAGATTCAGTGGGGTTGTTGCCTTCCCATACATAGACGACTGCCTCTTTATAGCCCTCTCTCACAACAACCTCAGTGCCAACATCAGCATTGTCCTGCTGCTTCTGGAATCTCACAGCCTGCAGGACAATAAGGAAAAATCCTATCATATACCATATTAAATGCAGCAATTCACAGGGGTACTTTCCCACTCTGGCTTGCATCTATCTGCTAAAGAAAAGGATAGAAACTCCATGACACATGCATGGGAACAAAAGGCTGCCTGACGAAGCCAGGCAACCAGCCAAATACCTTCTTGGGTTCATGGCCTTCACCATCTCAGTACCTCTATTAGCACAGCTCTGTATGCAGGAACTCCAGTCGTGGTTCTTAAGACTCTTCAGTCTAGAAATGGACCCCCAAACTCATCCCTTACCTCTTCCCAATTCAATGCCGCATCCCCTTCACTGGTGGATGATCCAAATTTCAACAGGCAGTATTGTGGTTGTCTTCTATATAAACAGGAAGAATGGTACAAGATCTCTTTGCCTCATTCGACTCGCCCTCGATTGCTGGGCCTGGAGCATGCAACACCACATTGCCCCAATCATCCAACATGCTTGTCAACATGCTGAGCAGGTTAGGAGCCACCCTTCTCGCCGAGAGGTCTTTCCAGCAGTCACACTAGAGCTCTTGGACATGTGGGGAACCCAGCTATTTCTACTAGAACTCTGAATACAAAATGTTAATCTTTCTGCATCAGAGCTGGGCAGAACTTGGACATTCTGGAATATGCTTTTCTTCCTTCATGAGGTGGCACTCTAATCTACATACCCTCCCCTTTCCCTCTAGTAACATAAGTTCTAAGTGGCTTATGTTCCTTGATATCTTCATACAATCCTGTGATGGACAGGGCAAACATGGTTCGCAACATTTTTCCTCCTGTCCAAGAACACTTTTCTTCATCTCCTACACCTCCCAGGTGTCTCCCAGCCTGAGAACTCTTAAGTCTCACAGCATGGAAATTGGACAGCCTTACCCATTCTCTGACAGGGTCATGTAAGGAATGACTCTTTCACACAAATCTTCCACACGTACATTGCCCAGTTGAAGGCCTTTCTGAAATTTCTTACCCTAGCACGACAGGATCCAAGCTCCTGAGGTCGGCTAAGTATATGGGACTACCTTGATGGTTTGAGATCTAGAGGTTTGCCTCTTTCTTGTATGAAAGCAGCCATATCAACGAATCATGACCATGTTGAGGGTTTCTTGCTCTTCTCACGTCCTCACATGAAACAGTTTGTTAAGTGACTTGCTAGCCTCTATTCATGGGCCTTCCCATCATTTCCTGGCCTGGGATATGTCAGTGGTACTGGTTCAGTTAATAGCCATTCCCTTTGAACCTGTGACCACGGCCAGCTCCAGGTTTTCCTCATGCTGTTCTGACACAAAGACTGAGCAAAGCATGTGCCTTTGGACCAACTGTTCCTAACTTTTCATTGGGATGCCTAGACTTCTCATAAGAGCTAGTCTTAGACAAGCCACGCTGGATCAGACCATTCTCTTTCTTTGAAATGTTATCTCACAGTTCTATGTAACTCACAATATCATGCTACCAGCTTTCCTTCCACAGCCTCCCTCCCTCATGGGAGATAGATGCTAGAAGAGTACTTTGAGTCTACATCCATAGAATGTAATCTTTTAGGAAATTTACCTGTGTATTCATCTGTCACTTGGGACTCTCCAGCTGTTCTCTTCTTAGGGAAGCCATAAGTGATGTCACAAGAATGTTTGGCCAGCTATGTAAATGAATGTGGCTTTCAGACTTAATGGTTAACCTGAGTTCCAAGGAGCAAGAATTCACTGGGAAGCTGAAAAGGAGCATTGAGGTTCCTATTTCTTGGTCTCTGTGGAGAAGGTCTTTGTGGAGAAGAAATATCTGTACTCCAGCTGAATATAGTGAGTGCTTGAAATTATTCTCTAAATAGTATCAATTTACTATTCCAGAGAATGTGATGTGACATTTGGCCAATTCTAATGGAGGAACATCAAACGTGTTTATGTAATGGCGACTGTGGAAATCACAGCAGTATGCCCACCGCTGTGCACCAGCAGACTTCTTTAAACATGTTAGTTTTCCACCCACTACAAAACTTCACTGCAGCTTCATTCCTTCTCTGTATTTTCCAGTTAGCCTCAGCTCTACAACCCAGTCTTTTTAGCCACTGCATAAAAAGAGAGTTAGGTTTCTACTCAGGATTACCTGGCTTTCCCTTTTTTTGCCCTGGGATGAGTACAGTAGACACCTATTTATGTCAGTACAGTAGAGGCCTATTTGTTACTGCAATCCTTCTATGACCCTAAGTACTGGGGATATAGATGATGAACTTACTGTGAAAGACCTGTTTTACTTTGCCAGGCAAAAACTAAGATTCTTCATTCTCATACAGGTGGCCATCTAGTTTGGAGAAGGACCTACCTCTGGGGCCTACAAGAAAGTCCCCATTTTTGAACTTGCTAAGGAGGAGGGGCATCCCCCACAATTTCTAGTTTGATTTCTCACCCTTTTATAGGAACCAGATTTTCTGAGTTCTCACACAACAACAGCAACAACAACATGACAAAAAGAAATAAAGAAGAAAGAAGAGAAGGAGGCAGCTGGTTTCACCTGGAATACATAAGGGGTCACAGGATCAAGGAGCACCCCTCTGCCTAAAGCTTTTGCACCTGCTGTTGCACAAGCACTGAGCAAACGACTGGCCCTCGGACTTCCTGCTTGCTGCTACACCTCTGAGGGTCAAAGGGGCTACTGGCAAGGGAAATATCTCCCTACGCCTCTCTAGATGTAGGAATAGCTACCCCAGCAGATATGTCATCCCTGCCAAGTGCTCCTGCAGAGGCGGATTCTGACAGAAATGTCACCAAAGCTGGCGTAGCCATTCATGCTCAATCATACTCAATCCAGGGTTTATCAGGAGAGAACCAATTCAGCATAGGCACAGCTACATGCCCTCTACTTTCCTAAGAAAGTTAGAGTGAGGCAGAGGGGCTCACAAGATGGGTCTGGAACTAGGAACCTCTTCTGGAGCAAATGGTCCAGATCTAGCTAACTTCTAAGACCAGCGTGTAATCAAAGAGCCAGAGATGAGAGGGATTCAGGGGCAAGACGTGCCCCATCTTCCTCCTATTCCATCACCCTGATTTGCAGAGCTCTCTTCCTCAGACCCTGAAGAGGTTGAGCTTCCCGACGGGGACAAACACAAAGAAAGGCCATTCCAGGGTCCCTTCTTCCAGCTAGAGGATTTCTGGAAGTTGCTTGCCAGTTGCTTCAGCATTGCATCAATTGAGAAGAGGCTGCTGCAGCCTCACAAGCCCCAGACAATGGGAAAACAGTTGCCTTCCCAGCAGCTCCCCAGTCATACCTAGCAGTGCCCTTGCTGCTGGATGTTGAAGAAACCCTGTGCATAGGATAGTAAAGGCCATCCAGGCCCAGGGCAAGGCACCACTCCTGTGGCCGATTTTACCACCTGTATCAGGCAGGTCCTGGACAGGCCAGTGGTAGTCCTTGCATCTAAGGCATTCCTGGCCTCAGAGTACAAAGACTTCCAAAAGAATCACCATGATAGGAGGAATCAATCCTCTTTAGGTGCTTCAAGACCTTGCAGTGACACCCTCATACTTTGTGCAGAGACTCTATATGAAGACAAATCACTAACTCTAAACCAGGTCCTTGGGGAAAGGCACACAAGAGATGGTGTGGGCAGTAACCACGATAGCAGCCTTTTTAGTAGACTTCTCCCTGGACTGTTTCTATTAGGAAGAAGGATCACAGCATCAACCATAGTGGAAAGAAGGAGCATTTGGCTGCAAAACTGTGCTTGAAAGTACAAAGATAGAACCCAACCTGGTGAGCATTCCATTCATAGGAAGACACTATTTAGCAAATCTGTATGCAAAATCCTGTTCAAAACCAAAGATAAGAAAAAATAATGCAAGATGTACAGACGAAAGAGAGAAAATGCTTCCCAGGGAAGAGCAGGACTTTTCATTCCTTCAGAATTTCTTATTCGTGAAGCAAACTAAGACAGAACAAACTAAGATGGCAGCAGTGAACCAGGCCCAGATCAAGGACACCGAGAGGCCAGCTCTAGCAAAAAGGCTTGGCTCAGCATGACTACCCCTCTTTTCTATGGGGAGGACGCCTGTGAAACTTCTCACATGTTTAGAGGTAGCAAATGTTTCTGATCTGTGCAAAGAAACAGAAGAGAGCAACAAAAGAAGAAAAGCAAGAGACCCCTTCCAGAAGATCCACAAAATCAAAGCAAAATTCAAACCTGGATTAGGAATACTAAAAGACAAACAAAGGTACGTTCTATCTGACTAGCGGAAAATAAAGAGAAGGCAGAAAGAATATACAGATGAACTGTACAGAAGAAGTGAAAGTGGAATCCTGTCAGGAAGAGCCTGCAATATTCAAAGGTGAACTGAAAGCTGCTATGAAAACACTTGCAAAGAATTAAGCACCTAGAGTAGATAAGATACCAATAAAACTATTCCAAGCTGCAGAAAGGGAATCAGTGGGGTTATTGTCTTCCCCTTTAAACTATTCCAAGCTGCAGAAAGGGAATCAATCCAACTCCTAACAAGAATATGGAAAACAAAACAATAGCCCACATACTAGAAATGTTTAATATATATTCCAATCCCCAACAAAGGAGATGCAAAAGAGCACAACCACCATAGGACCATTACATTAATCTCCCATGCGACAAAATGATGCTCAGAGTGTTGCATGAAACAATGCTACCCTATATGGAGCAAGAAATGCCAGATGTCCAAGCTGGATCTCAAAAATGAAGAAGCACTAGAGATTGTATTAAAATATACTTTGGCTATTGGAGTGTGCCAAAGTATTTCAGGAAAAGATTGGTCTGTGCTTTATAGATTACAGCAAAGCCTTTGACTGTGTGGATCATGAGAAGCTATGGATGGTCCTGAAAGAAACAGGTGTGCCAGTGCACTTGTTTGTCCTGATGCGTAACCTGTATAATGGACAAGAACAGGACAGAATAAGGAGAAGCAGCATTGTTTCGCATAAGCAAAGGTGCCAGGATGTATTTTATTTCCTAGTGTGTATACAAAACATAACATAAGGAAAGCTAGATTAGAATCAGAAGGAGGAGTGAAAATTCGTGGGAGATACTTCAATAATTTTCAATATGTAGATGACACCATACTGCTACCAGAAAGCAGCAGTGCCTTGAAACAAAGTGAAAGGAAAAAGTACAAAAGCATGACTGTAGCTGAATATCAAGAAAATAAAATTCATGTCCACAAAAAATGACAGAACTTTACTGTTAATTATAATAAAGAAATCAGAATTGTGAACTATTTTACATACCTCTGCTCAGTCTTCAGTTCAAAGAGAGACTGCATCCGAGGAATTTGAAGAAGCCTGAGACTTGAAGGGGTAGCAATGAAGCAACTAGAAGAGCTAATCAAGTCTAAGGACATTTTGTTGGAGGCCAAGGTCAATATCAACCAAGCCATTGTATTCCCAATCACAATGTATGCTGTACAAGCTGGATGGTGAAGAAAGCTGATAGGAAAAAAATTGACATGTTTGAAACATGGTGCTGGAGGAGAGCCTAGTGACCAAGAGAAGGATGAACATGTGGGGTCTAGATCAAATCAAGCCAGAGCTTTTCTCTAGAAGAATAAATGGGAAAACTACAGCTGCCATACTTCAGATACATCATGAGAAGGCAAGTCTCTCTGGAGAAGGCAATCATGGTAGGGAAAGTTGAAGGCAGAAGACAAAAGAGAAGATCAAATATGAAATGGATTGAATTCATAAATGAAGTAACAGCTTTGAACTTGGAAGAGCTGAATCGACTGTCATAAACAAGACATTTTGGAGGGCTTTCATTCATAGGGTCACCATAAGTCAAAGATGACTTAATGGCACACAACAATATCCAGAATAGGTTTTTTTAACCACTGCTTTCTGCGACGGGGGCGGCATAAAAATGCTATAAATAAATAAAGAATATCATAGGTGATCAAAAGTCCATGTCCTATCAAATGTCATACCCATTTCAAATGCAGCTCTTCAGTGGGGATAATCTTTCAGCATTTTCTGCAGAAGCATCTTCTGGAAGATCGTTGATTATTTAAGAAACGTTCCATCTCTTTGAGTAGAATTTGTCAGCAGAACTATTAGCATTATCCACAGGTACTGTTCAAAAAGGAATGTGGTTACACAGATGGAAGAATTATTTTTGTTTAAAAGCAAAAATCACATCCAGCATTCAAGGATCTCTTCCTCCCCACCCCCTTTGTTTTCTTTTGTCCCTCCCTCCCTCCCTCCCTCCTGACCTTTCCTCTTTTTAGGTGCCACAAAATCCAGCCTGCTATCTGCACCTAGTATTGCTAGCATGTTTGTACCAGCACCAGAAGATTTTATTGATGACCAGCCTACAATGATGACGGACAAGTAAGCGCATTTATATTCATTTGGGTGATTTGTCATGTAAGCAATAGACGCAAGAGCTGATTTTGAAATGATGGCATGAACTACAGCAACAGAACAGGAGACTGTATCTGAACTGAAACTGGAATCTTTAGGAAACTTCTTGAAAGTTTTAAAGTAAGGAAAAAGGGACTAACAATGGATAGGCAAGTATAATTATGGAAATGTTTTTCTGTGTGATGAAGGAACAGGACGCAAATTAAAGGTTTAATTGCATCTGAGCCAATGGATTCCAATTACCACTGACTGGTTTTAAGACCAGAAATGGGCAAAAAGCCTGAAATGGGCACTTCCCTGTGAAGGAAGTCTAGTTAGAAGATACTTCTATTAAATGTTAAAACTAGATGGTAAATGGGCATTTTTAAGCTCCTTTGATGCAAGTGATCTGCCCTCCCTGTAGCATAATTGTGCTATTTCTCAGTTTTCTTATCTTAATCCATCCTTCCTACTCTGAGCAGGGAAGCAGGAATAGAGGAAGAACAAGGAAAAACTCCGACAAGGAAAACCTCCAATGCAAGCTTGAAATGGATGTTTTCAAGCATTTCAGGCATGACGGCCAGTGTGGTGTAGTGGTTCAGAGCATAGGACTGGGACTCAGGCAATCTGGGTTCTAGTCCCTGCTCAGCCATGCAGCCAACTGGGTGACTTTGGGCCACTCACAGACTCTCAGCCCTCAGAGGGGTTGTTGTTGTGGGGATAAGATTGAGAGCAGGAGGAGGAGGAGAATGATGTAAGCCACTCTGAGTTCACTGTAAGAAAAAAGTGGGATAATAAATAATTTTTAAAAGGCAGTACTATGGAAAGAGAGTAGAGGCATGGGACTCTAATGAGATATTCCAAGCTAGGGAGGGTAAGTCTGCCAGTCTCAGGTTCACTCAATTTCTTGTTTTTACAACCTTATTCATTGTGTCCCATTTCCACATCACTTTGCAATTCTTTAAAATGTCAGTGGTACCATTCATTCATTTTCTTTGTGCAAACTCTCCCAATGTATGCATTTTTATACTCATGTCTATGCAATTTCCCCCAATGTGTCAAATTTGGGGACCACTTTTCCCTAATAGACCATGCCCGTGCACATTTTTAAAACTGCTGAGCAACATCACACAATTTGGAAAGAGCAGGTTGTAAATCAGTGCAGGAAGAGCAAATTTGGTACATTTGCATTAAAATGCAAACTCAGTGAATGCCTCCTGGATCCTGAGTGCACATTAAAATAAAAGGAAAGGAAATTTTAGGCTGAGAATATGATTAAGTTATTTTTAATTCTATAAACTTGTTTCCAATTTGAAATGTAGAGTACCAGCTGCTGCCATCCACTAGTGGGAGGTCAGTACCATAAACCCTCTGCTTCCCCACTCTTTATAGCACAGTTAGTTTCTTAGAAGATGGAAAACTTTTGTAGAGATGAGGGGAAGCAGTTCCTGACCTCAGAGGTCACCCAGATTGGTTCTTTCTGCATTGCTGGTGAGGGTGAGTGGGGGTCAGATCTCCAACTGCCCCTTTGGACAAGCCTCTGGACAATTATCTGGTCCCTCAGATGCTGTCTGGGGTGTATAGGATTACTCCCTAAGGGGATGTCATAAAAAGTAACCTCCACCATGGCCAGTGTTGCTTGTTAGTGACAGATGTTTCAGTGATTTTTAAAAGCTCTCTCTTTTTCTCTCTTCATACCTGCACACAGACGCATACCTCTGTTCCTTTCTCTATTTTGCAGCCTGAGCTGCACTGCCTCTGAACATGGAGGTTCTATCTCTTGGACCTCTTCCATTTCCATCCTACCACTTTTCATGAGAGAAGCCTTGCTTCTTTTATTGCACTGACTCCAACAGAATGTGACTAGCATCTTCTGGTGTCTCATCTTGTGCTCAACCCATTAGACAGCACCTCCAAAAACCATTAATAAAAATAGTTTGCAGGAAGGATGGGGCGTTGCATAATTTTTTGATAGAAATGGAATGATGTGTGTCGGGCTGAACGACAAATATCCTATGAGGATAATTTATTTCAGCCAGTTCGTCTGGTTGTTTTCTAAAAGCTTTGGCAGCAGGTAGTGAAGTGGGCTAAATGAGATTGACTTTCATGACCTTGCTGGCGTTTTCTCCTGCTGTTGTAGAGAGGGAAGAGGCAAATTGCCTGTACAGTCCCATTAAGTTCAAATATCACAATCTGTTGGAGACATTAGTGAGTGGTTGATCAAATTAACCAAGCATCCCCATTGGGCCGAGAGGTACTGGCTTCCCAGTGCCGTTTGTCTCTTTTATACGGCCTGCCATATTCTGCCTCATCTCTTCTGCATCTGACATGTCCCTCAAGATCAGACTTTACAGAATTTGGCAAAGCACTCACGGTAGTCTTTAGGCACGGCAGGAGCTGCCTGCCCTTTTGTGGCCAAAGCAACTTGTTGGAGTTGAAAGCAAACTTCTTAATGATGGGCAATAATGAACTTGCTTCCTTTCTTGGAATCCTCCACTCCATCCCTCATGACTGCAATCACTGCAGGAATTGAATGTGGACTTTAATGCCAAGATTTCATTTCCATTGTTTCCTTCCAGGTGCCATGACTGTGGAGCCATCCTGGAAGAGTACGATGAAGAAACATTAGGTCTGGCCATAGTGGTTCTCTCCACATTTATTCACCTCAGCCCAGATCTGGCTGCCCCGTTGTTGCTGGATATCATGCAGTCTGTAGGAAGGTACACATTTGCTTTTCTTCCTTCCCTTCCTTAGACAGAAGGGATGCTGCCTTATACGGAGTCGGACCACTGGTCCACTGGAGGTTGGCAGTAGCCCCCTGGACTTTCAGGCAGAATTCTGTTTTAGCCCTTCCTGGAGAAGACGGGGGATTGAACATAGGATCTTCTGCATATAAAGCACGAGGTTTTTCCACAGAGTTCTGTCCACTCTCTTCATTTCTTTCATCTGTGAAGAAATGGCTCACAGTGGCCCATTTCACATATCACAAGTACCCAGACTATTTCCCCACTGCTCAGTTATTCCCACTAGGACTAAACCTAGATATGGGTTGTTACCATGATGTACCAATTGAGAATTCTGGGTTGCTGGAACAGGGACAACCCAGAGCTGGAACCCAGATTTTAACCACAGGTTCTAGTTCTGGATTGTCTGTTCCTCCAGAAACCCAGGATGCCTAATTCAGAAACAATGGAGCCCCACCAAGTTGTCTAGTTCCTCCCACTTGTAACGGGAATGATTGGGCAGTGGGAACCACATGTAGCTGGCTTCCAGTCATGAACAACAGCTCAGGGTTGTCGTAATGTGCAGACCCACTCAACTGAAAGGGAATTCACTGTTAGTAATAAATGCAGAGAATAATAATGCAGAATGTTGTGAAGGAAAGGCTAACATGTTTTTGCCAATAGCACTGTAAGCATTTTGCAAATTTAAAGGACATAGAGGAAGAAGAGAATGGTCAGTGTATCATATACCATATTCTGACATTAAGTGTGCATCGACCTGTTAATGGGTGCAGAGTTTTATCTGAGAAGTAGGTAAGGTGCAGGTACCTTATAGAACAGGGTGGGCACCTTATATTTAGTCAGGCCACTGGTTTCAATATTGCTTACACTGACTGGCAACAGCTGTCCAGTGTTTTAGGTAAGAGTCTTACCTGGGCAGACTGGAAATGTAATAAATAGATATCTGGAGATGCTGGGTGTTGAACCTGGATCCTTCTGCATCTAAGGCATGTGCTGTGCCACTGAACTGTGCCTCTTCCCCAGTGTTGTGATACTGGTAAATGAATAGAGTCAACTGTTTTAGCAAATTTTAGCCAAAGGAAAGGAAAGCAAAGGAAAGCAAAGGAAAGAGTGGTAGCTTTTATCACAGTGATGTAGCCTTCAGAGCTATAAATTCATTTTATCTGGGACTTGTTTTGATGATTTCAGTTATTTCAACTGTTTCATTGCATTAAAAATGAAGACTTTTCTTTCACTGGCTTTTTTCTTTCTTTTCTGGCTCATTTTCCCCACCAGATTGGCTTCAAGCACCAATCAAGCAGAAAGGTACAGTACAATCAAGACAAGTTTTTGCTTTGTTTTTGCTAGTGGTAATTTGCTTTTGGAAAAAAAATGCAGAAAACCTCCCTGAACCCTAGGAAATCTTCAATCAAAACATAGATTGCAGTATAAAGCTAATTCTTACATCATACATTATTTTCTCTTCACATGGACTAGCATCTAAGAAGGAATGATGAATTCATGAATGTTTTCAGGAAAGGGCTTTTGTAACTTTTCATTTAATTAAAGACTGCTCACATTTCTTTTGGGGAGTGGACCACTTGGGAATTAGAGACCTTTGCAGTTGGTTGGGAATTAGTTTGGAATTAGAGACCTTTGCAGATCAGCTTGAGATCCCCAAGATCTCGATCTACCTTTGGATCCCAATCCACTTTATGCCCACCCCAGTCTGCTATAAAGTACCCATTTGTGGGTTGCCAGTTTTGTTCTTTGAAATGAAAATATCAGGATGAAGGCTTGAAAAAAGTTTAAACATGCACATTTTCTCAGGGATGGAATTCTTACAAAACAGATGGAAGTGGGCCATGTTCTGTTCTTTTATTATTAGTTAGGATAGCAGGATTACGGCCCCCCTCTCTGCTTCTCTTTCTTACTTTGCCCTTCAGCATGATGATCCCAGGAAATGCTGCAGGAGTGGCCAAGCAGTTTCTCCGTTGCGTTTTCCACCAGCTGGCTCCCAATGGGATATTCCCCCAGCTGTTCCAGAGTGACATCAAAGGTAACGTGCAGTGCCTGTGATTTGTTCCTGCCATTCTCCATCACCTCCGTGCTGAAATAGTGTTGTGAGAAATGGTCTCTTTTGCAGATGGAGGCTTTTTACGGACCTTGGCCACGTCTCTTATGGATTTCAGTGAGCTGAGCTCAATTGCTGCCTTGAGCCAGCTCTTGGAGGTTAGTCTACCATCAATTTAACTGTCACAATCTGTGTTGCCTTCCCTCCCCGCTTAGAGCATCCCACCAGACATGCCTGTCTTCTCTGGCCTGAGGTGTGTGCTTGCAAGGGTGGAGCTCAAGCCACTCACACCATGCCACTTGGTGCCACGCAAGGGCGGAAAGCTCAGCCCCATGGCTGAATGTGGCCTTCATGTGCCCCTCAGATGGAGTGCAGAGTCCCACTGCAAGGAGTCTCATCAAACCTCTGGCAAGAACAACCTGTCTGTTCCCCTGGGAGGAAGAGGCGGAGGATGAAGAAGGAGCATCTCAGAGAGGAAAAATGGCAGAAAGAGGGAAAAGGGGTTGACAGAAGGAGAAAGCGAGAGAATGCAAGCATGTGGCCTTTGACAGACTGCCTTCAGCAACAGCTATTTTCTATCCCTGATGGAGGGTGAACATCATGTTGCTTTTTCATGGTGTTTTCCCTCTAGCACCTTCCCAAATTGCCACTAATTATGTTCTCATAACTTAAGCTTACCAGATGTTTTCAGTATCAACTCCCATCAGCCCCAGCTGGCATGAACAATAGCATGCTGGAGCTGTAGCCCCAGATATCTGGATTGCAACAGGTTGAGCACAGCTTTTACTGCCGTACTGAAAGGACCCTGGATTCACAGATCTACATCCTCATCTAATTGTAATTGGAGGACAAAGCATATTTGTCCCCTATAGACCTTCCAGTAGGTCTTTTCTTATGCTTTCATAATTGATGGAGAATGTATATTATAAATGTCTTATAGCCAGAACTCACCAGGCAGTTTGCAACCATTCATAAAGATATAAACCACAGATACAATTAAAATATATGAAATTTTTCCAATATATAAAATTTAAAAAACAATTTAACAGCTGCAATACTTTTAGTACAAATTAAACAAACCAGCTGACATACTGTATATGCGCCATTGCGTCATTCATACCCTTAAATCCTATTAAATGCCTGGGAGAAGGAGGCAGCCTTAACCTGATGCCACAAAGGTGATAGAGTTGTGGCCTCAGTGGGAAAATCGTTCCAGAATTGGGGGCCTCCACTGAGAGGTCTTCTCCTTCACAGGCAGCACTTGGAGGAGGGCTTCAGAGGTTGAGTGTAGTGCCCAGGTAGATTTTGCATGGGAGAAGTGCTCCATCAGGTAATATTGTCCCAAACTGACTAAGGTTTTATAGGTAAAATCAGCACCTTGAAACAAACTGAGAATTATAAAGGCAGCCAACAGAAGCAGGCCAGAATCAGTGTTGAGACTTTCTGGTCTCAAATATTAGTCTGCCTGCTGCATTTTGCACAAGTTTCAACTTCTGCACACTCTTCAAGGGAAACCCCATGCATGATATATGTTCTTGTATATCCACATCTTTCCCCCTCCTTTTATTCCTGTCAGTGTTTAATATATGCCCTATTACTAGTGGAACAGAGCAATGCATTTTTCTACTTATTCTGGGAGGAAGTGAGACTCTGGTCTTTTGATACAGTCCTTACTACTCGTAAGTTCTGAAAATACTCCTTCCCATCTTAAACCTTTGATGCCATTCTTGAATGGCTTATCTATTTATCTCCACAGGGCTTAAACACCAAAAAGAATTTGCCAGCAGGTGCTGCCATGTTGCGCTGCCTGGAGAACATTGCCACTTATATGGAAGCTTTGCCGATGGATTCCCCAAGCAACCTCTGGACCACCATCAGCAACCAGTTCCAGACCTTCTTTACGAAGCTGCCTTGTGTCTTGCCTCTGAAGGTACCATATGAGCCATCCCAGGTTGAACCCCCGCATCTTTGGATGAGTGTAGGATAAATTCCTGCCTGAAAACCCAGGGAGCCCTGGGCAGTCAGTATGGACCAAATGTCTGACCAGGTGTAAGGGAGACCTAGATTTCTGGGTAACCTAAAAGGGGATTTTCTCCTATCTGTATGCCTTTTGGATCAATATTTACAGATTATTTCCAACTGCCTTCTCTGATGTAAAGTTATGGAAGCTGAGACTTCAGGGTTTGTATGTGGGTTTGGGAAAGCTAAAGCAAGCTAAATTGTGAAGCAGGCTAAATGCATATACATTTCTAAGTTAAGAAAAAGATGCTTTGCCACTGGGATTGTATTAATGGATTTTACACTCTTCAGGGAAAGCTGTTCTTTGTATACTTTAAATTAAAAGTAGGCACATGATACCATTGGGAAGACATTAAGAAACTGCAGTAAATTGTACCTGATTGTTTTTTCCTTTTCTTTTTCCTGGCAAATACCAGCCATATCTCTGGAAGCACCTGGTGTGATGGCCCAAATGCTAGGGCCCAGTCCCTTCGGGCTCCCTGTGCTACCACTGCAGAGAATGTGGCTTCTTTCAGGGCCAGTGGTACCACACAGAGCTCTGGGTCCAGAAACGTCCTGGGTTGTGTCATAAGCAAGGTGGTACCAGCCAGGATATGTGCCTGGGCTGTGAACGCCACTCGGCACTGCTGCAGGGTCAATTGGGCTGGGAGTCTGGGAGGAGAGCAGTCCAGCTTCTGGCCCACATACATGCCTTGCTTGCCAATGCTGGCATGTCAGTGGCAGCAACCCTGTCCCTAGTTTCCATGGTGGGGTGGATGTTATTAATGTGGTGGTGTCAGCCAGGACACATGCCCTGGCCAGGAGTCAGGATGGACAAGAATGTCATGTGCACCCATGGGAATGTATCACATCTCTAACCCCAAACATGAGCAGGAGAGTAAATCTTGGAAAGCTTTGCAGGAAAGTTTTCGTGAGCTTGCACTCTTTGAAAGAGAAGCTCTCTAACTCTTTCCTATCTTCTCCATTTTCTCTCCAGTGTTCTTTAGATTCCAGTTTAAGGATAATGATCTGCTTGCTGAAGATACCCACCAGCAGTGCTGCCAGGGTAAGCTCCAAGATGTCTAAACCTCTCCTGTTTCTCATCACTATTAGAAGTTCTTTCTTTATTCTTTGGCAGGAAGAATATTATAGCTGAGCGAAATTGTGCAGTGCCAAGCTCTCAGAATTTAGGTTACATTAAATGTGGGAGGGATTACATTTACTATGTGGTTGAGAGTTTATATCTTCTTAAGGATATATAGGGATATGTTGGATTTATTATTTTTTTAAAGAAGTCAGCATCAGAAGAATTACCTAGAGCCTCATTCTGCCATTCACAAGTCTGGCCAAGGGGCTGTTGAGGCGAGAGCAAGTACAACTTTCAGGCAGCACACAGCTTTTGGGGCAAATGCCAGGGCCCTGGCAAGGCCTGCTGCCCCCAGACTGCCTTTGCCTCCCAGCTCAGCCGATGTGGGTGCCAGTGGTATGGAGTGGATCTCGGTAGTTGCATGTGTTTTGGTATCAGCAGAGGCTTGGTGATGATGCCAAGCTGCGCCTGGGCGGGAAGGGAGGTAGGCCAGCTGTAGCATCAAGTACAGCTCTTGGCCCTCATGCATGGACTGGCTGGTGCCGTAGCATTAATTAATGGACAGAGGAGACTGTTTTTCCCAAGGCTTTTAATTCCTGGTTTATTGAATAACTCATGGCTGGCTCACAAATGTGCACAGCTCACTTGCCAGCTTGCAACCAACTCTGGGCAAAGACTTTATTGAAAAGCATTGCATTTGGGCCAATGAGAAGTGACAATGAATGTTTTGCCTTCAATGGTTACCTTGCAATGGCTCAGTCATCAGTCACTACCTGCTCTCTATTTATTTCTTTTCACACTTACAGATTATGTTTGTTTGTCCGTTATTAATGAATTTCTTTTCATGCTATATAGTATCATACATAACATCTGTTGTTTACACTAATTAAAAGTATTTCTGTAGTACTTTTTAATGAGAGGCTCTTAAGATGGTGTGTGATACAAACTTCTTTTTAAAAAACTGCAACCTGCAGTACTTAATTTCAAAGCTGAAATGCAAAGTAACCCAATGACACGCACAAGCAGTACTCAATTCATAAACAGTCAGAGAAAACTAAGCCAAGTGAAACACAAGCAGTGTGGGAACCAATCTGATGCTCCTGGGAAGGGAGTTCCACAGATGGGGTGCCACCACAGTGAAGGCCTTTTCCCATGTTCCCACCAACCTAACTTCTTTGGTAGAGGGACATGAAGCTGAGCTTGAGATGACAGTTTTAAGATACAGGCAGGCTCATATCGTACTTGATGCTGCAGATACCAAATGATGATCATGCCTGAGTGAACTAGACTTAGAAATACAAGGATGACTGCAATTTGGGGCATTGGGGAATAACCGCAGCTCCACAGTGGAGCATTTCCTCTCAATGTAGAAGCCTTGGATTCAGTCTTGGTCATCTCCAGTTAGAAGGATCAGTCAGTGGCTGATGGAAGAGACCCTCTACTTGGGTCCCTGGAGGACCACTGCTAGTTAACTAGACAATGCCAGAGTAGTGAGACAAACACTCTGACCCAGAAGAGCATTTGCAGCTTCCTGTAAAATCCATTCCTAGAAGAAAGCATTACAGGTTTAAAAAGTATGCACACTGTGGAGTGAGTGAATAAGGAGATTTCGTTTCCTTCCTTCTCTCATAACCCCAGGACTCAGGGTCTTTCTATGAAGCTAAATGCTGAGAGAGTCAGGACAAACAAAAGCAAATATTCCTTCGCAGTACCTAGCCTTTTCTGTGGAATGTACTACCATAAGGTGCAGTGACGGATACCATCACTAAAAAGAGGGTCTAAAAGAGGGTCAGACAAAGTCATAGCAGATTAGGTCATTCATGGCTACTAGTCATGCTACTACCCAGTAACAGCTGCTGGAGATCATGGGGAAACGTACAATTGTGATTATGTCCTGTTTGTGAACCTTCCAGAGGTATCAGATTGGACTCTGTGAGAGCCAAATCCTGGACCAGATAGGTCATCATTCTGACCTAGCAGGGGATCTTCCATTCTTACAAGGAGTTTTTCTCCATGTTGTTTAAGATCATCCATGTAGTTAGAAGTAGTCTTTGAGAAAGAAACTTCTATTCTAATTTCCTGTACTCTCCCTAGGGATATTCCAGGAAAAAGTTTCCTGCTTTTCCCTGGAACAGTCTCCAGGAGTTTGCTCAAGGCACTGGCTAGAAATCTGTGGGTACAGCCATTGGAATGAATCAGTCTGGACAACTGCAACCTCGTATCCTCCAAACAAAAACAAAAAAGAAGTGAAGCCTTTGTTATGATAAAGGCCTTCCTTTTGCTGAAGGATGAAAATGTATCAACATTTCCCCATTTTCCTTCTCTTTCAGAGTTTGTTGGAGCCATTTTCAAAACTGCTGAGCTTTGTCATTCAGAATGCTGTCTTCACCTTGGCATATTTGGTAGAACTGTGTGGTTTATGCCACAGAGCTTTCACAAAGGTAATTAATGGGTGTGTGCTTGGAAAAAAATCTATCATATGAAATAGGGACACCACAACCCCTCAGAGACACAATGTTGTTCTCTTTGGCAGGAGTGCGTGAAAGTTATGACTTCTAGAAGCTTCTGACAACATGGTCAATGATCAGAATGGGAGTTGAAGTACAAAACATTTTGAGATTTGCTTTCTGACCCTTCCTGTTCCAGCAGAACTGGAATTGAAGCAAACTCTTTGATTATCTGCTAATTAAAATTTGTAGCAATGAATTTGAACAACTCAGGTTTTGACTAAAACTCAAGAGAGACTGTGCAAATATTATGCCTATCCTCTTTGTTTGTCTGGAGATCGTTCCATGAGAAAGCAAGAAGTACTACAAGGCGTATGTGCAGCAAACAATAACTATCTAACATGCTAACCGTTTGCATTTATTGACTTGGGGTAACAATAAAAAGACTTGAGGTGAATACTGGAGAAGTGGAATGGGCATATTCCTGCAGAAAATGATGTGCACAACACAGTTTTGAAATCCTGCTTCTTCAGGGATTATCTCGTCCGTGTGAGTGGGTGAATGCACTTTGACTCTTGAGTTGTACACAACATAAAAATTGCTATTGCAGTCAATAAGAAATGGGGGATTTAAGTTTCTCATAGCACATTACAAATGTCTGAAGTATATCTGATCCTCTGGAAGCCAGGGTGTTGTAGCCTTTATGGTACCAGCTAGAGTGAGGAGAAGCTGGATTCACATCTCAGCTCTGCTGTGGAGCTCACTGTACAGTCTAGGGCCTGTAACCACTTTGCTACCTGACCTACCTCAGGGGTGGTGAGGGCAGAGCAGGCAGGAGGAGGGCCACAAGCACTGTCCTGAGCTTCTCTGAGAAGACATGAAATGCAATGCATAAATCTCAGTCATTCCTACAGTGGCCTTGTCAAGAAGGCCAGGTCTATTAGGTGAAAGACCTGAGAACTGTGGCTTGCTGCAGTCTGTTCCGAGAGTTCATGTCTGAGGTGCTGCAGTCCCACTGGGGCACTGCACTGAGGTCTCGCAGCCCAAAGAGCTCAGAACCTGCAGGGCTTGCGGAGGCGGCTGCCACAATATCCTTTGTGTGTGTGTAACATCCTTTGAACAGATGGCAGGTACTGTGGTGTAAAGCTCCAGTTTGCCATTCTCATTTCTTCCCTCCTGGGAAGGAAATGGTGGACTCCATTTGAGGGGCCATCTGGGTTGCTCATTGTTCCCTTCCACCCGCTTGATGAATGTGTGGAGGGGTGTGGAGAGCTAATGAACAAGCAACAAGGGTTGGGGTGAGTATGAAAGCAGGGCGGCAGAATAGCCAAATTAGGATGGTGCTGCTGGAGGACATCTTGGCTTGGTGCCACTAGTGGGGTGAGATTTGAACCACGGGTTTCTCTGCTCATCCTTTTCATGACTCCTTTGAACCAGGCTTCACTGATATATACCACAAGTATTGAGGACTGTTGGGGAGGGTCCATAGCTGAGCTTTCCATGCAGAGAACTCCAGGCTTAATCCCTGGCATCTCCATGGTTAGGAAGACTAGGCAGCAGATGGTCCTTCTGGATTGGAGACCTGCTGATATGCAAAGTCAACAATATTAGGCTAGGTTGGCAAATAGCCTGATCTTGAATAAGGCAGCTTTTCATGTCCCCAGGAGGCTAAGGGAGAAAATTCACTGCAGAGCCTTTGCTGAAAGCAGCGACCTTCTGGTGCATGCTGACCCATGGAAAGAGCATGGAGGAGGCATCCTGTATCTGTCACATGTGGAAGTCTTCTCCGTGGGCCTCTTTTTGTGTAGTAGAGCTTGCTGTAGTGCTACTTCTCTCTTTTGCCCAGGAGCTACACATCCTCTCCATCACCCCACATTTTTTATAGAAGCAGCCAACTATTTTTAACAGTCCCCAGTGGCAGGGATATCTTAAGCTTTTCATGCCTCCACAAGGCTAGGCTCCCAGGTCAATTGGATAGTTCCTTATCTTCCCCTGCCCCTTCAGGTCACCCTTGTGATATTTTTTGACTGCCTGTCTCACTTTCTACTGAGAGTAGCTTTTCCTCCGTGCTATTAATGACCTCAGGATCTTCCACTGAAGTCATACAGTAAGGCTCTAGGGATGTCATATGTGTTGCATTCCGAGCAAGTTGGTTTCTCCAGCTGAGGCTCAGAGTGGCAACTTTAGGCAGAGATGATGTCTCTGGTAGTGTTTCGATAGTAGTGCAAAGGAACATAGGAGGCCACATTATGCCTGGGCAAAATATCTGCCTGTCTATCTACCCTGTGTTGTCCACTGCTGGGGTGTCCAGCATAGCACCTGCGGGCCCCTTGTGCCCCAGGAATCCTCCTTGGCACCCACCAGACTCCTTGTCCTTTCTGATCTTTAATTTATTTCTTCAGGTTTTTAAAATGAATGTGCAAAACGGGGGCACTCCCACATTGCAAAGCTAAGCACTGCCAACCAGTACCATCCTTCTTTGGGGAAAAGAGGTTTTGGGTTTTGGAGCTGATATCCCTCCTCTGCCTTGTGCTTGGGTAGATTATATCTTATAAACAGAATAAAACGGGCCACATATTTGGGCAATGATGCTGTGAGATTAAAATCCAACAGAATTTCACACATGCTTTTGGCTTTGCCTGGACATAGCTTGTGTTAAGAGAAGTGAAGCAAAGCAAAGCAGAGTTGGAAGAGGCCTATAAGGCCCTTGAGTTGAACCCCTGACTCCACTTGCACATGTGGTCACCCATCCAACTGCAGGCTCTTACCTTTTCTGCTTAGCAAAGGCAAGTTGACATGCTCACTCACTGTATAGCTATGCAGGCACTACATCTAAACTGGTATAATTTACAACAGGTACAACTCAGACAGGGATCTGTGGGTGGTGCAGTGGTTTAAACTGCTGAGCTGCTGGGCTGGTTGATCGAAAGGTTGACAGTTCAAATCCGCACAACGGAGTGAGCTCCCGTGCTTTGTTCCAGCTCCTGCCAACCTTGCAGTTCGAAAGCATGCAAATGCAAGTAGATAAAAAGGTACCATCTTGGTGTCTAGTCATGCTGGCCACATGACCATGGAGATTGTCTGCGGACAAACACTGGCTCCCTCTGCTAGGAAACGGAGATGAGCACCACCCCCAAGAGTCAGACATGACTGGACTTCAGTGTCATGGGGAAACCTTTACCTTTTACCTTTACAACCCAGACGAAGTAAACAAGATGTTACAATGGCTCTTATTAGGCAAATTCATGAAGGACGGGGCTATCCATGTCTTCTACTATATGAAAGCGGCTACAGGATGCCTCTGGAAGCAGTGGTAACCTGCCCTGGAATTCTAGTTTCTGGCCAACCGCTGTGGACAAGGACTTTCACACTCCTGTGCTGTCTGTGGACTTTCCAAAGGCATGTGCTTGGTCACTGCAGGAAACAGGATGCAGGGCCAGGCCTTGGGAATGATCCCGCAGGGATCTCTTAAATTCTTATTTTCCATCCCCATTAACTGTTTTACATTTAACTCTCATAGAAATCAGAGGGACTCAAACGGAGGGGCAGAGTGGACCCACCTAAAATTGGCCCTGCTCCACCTGCTCAGGTGAGACTGCCATCTCCTCTGAGATGAGCCTTTTTAGCAACAGTATCTGTGGAATGCTAGGCTGATAAAGACCCAAGGGTGGATCCTCACTTAAAACGGTGAGGCTTGTTTCTCCCTCAGTGAAAGAGGTTATCCGAGGTGGTTTGCCCCTTCTACCTGTGCTGCACGCAGGATCATGCCAGTCGGTGCAAATCCATTAAGCTTCTGCTGGAGGAGACCACACCAGATTCCAGCTGCAGGGGCCTTCTAGAATTCATGTGTGTTTGTTCTGCTTATAAGGCTAGCTATTGGTTAATCAGCAATATTATTGCTTTATTTTAATGTTTTAGATCAGCGTAGCTGAGAAATCTCTTTTTGGCATAGCTGGTCAAGCTAGAGCCATAGTTGACAGGCTCTTCCTCCTCTCTCTCAATCTCTCTCGTTTTTCATAGTCTCCCTCCCCCTCTTAATCTGTCTCATTCTCTCCTAGTCTCTCTCTTAATTTCTCTCTCCCTAGGCCCAAAGTACATGTTAATCTGCCAAGGCTCTGCATATGTGCATGAAGTTAGACCTCTGTCTTAGCTGCCAGTTGTGGCAAGCTGCTTTGTGAGGCCCCAAGCAGAAAAGCTGGGTGCAAATAGATGAATAAAATAAAAGTATTCAGTTGTGGCTTTTGTATCGAGCTGATCTCCTGCTCAGTACCGCCATTCAACTGAATGGCTGCAAATCCTTGTTTTCATATTTGTGGGTCTTGTGTATGCTAGTGCCCATTCCTTCTTCCTGGATTGTATTCTCTCTCTTAGTCTTACTTCCAAGGCTTACTTTAATATAGTCAACTGTAGTGCTAAAGATCACCAAGAAGCTTGTCTTCTTAACCCAATGACTGAAAAAGGGCTGTGTGCCTGATGAATTAACAGTGATTTTATGGGGGGCACTGCAGCAGGTTGCATTAACAAACCCAGATCTTGACTCTAAGACATTGTTGTCCATGACAGAGTGTGGAATGCACAGGGTGTGGGACTATAGCAAAATGGTAAACTAGAGCTGTCTTTGCCTGCTATTTCCTGAATGGCCACCCACCTTCTATCAACCTGTGTTCATTTCCTGATTTTTTTTTTTTTGGCTTTTGCACATTTCTTTTAAATTCTAAAAGACTGAAATGTCTCACCTAAGGCTTAGTTACCCATATGAAGAGTTTTAAGCTAAAATGTGGTAGTATTTTGCTCTGCCCTGTTTGCTTTTGGCTCCTTGCTTTTGCTTTTGCCTTCAGCTCCACCCATTACTGGAACATGTGAGCTTCAAGAGCTTCTCCAAAATTAATCTCTCAACCCTCAAATTAAAAGAGGCTCAATACTAGTGTAGCACTGACTGGAACTGGAAACCTCAGCTTTTCATTTTATTTATTTTATGATCAGGGTTTTGTGTCCTCATGGTTATGGAAGAAATGTTCAAACCATGAAAGCAAAGACCACAGAAGATACAGAAAGTGCCGTGTGCGTTTCTATTCAGGGCAGGACACATTCTATGCATTAATGTCCCCTTCAGCCCTTTAGGTTCCTCTAGCATCTCCCTTTCTGACCACACAGCTAAATTTCTATTCTTCCTCTGCTCTACCATTCATTGTTCTCAAATCTGAGGAAACCAAAATTTTGGAAACAGAATGGATTATACATAATATATTTGCACCAATAAATGAAGGCATTTAATTTTCGTTGCAGAATTTGATTTTGTTCCCTTATTTTTGGCCTCTTTGCAACTATAGAAGAAAATATGGTGTGAATAAGAGAGTGCTTGCATTCCCACATCTGCTTTGATTTCAGGGTTTTTATTTTGTGGCTTGCCATTTACAGTGCTTCTGCTATATCTGTGTTATCAATAACTATATTAAGCATGCCTCATTAGGTTGTCATCTCTCCCAGAATATAAGAGAGAATAATTGTCTTCATCTGAGAAGTATCCAGATCTATAAACTGTAGGGACATCTGGAGTATATATCACAGGAGAGCAAATTAGTTTGTCTGTAAGGTGGGGGGAAGATGCATCTTCCCAGCTCTTCCTCTGCCTGTGTGCCAGGAATAAAATGTTCAATGGAACAGAACAGCAGATGTCATTGCCACAGTCCTCTACAATAGAAACTTCCCTTGCCTTGTGGGATCCAAATTCTCTCTCCTTTAGGGAATAGGGACTGTGGAATGTGGACAGATGCATAAACACACCGAGAAGGGATTTGGCTGTGGTAGGGCATGGTTCCCCTGGGAGTACTTAAGATGTTTGTGTTCTGTGAGGCAAAACATAGACCTCACTGTTTTTGTTCTTCTTTCAACTTTAGTTTGGTTTGACTTCCTCATTTGTATGCTATGACTTAGAGCCAGCATTCCTGTGTGCAGAACTCGTCTCAGAGGTTGTGCCCAGTAGCGGAAGCAGGATGCAGTTTGCACCAATTCCTGCTGGAGTCCCATCTTCCAGTACCAATCTATACTGGAGAGGGGACCCAACATGGGGCTGCTGGGCAAAGGCGGAACTGGTGAACACTGCCTCCCTTGCCCCACTGGACTGGAGTCCAGCAAAGGCCAACTCGGGATCCCAGCCTGTGTCCGCATGCGTGTGCACACATGTGCCCGTGTGGGTGTACATCTCTCTGTCTACCTCTCCAGCTATTCATACTAGAAAGGGTTGGGATTGGTGAACTGTGCAAGCCTGACTGACACTGATGGATTAATTTTGTTTTAGGAACGGGATAAATTCTACTTATCCCGCAGTGTCATCTTGGAGTTACTGCAGGCTCTGAAGCTCAAGTCTCCTTTGCCAGATACAAACCTGCTGCTCTTGGTCCAGGTATAAAACAAATTATCTTTCCCTCCCTCCCTTGAAAAATGGTTTCACGGTGATTGTTTGCATCCTCAGTGCCATCAGTGGCCCAGTGCCAGCGAAACCGTCAAAGATTTTACTGCATTCTCCCTCCCCAGCTACAGAGAACGTTTTCTTGAAGTCTTGCTGCACCAGTCAGATATCAGTTCCTGGCTTCCATTCTCTAACTAAATTCCATTGCCTGAATCAGCTGGATTGACATTGCAGCCCAAGAGGCTGGTCCTGCCCAGCATTGCCCAGAATCTCCACACTTGTTGATATGACAAATTAGTGTCACCACATATGGCTCCTCATCATACGGGAGTGAAACTGTTGTGGACAATTGTGCTGCTGCTGCTGTGTTGGATATTGATCCAAGCCACTTTGGATAAATAACCATGACTGAGTTTGGATGACACATCAATCCATCGTGGGTAACCTGCTATGATGAGTTGCTTTGTTGTCTGAATCCAGGCTGCTTTCCACAGGGTGGCTTGCTTTTTGGTAGCAAGTGACCCTTGCAACCTATGGCTTATTCTAGAGGTTGTTCAATGCATTGTGGTTTGCTGAGTCATCCAAACCCAGCAGACCAATTTCATCATGTCTTATGGGATCAGCTACTAAGCCACTCAGCAAAAGTAGCAAGATACTCTTGCCACTGCCAGTGAAAGCCATTTCAGGGACTGAAACTGAATGCAACTCTGATCATGCTTTTTGATCTTCCAGCAATAAAATGCAAACACATCAGTAAACTAAAACAGGTTGTGATTGGAGCAATGATGGGAGAAATGAGATTGGGTGTGCCCTGAGAGACACTGGAATACTGGCTGGAGGACCGAGGGGGAGAACAACCCTCTATCATCTGTTGGGCGCACATGGGATGTGAGGAATTAAACCTGCTCTTCCAATAGCCAAAGGTTGTTGAGTTGGATTCTGATACACAACTGGAGGAGGGGCTAGATCTTGCAGCTGAAATGCCAAGTCCAAAGGACTCGGGGATAAGCCAGGCAGTCATCGAGAACCCAACCATTTCAAATTCAGTGGGGAATTCTAGTGAGCAAGCTGAGAGGGATAGGGGCAGACGTAAGGTAACAAGTCTAATTATACTGCTTGAGAAAAATCAGGTTCAGTGGAGGGCCTACATAGGTAGGGTGGAAACCCTGCGGTAGGCATTAAGCCCCGAAAACCGGAAAGGCTCTGGGACTGGAGACAGGGTCACATGAGAGCTGGCAGCTCCCTCATGCACTGGCAATCCTAGTCCCACGCTGGGTAAGAAGCAGTGGGGGCTGCAGAGTCTGGTTTATTCACTCTGGCTTTTTGGCTGCAACTTCAAAGAAGTGGTCCATAGAGCAGAACCTCCAAATTTAGGGTCAGCACCATGGACAGCTCCTTAAAGGTTCAGACTGCTGCCAAACATGAATCTATTGCTGCACTGACACTGGAGCACCAGCCTCCATTTATGAGGATGTCTAAGGAAGCACAATTATTTTCTGTGATATGGACACTGTGCTTCTGTTAATGTCACCTTAAATTATGTAAGCTTTTTTTAGCAGCTGCATCTCACTGCTGGCACATGTTCAACTTCCGATCAACCAAGATACCTAGATTCATTTCCCATGTTCTTCTGCCAGGCCAGGTTTTCCCCTCACCTCCAGCCTTGTATGTTTGATTTAGATCCTTCCTCATAAGGCCAAAAGCAACCAGCCAAAGTAGAGTGAAAAAACAGTGGGTTCTGCCTGCAGGATTTCATGCCAAAATGGTAAAGCTGTGCGAAATGAAAGAGTGCTGTGTGGGCAAGAAGGGGGAACGTCTTCTTAAAGAACGGCTTTTCTCTTACAGCCCATGTGTACATCCTCAATTCCACAAGTATCCTTTCTTCACTTCTGAATTATTGTTTTTAGCTTTATATGTAAATTTATGCAAATTGGTCAAATTTAGTTCATCAACTAAATCCACTATAACTCATGTGGGTTCTTGCTTGGAAGCATTTCCCACTTCTGAGCGGACAAGTATTGCATTGCACTGTTCTTAAAAAGAAAACCAAACCCTTTGAGAAGGTGACCATCCTAAAAGAAAAATGCTTCCCTGAAAGAAATTTTTCCCAGGCTTGATGATCTGCAACAATCAGTACATACCTGCAGAGGGAGTGATTGTTTTTATCGATGGTGCATTCCTGGTTCTTAGGGGATTCACCAAGGTTTGGTCCAGAGCCCTGCATAAACTAATTGTGAACTGTAGGATCTCTCTCAGAATTCTGTAGAATCTCTCAAATTCACTGCTCTCTCATAGCAAGTAGTGCAGGGCATATACAGCAAGTGAATGCATCTGGAAAACATTGCCCAAAGATGGAAAATTTAAAACTGCTTTGCCTCCCACCTCTCCCAAAATGATTCATTTGAAAGTTCCCCATGTTCTTTAAAAATAGTGCCCTGGTCATACACCTCCTCCGTGTTGGGCCCAACAGATTCACTAAGTTGGACTGGAAGCACCCAGCAGATGTTGTTCACAAGACACACACAGTTTCTAAAGACAGCCGCTTGGCAGTGTCTGTCTTCTCGGCAGAATGACAGTGCTGGCAATCGCTGCCACTTAATCATGTCGAAATGACAAGTAGCTGAAAGTAAAGTGACTGGGCTGGCCCACGGCACAATGCAGAGCTCCGCGAACTTGCTCCTGGGGTCATGCACAGTTCCACATGATGGACAGCTTCTCCCTCCCTCCCCCCCACCCCCCCACCCTGACGCGCCTGGCACTGCCGTGTTTGGGCATGCGTTTCTGTGAGCTGCCGCTTCTCATAAAGATGGGCACGTTAGGCAGAGAAAATAAGCAGTTGCCAGACAAGTAGAAGCTGTGCTGAAGTTCTAAATTACACCAGCTATAGAATTTCCCTAAAAACAGCTATTATGATATCAGTGTTAAGGGAAGAAGCTGGAGGAAGGGGGAAGATGGTACAGGCTAAAGGAAAGAGGTGAGGTTTGCACATTATTTTGATTCAGGTCGTTCATTAATTCAGAGAGAATACAGCACAAATCTTGATACATTTTTAAAGAGGGCAGTGGAGGCTGGGTTTACTGCACAAAATGGAAGTACTGCAGGGATGCAGAATCTAGGGCCCAGGGGCCATATATGGCCCTCCTGGGGTTCTAATCTGGCTTTCTGGGGCTCCCCATAGGGCCCTGCTCCCTTCTTACCCCTGCCCCATTTCCCTCAAGCACCAATCATTCGGTGCTCCCCCAGCCTTGGTACAGTTTTGCTCCTATTCTAAATGATGGAAATGACTCTCCCACAGCTTAGTTGCTGGGAGAAATTGCTCAGGTGTTTCTCCAAAATGGAATATGGCCCTTAGGAAGTTCAACACTGGAGCCCTGGCATGGCTTGGGACTCCACACCCCCACACAGAAGAGAAACACCAGCTAGCAATGAGGCTCCATCTTTTGGTGTCTCTGACTTCTTCTTTGGACTCCAGTGCAGCCAGGGTGGGCTCGCCTTCACCAGGCCGAGTGCGGTAGATGCAGGAGGCATTCCAGCAGTGTTGGGACACTCACTGACGTAACAGCACCCAGTCCTTTCACTGCCAAACAAGACCCCACCTTGCATGCCCCTCTTCCTGCAGGGTGACCAGAGGGCGCATCCAGTGTCACAAGGGGCAAAATGCATCCCTAGATGATATGTCAGATTTTAAAAACTAAGTGTGTGGCGGGGGTGGTTTTCATTGGGATCACAGCATGCAAGCAAAGGGTATCTCACCCATCTCCCCCAGCCTGAAGCCTAATGAAAATCCTGACCTTCAAGCAAGGCAGAGAAGCTTCTACAAAGTTCCTTTTGGGTCACTCGCTGCATTTTGTTCTGCTTTATAGCCTTCCTTGGTGGAGGCTGGGGTGGGGTTTTGTTAGGCTTTCAGATGGAGAAAGGATTAAATCTCCCCTTGCCTTGCTTTATGGTCCCTATGAATATTATCCCCCATACCTATTTTCAGTTGAGTAAAACATCTGTCATGTTCCCTTGTGACTCAGTTATTGTTGTGTAATTGGACCCTCAGGGCCAAACTAAACATTTGAGTAATCACACAGAGCGATGTGTGACCGTTTTTATCTTTACGGAAGTTCGCACAGCCCTAATTCAGAGGAGAACCATAACACTCTGAGAGGTTTTCTTTAAAATCTTCCTCACCCCTTTCCCCTGAAAAAGCATGCATTGACTGCAGACAAGTTCCTTGCTCCCCCATGTATCTTCCCCACTGCAGCAGAGAGATTTGGAGGAAAAATGTGGGTAGGAGATTTCACACATGCACCACTTTCCTGCAGCAACTTGGTTCCCACTCAGATTGGGGCAGGATATGCTTACACAAAGATAAAGAAAACTGCTATGCTTCATCCAGTGTTTTGCTATGACCTGCCACTGCTTTGCTTCCCAGTCCCTGTTCGCCATTCCTTGGCTCCTGAGTCCCCACCAGTTGTGCTTTGTGGTTCGAACATTTCTTAGAAACTGTGGCAGATTTCTGACATGTAGTTTGGCCCATGTCAGACTCCTGCTAAAGCTACACTCCTGCTGCCTGCTTGTCAGGAATCCAGCCAGATCTTGCACTCAGCCTCACAGTGCACTCTCTGGTCTTGATGACTGGTCACCCAAATCTCAGTCATGCCTGGCCGGAGTGGCCCTACAAAGCCCAGCATGGAATGAGAAAAGTGGAGACAAAGTTAATTGGCAATCCCGTGTTCCAGCAGAGACGCACACCCCACAGGTTTCAGTTACTGCCTCTTGGGGAGACAGTATGGTGCAGTGGTTAAAATGCCAAAAGAAAGCTGGATTAAAATGCCTGATCAACCCTAAAACACATAGTTCAGTCATTTTCTCAGCCTAGCTTTCCCCATGGGGTTGTTGTGAGGCTAAAATGTGGGGTGGCAGAGGCAGAGGGAGAACCACCTATGGCGAAGCTGGCTGGGACTCAGGACCTGGGGAAAGGTGGCAGAGCCAGGGAAGCCAAGCAC